TGTACAAAGGCAGTTGAATCATTGATATATAATTTAATAGGAGTAGATAAATAATTAAAATGTGATGGCAGATTCTCAATACGCATTGATATACAGAGAAGTGCACAAAAAACAGCCATCAGGATTGTAACTTTTGAATTATATCCTAGATAGGGTTTTGAAAATTGGTGGGTATTTATCTCTATAACTTCCAGTTTCACCGGAAACGACCCCAACTTTGAATGGAACAACCAGTATTGTATTCCATAATCGGTTAGGGATTATCATGACGAATGACGAATTCAACGATACCAGGTTTGATAGGGTTATTTCAAACGATATTTGCGTTCGAAGTTTCCATATGCTCAATATGGGTGTGACAGAGATGTATGGTGTGACTTCGCAATATCATAACTTCTTTCTCTGTCGAATGGAAGATATATTATATATATAAAAGGACTTGCAGTTCTTTCTTGGAGACGGTGTTATTGGCTCATTTTTCGGAACTATAGAGCAGGAAAAAATAAGCCATTAGCACTGTTTATATATGTGATATATATTCGGGAAAAAAGTATTATTTATGAAAAGTGAAATTTCATAACCTGACAACAGAGATGAACGTTCGAACGTTTTCCCGTCACAGAAAAATGAGCACCCTGATGTATCTCAGATTCTCGGAAATGAATCGTTTTCGGACATATGTTTATAAGATCTTTTTTCTTATTTTCACCCAAAAAATACGACCTCGAAGTTTTGTGCAATATTAGTTTTCGCCCAGCTCTGCACGCTGTTATTACCGTATTTCTTTTCACTTGGGTATTTATTCACCTAATTTATTCACAGTTTCACACAGATCCAGATAGTGCCTAAATTTTGGCGGGAACTGATGTAAAGTTTGATTCAAATTGTTCACTGACCTGACACTGTACGTGACTCTGACGTGACTGCACTGCTCCGCTCCTAAGCAAATAACTCAATGCAAAATGGTGAAATGAGAGGTTCCCGCAACAAGCACAAAACCAAACAAAACCGTTTTGAGAGAAAGCGGAGAAAGTGTGAAGAGAAAGAGTACCACACAAATAGGTGGTGGATGGAAACTGCAAGAAACTTTCAGCAAGAATTCGTTTTTACCTCATGCATGTTATAGCAGTGTAGACAGTGACAGAGAATATTAGGAACTATTAACTATTGCTGATTTGATTGCTGATCGCATAGTTTTTTTTTGCGTTAGCACTTTTAGCAGTCTGCAGTTCGACGGAGGTTATAGGCCCGTTCATTTGAAGATGTTTTTTGTGGTGGTATGGCATGGATAGTATGTTTCGGGGACTTCGAGGGAGCTGGGAGCTTTTTTAATATAATCCCCACCAGTTATGATTTCATTCATTTATCAATATTTGGCGTTTTGGATTGTTGGCGTATAGCTATCAATGAACTCAATACAACTGAGTTCATTGATAGCTATACTGTGCTTTCATTGGAAAACACTAGAGTGACGAAAACAATACATAGTAAAGCGGCTAGCGACACGACGGAATCCACTTTGCTTTGAGACTTCCGCATGCTCATAACGTTGACCGCTTGGTGACCGCAGAGATTATACACTCCCCGTGACCGTGTGTGAAATTCTTCGGGAGTCTCAAAGCAACGTGGAAAGCGTGTTGCTAGACGTCTGTCTACATAGGACTTCAACTCGTGAGATATAGGGTGCGTTTTTCATTCCAACATTTTATCATGCGCATGAATCGAAGAAACCATCAAACTGTTGCAAAATTCCGCTGGAATGTTGATGGACATCCATCAAACTGTTGTAATAAAATGCGCACTTTTAAATCGCTTTTCGAGAATCCAGCAGTTTGGAGGAGATTGACATGACAGTTGACACATTTTAGTGTTGTTTTTTGTTTTGATTTGATGGAAAACAATTAATATTAAGGATTTTTGAGATTCTTCAGAGATTTTAGAAGATAGAGTGTTAATCAATAAAATCGAATTAGCCTCTTCTGATTCTCAAGATCCATGATGACTGACACACAACAAAATCCGTGTTTCCATCAATGTGTTGTATAAACCATTGTTCAATCCTTCCAGCATAAATTCCAACAGAACAATTGGTGACGTCACGACAAAAAACCGCATCTATCAGTGCGCACTTTCTTCGATGGAATGAAAAACACGCCCATATACTAAAGTCTAGAGACAGGACGCATGCAATATTGGCGCGTGGTGATTGTATCACTTTGTTATGTACAAATATTTGCTATACACACGATTTTTTCATTTGTTGGTACGCATGAAAGGGGTATTTCATTCGCATTACCCGTCATGTTTTGAGCTGAAAATCCCATTTCATTGCGTTTAACCGTGACGTTATTTCCCAGGGTTAACGGGGAATGTGAACCTATCATTATTTACTCCTTCACGAGGCGTAAAGTGTGTTTTTACTACCAAGGTAGTTTTCGTTATCTTATGAACTACCAGTAAATAAAGACATAGCCTCCTCTGTTGTAATGAACCCGAACGCACTGTTCTAATCAGATAGTCGCAGGAGTGGCACTCGAATCTAGTAGGTATTTATCAATATCAACTTGTCATATGCTGTCATGGTCATGACTAGTCAAGACCAATTATTGAAAATAAGTACTTCTATAGTGACAACTGACAATAGGTCCATATTTCGGTTTACAGAACTAAAATGATAGAAATATATCGCTAGTGGTGAAAGATATTCAATGCAAACCTTGGTAGTGAAGAATATTATTCTTCCTCGGCTGAAGTCTCGGGATATCTTGGAGTCTTGGTCCCTTGGTAATAATGATATTCTTCACTTCCTTGGTGAATAAATAACTATTTTTCAATTTATCAAAATTTCTGCTGCCAATTGGCCAAGAGAGCAACGTATATTTGCTTATGGATTGAAGGTCGCGCGGGTTCGAATCCTCTGAACCACCTACTTTTTTTTCTGGACTTATTAACTGAAAAAAATACCGTGGATTTACTGGCGAGGCCGATAATGATTTGCTAATTCAGTGATGTTTTTTTTTCAGGATCAGGAGGTTTTCTGTACACTTTTGCTTCCGCACGGCTCACTCGCTATACTTTATGCGTCCTATATGTAGACGCCAGTGTTTATAAAGTTAAAATTAGAGTCACTGGATGGTATTAGTTTGATAAGAGTTCGGACACAGCTGAACTTTTGTCCTTTTCTATTTTCTATAATACAATGGTTTAAGTGAATAAAAGAATAAGACATATATTCTGCTCTTTGTCTTTTCAATTTCCCTAGTAGCGCCTGATTGTCAGATACGATTTTAGAGGTTAGATTTTCTGTCAAATCAATCATAGCCGTAGATGGACAATGGGTATAGGGTACAAACACACTTCAATTTATAGTGATACACTTCTAGCAGAACAACTGTTATACAAATGAAAAGAATGCATGTAACAACATTTTAATATTAGAAAATATACACATGAAACTGTACTCCAGTGATTAGTATAAAACATGAAGTTATTTATATTAAATCAAAGATAGGTATTCTCAATATACAGGAAGTAACATAAGTACTTTCAAGTGAAGTATTCCTGAGACAATTATAAGAAATAAAGTCTATTCAAGCTTGTGTGCGGAAATGCTTCATTTCGGAGATACAGGGTGTTGAAATACAGAGAACAAATTATTTTGACGAGACCTACCATATACTTGGTTTAGTAAAGTTTTCAGCAACTTCACTTAGCGCCCTAGGAGCTAAGTAACATGGATCGATATAGAAAATATCTTCAAAACGATAACCTCCAGCGTAATTAAGGCCCTTCTAATAATTCCCTTGATACATAAATAACTATTTACTTTTCACTGTTAAATTTTAAATCTGGTAGACACCAAAAACACCATTCAATAATATATCACTTCGTAGTTTACTTGCTTTTCTTAGTTTCGTTTTCAAATACTCAATTTCATTATGTAATTTTGCGATCATTTCCTCTTCTTCTATGATCTTTTTGTTTTGTATTTTGTGTGATGTGTGATGATAATAATGGAATTTTGTTCTCGAAATCGACTGATTCGTAAATTATTGATGGAACAGCAGATTCTCTCAAACAGATTTTGAAATCTTCTGTTTGAAAATGGGCCTAAAATATAGTTTGATTTTAATGAGTACCTCACAAATTTTGCTCGTTTTCAAATTGATTTTGCACCCAGGCCATTTCATATCTTCCTTCCATAAGCGAATGGTTGATATTTGTTTCGGAAAATTGAATAAATGATATCCATTTTTATCAGAATTGGCATAATTCATTACACAGCAAGTGATTTCCATAGGTGCTTTTATCTCGAATGTATGATTATGGAATTTTATTTCAATTTCTGACGTTTATAAAATATATTGTCAAATTCAAACAATTTTGAATGAAAAAGCGCGGGACGACTATGGTGCTCTTGTCACAATGCAAGGTGTGTAACTTAATAAATCTAAAAATTCAAAAACCCTAACCGTTGTCATTTCTGTGTCCGAACTCTTATAAAACTAATAACATCCAGTGACTCTAGTTAAAGTCACCTAGTCAGCACGAATGTTAGGGCAAAACGAATTCATCCTGCCAGCAACTTTTTTCATCGACTTTCATGCTCTAAAAACTCTACTCCATGATCAGCGATTCTCATTGGTCGATACTTGAATCAGTAAACACCATTCCAAAGTAGTTTGTTGGCATTTTTCAATGTTCCATCCTGGATGAGAATATTCTGTGATAATTCAAGACTCTGCCTTTGCCTCGGCCCTATGTCCTATGTCCTAATAATCGAGAAAGAAGTATTCCCATATTTTCAAATTATTGGGGCCCTCCTATCCCACCAATCATAAGTCTTCTTATTACGTCCAATAGTATCACAGTGTTATCCCTTCCATTAAACAAGTGGCCAATCAAATCAGTTGCCTAAGCGTCACTTTTCACTTTGTCCCTTGTCCAGTCTTTGGTGTGGTTCTCTTAACTTTCTGGACGATTTGTATTAGAAGCTGAATTTAGTAATTTAAAGGTGAGAAACGAACATAATTCGGTGATTTTGTAGTTAACTTGTCAATTAATCAATTTTAGTTATTAGGATGATGTTTCAAGAAAGATTTTCTCTCGCTTTTCTTGTTTTTGTCAAGTCGGTCACACTTTCACTATCATTTGTTGTGCGGGATGGAATATCCGCCATGTTGTTATTCGTAAAAATATTTTATCTTTATTCCTTTAGTTTCGTTTTCATCGTCTGAAACGTTCATAGATACCTTACCCACAAGGTATAATTTATTGGTATAATGCAGACAATTTATTGTTTTAAATAGGACTTGTTTGGCTATCAATCCGTTTTGGCGCGAAAGTGACATTGTTTTTTTTTTCAGCTAACACAAAATGGCGCGTACAAAGCAGACTGCCCGTAAATCGACAGGAGGAAAAGCCCCTCGCAAACAGCTTGCCACAAAAGCTGCGAGAAAATCGGCACCATCCACTGGAGGAGTCAAGAAGCCCCATCGTTACCGTCCTGGTACAGTAGCTCTCAGGGAAATCAGAAGATACCAGAAATCCACTGAATTGTTGATCAGAAAACTGCCTTTCCAACGATTAGTCAGAGAAATCGCCCAAGACTTCAAGACAGATCTTCGATTCCAGTCAGCCGCCATAGGAGCTTTACAGGTATTTATCTTTTAATTGGGTCAAGTTTACCTATTAGTAAGTTAAGATGGTTAAGGTGGGTGATAATTTTGTGACCACTCCTTTATAGGAAGCCAGTGAAGCCTACTTGGTAGGTCTGTTTGAAGACACCAACTTGTGCGCCATCCATGCCAAGAGAGTCACCATCATGCCTAAAGACATTCAATTGGCCCGCCGAATTCGTGGTGAACGAGCATAAGTTTTCTCTCACAATTACATGTATTCACTTATTGTAGGTGTCAGTGTTCATTTTCATAAAAAAAAATTGTCCTGCCAGGTAGAGAACATAGTTGTTGATATGTTTTTCAAATATCAGTTAAGAATCAGACATGTTGCCAGCTGTAGTTTATTTTTTTGACTAGATTTGGCAGCTCAGACATCTTTGTTGCAGATTATGTTCTTATTCATTTATTGAATGTGTGTTAGATTCATTTTTTTGAATATATTCAAATTCCAGCATTTCTTATCTTTTTTATAAAATTTGCAGGATGAAACATTTTTAGGTTTAGATTATTGTATAAGTATTTGTGTTGATAGTTTTTTTATTGATAGGACTTTTGGAATAGGGACTTATAACCTTATGATTTAAATTAAAGCTGTATAACTTGATATTGTTTTCATTGAACAATTTTCCCTATTGAAGGACAGGGTCGTCCGGAGGGGGAGGCAAGGGGGGGCGTTCCCCCCCCCCCCTAGCGCCTGGTCTGTACTCACATTCTTTATAAACAAGATACATTTGCATTATTCAATTCCTATTCTGATTAGCGCTTATTATAGTGACTTTCTGAGACTTTGTTTAATTGGTATTCATGACATCTTATAGATAGATATAGAGTTAATTTTATCAACGAAGTTATTGATAAATTTGCTCAAGTTTCTATAAGAATAATGGCATATGCCATTTTTGTTTGAACAAGATTATTATCACGTGCAATTTTTTATTGTAATCATGGATGTATAAACAAAGAATGCTGTAAACAGAATACCTATGTGGTGTCAATTCAATTGATTCTCTTAGTAGATTATTTATCGAGAGAGTAATGTGCATGATTTTTTCAGAGGTGGTTTTGTAGCCAGAGGGTGCTACAATGCACTGAGGAAAGAAATAACTCACTTCCGAGGTTTATATACCATTTTTTGCACGACTCGACGATTTTAATTGAAAGAATCTTATGATAAACTCAATTATTGTCAAAATGAAAATCTGAACACAATAATCACAAAATCAAGTTATTTGATTATCCTGACTACCGATAAAGAAGAGTATATAGCCATATTATTGCTTTTTGTGAACATTGAAAAAGTGTGGTAGCATATTTTCTTGATTGCTTTCCAAAGTTTTTTCAATAAATATTGCAGGAATGTGTGGAAAAACTATTGAAGAAGCTTGAGATGAAGCTGCTGCAAACATAGTGGTAGATTTATTAGCAGAAAAATCTCGGAAAATTTTTTTTTCCTAGAGAGTGCCTACTCTGTATACCCTGTATCCTTGTATTCCTGCTTCAGTTCAGTTCAGTCGTGCAAAAACTGTTTTTTCGATATGTAGTGAATATTGTACATTATTCATTGTGACTTGCCCCTCCCTGAGATTATTTTTGCGGACGCCCCTGGAAGGACATATTTTCAGGTGAATCCATGTTTATAGTTATTATTATCCATGAAATCATAATATAACAATGAAATTCTGTTTTCCTATGCTGAAATTATCAGTTTTAAACTTTGAAGGGAACTTGAAATTCAAAATATCTTATGATATAATTAAGATTGCAGAATAACAAGGAAAATATTTAATCTCAATTCACAATAAAAGTAAAATAATTAACAATTGACTTTTCATCAATAGAAAATATAGTAATAGCTCTATTCACATTTTACATAGCACAAGTATAATAATTTAAAAGTTAAGATACAGTACCTGACACATTTATAATTCCATAATATACAGAATAACCAGTAACCATTGTGATGACTATTCAGATATTACTATGATGGCTGGTTTTTATAGGAATATAATATATTTTCCAGTGTGATAAGTAATAATTGGAGATGATTGAAAATTTCTGTTTGATATTGGAAACCTGTGAGGTAGGTAGAAATAAATTTGGAAAGCATCAGGTCCTAGTTGAAAAATATACATATTAATGATTGTTAAGCAGAGAACAATTTCATATCACTGACAACTATAGTCTAATATATTATTATATCATCATTTATTTAACATTGGGGTGTACACAATCCAGTCTTAAGGTGCCAGGTGAGTTGAAGCAGGGGAATGGAGGCATAGATCTCAGTTCATCAATATTGAAATCAAGCAAATCAACAGTGGCTAGTTTGTCACTCAGATCAGTTTTTGATTTTTCATCCTTCTTGCTTTTCAACTGTTCATATTTCTTCTCAATCTTGCACTTTTCAATGTACAACTTCTTGTACTCTTCACCCCCTTCCATTATTTTTGTTTTCAACATGTTGATTTCTTTCTGTTGGAGATCTAAAGATGCCTTGAGACTGTCTGTAATCTGGCGTAGCTCAGTTATATCTTCATCATAGTTTTTTGTTTGCTCATTCTTCTGAGAAACTACAAACTTTAATGTAGTACGCAGCATGAGATTTTCTTCTTTAAGATCCTTTATAACTTCTGAATCTTCATTGATTCTAGGAATTGGTTTAGGCTTCACATCATGAGCTAATGTAGGAGGAGGTGGTGCATCACTAGTTGTAGTTGTGACAGCAGCTTTCTGAGAAGAAAACTGAAATAGTGAGCTTGCTCCATACAATTCATTTTCTCCACTGAGGTAGCATATCTGATAGATATCAACATTATTTTTAGGAAGAATATGCTTGTTGAACACCACCAAATGAATATCTTCTCCAACAGATTCGACGGGTACCCACTCAAAGACTACATAATCTTTGACAAAATTCCACCCCAATTTGAAGATAGCCAGTCTGTCTCCTTCTTGAGGGGAATAATCATTGAATTTGTATGTACAATGCAAATCTTCATTGAAACAATATTGATCTTGAACGTTCAAGAATTCCACAACTGTCTTCATAGAAACGAAATTGGATTCCATGCTGGTGTTATTAGCAGCCATTGTGATTGCTTTTATGAAGGGACCTGAGCTGGACGGCTGGACACAAGTTTGAATTGTTTTACAATTTGAACAAGAGCAACTTTCTTGGTACTTCGAAGGAAAATATGGGATTCACAAAGTAATGAATGACTCAAATGATAACAACATTATTTGATTATTGTAATTTCTTGACAATGCACTTACAAAAATGATAATAATAAAACCATAAAAACAGAAAAACAGAGGTCTGTTCGTTTTGCTGAAGCTGAACAAGCTCTCTACTGTGCCATGGCCAAGCAATGACGACTAAATATCTAGACGATCATAGCGAGTTCCATTGGTAAAACTGGCTCGCACTGAGTGCATACTTTGTATTCCGTAAAACTGGTTCACAAAGTTCATATAGTTTAGAAATTGGTTTAAGAATAGACAAATAGTTATTTATTATACAAGGGAAAAAAGTAGTAGATTTTAGCTCCAGGTTGTGTTGTCTCCCGACGCGTAGCGGAGGGAGACAAAAAACCGTGAGCTAAAATCTAATATTTTTCCCGTGTATAATACACTATTTTTTTCTGTGACAGAAGGAAGGACGAATCAATATTGAGAAGATATTACATTATTTCGAAATCTGAAAATTATCGACGTGAAATTTCAAGTTTTTAACAGTAGGGACACCTGCGTTTTATAGGCATCTTTATCATTCTTTTGAAGTAATCAAATATCTGATGTCACTTCTGTCAGTTCAATTCTGTGATTTGATTTCAAAAAATTGCGAATTCAGTAGTTGTTTAGTAATATACGAAACCGCGAAGTCGAATGGAAGATAACAGGACTTGCAGTTCTTTCTCGGAGACGGTATTATTGACTCATTTTTCGGAACTATAGCACAACAAAAGCCAATAACAGAGTATATATATGTGATATATATCCGGGAAAGAAGTACTCACTTTTTTCCCACGGGAAAAAAGTAATTTATGAAAAGTGACATTTTATAACCTGCCAACAGAGATGAAATGCCAAACTTTTTTCCCGTCACAGAAAAAAAGCCATTTTTCCTCGGAGTTATGAGTTAATCATGCAAACCGGGTCAACAGTAAGTAAACCAGTCAATTTTCCTCGAAGTGTATTCCTAACTATGACGTAATACCACACAAACTGACTCACTGAGGTAGCTCACAGAGTACTTGAGGCTTTTGATGGGGCTTTGATGGGGCACTGGATTTGGCTCTTGGAAGGCTTTTGTTGTTATAATCTGAGGTTATGATAATTGATAAGTAAGTCTGAGTTTTTCTAGCCTCAACAGAGATAGCCATATCTCTGTTACAAACAATATAATGCATTGAAGGTAGGGTTGGCGGGTCTATTTCTTTTATTCGTCTGAGGATATTCGTCTGAGATAAGTAAGAATACTTATAAAGAGATAATTATGGATTCATACAAAGTATTCCCCAGTGAGAGATCTTATCATATTATTTATGGAAATGAATATTTGATTCGATAATGACTTTTTCCATATAATGAAAAAAATCATCAAAATGGGAAGAAAAGTCAATATAATGAGAACAAAGTCATCATAGTGAGAAAAAAGTCAATATTCTGAAAACTCATTATAATAAGAAAAAAGTCATTATAACGAGAAAGAAGCCATTATAATGGGAAAAAAGTCATTATAATGAGAAAAACTCATTAATATGAAAAACAATTTATTATAATGGGAAAAAGTTACTATAACGAGAAATAAACCATTATAATGAAAAATAAGTCATTATAATGAGAAAAAAGTAATTATTATGACTCTTCAAAAAAAGAAGTGTGCTTTCGTAGCTTCGTAACCCCCAACTGAGATCCCCCATCCCCCAACGGTGAATGCATAAAAAAAAGATAGGTGAAGTATTGGTGAGGTGAAGTCATATACGTATTAATGGTGAAGTACGGTGAAGTACAGGTTACGTTACAGGAAGGTTACAGGTTGAAGTACGGGAATCTAACGGGAATCGAACCCGACCCTTTTCTGTATGATCGAAGCCGGGACCTTTGAAAGCATCTTGGAAAGCATCCACCTTTTGACGTTTTGTCACTTGTCGAAGTTTCGTTGTCACTGTCATTTGTCAGCTCTGATTTGTATTTTGTGGTATTGTGGTTAGAAATTTCATTGTTTTCGTTTTGCAGTTTTGCAATTTTGCAGCAAGCTTTTCGTATTTTTTCAATGAGTAGTTGGAAATTAATCTTACTTTAATCCTAAATTCCCCTTTTCAAGCTACATTTGACTAATACAACTCGAGTGTTTTGTGTGAGCAATATAATAACCATAAACATGGCTATGACTTCCTCGCAAGTGAAACGGGAACAACAAAACAGCATGACTCTGACTGCAGCAGCCGCCGGTCCTGGTACTGGCACTGGTTGGCCAAGGAGAAATAGTCAAAATTCAGTACCAGCAACTCCAGCACCTGCTACTCCAATATATCCATCAGCAGCTCTAAATCGAATAATCAACTTGTATCCTCTAACAAATTATATTTTTGGTACAAAAGAACCTCTATTTGAAAAAGATCCAAGTGTTCCTGCAAGGTTTCAAAGAATGCGTGACGAGTTTGAGAAAATAGGTATGAGACGCAGTGTGGAAGGAATTCTGTTGGTACATGAACATGGACTACCCCATGTCTTGCTCTTACAGTTGGGAACAACATTCTTCAAATTGCCTGGGGGTGAGTTGAATCCTGGTGAGGATGAAGTTGATGGTCTGAAAAGACTTCTCACAGAGACTCTGGGTCGTCTGGATGGTGTCAAACAAGACTGGGTTGTTGAAGATATAATTGGTAACTGGTGGCGTCCCAATTTTGAACCACCCCAGTACCCATACATTCCATCACACATTACAAAGCCCAAGGAGCACAAAAGATTGTTCTTGGTACAACTTCAAGAAAAAGCACTATTTGCTGTTCCCAAGAATTATAAGTTGGTTGCAGCACCTTTATTTGAATTGTATGACAATGCACAGGGATATGGGCCAATCATTTCATCACTTGCCCAAGCATTATGCAGATTTCAATTTATTTATATGTAAAATGTTTGTGAATATAATAAGTTGGTGTGCATTGTGAACTGGATACTTTATTTCTGTAAAGCATAGGGTTACCATTGCTACTTTCATTTTTATGTATCCTTTACATTAATTGATTAAAATATTTGCTGAATGTGTTGATTGTGATTCAAAGTATGGATATTTTGCAAAACTATGAGTTACTGAAGTAAAATAAACTGTTTAGGAATGGTAGCCTCGGATCTGGATATTTTTTACCTTTTTTGTGACATATTTGATTCAATTAAATGAAGGATTGAAGAGCCAATTGGTATTATGTGGTATTACTGATGGAAACCATCAATGCTACATGCAAACAAAATCATGGATAAGTTTTGGTATTACCCTGGGATGATAATGATTATTATTCTAAAATATCAAATAAAAATAAAGATGAAGCATTGTTCCCACAATTTTTTCATCACTGATGATTTCAACATATTTTTTTTTATAAAAAATGTTTGTTTCTTTATTATTACTCTACATGTTTTACATGGAACTAATAAACCTATAGGTATATCAACAATTGAAGATAATGTATTATTTTAGGATTTTTGTACAATAAATTAATTGAACTGAATTGTTTTCTAGAAGTCCATGTAATAAACATTTATGGTTATTGCCTCAAATATTCCTCATTCAATTATATTGGAAAAATAAACAATTTTTCTGAATTGATGTTCATTTATTCTAACCATCAAGTAAAATATGAAGATTTGTAATTGAAAAAAAAACGATCATCAATGTTTTAGATTTAATCACCTTTTTCAGACTTTCATTTGAAAATGTCCATTGGAATTATTAATCATGTGAGGAGATATTTGAACTTCTGTTAATTTTTTAGACATAGGTATTAGGTATTCATATGATGAGTTTCATTTCCGGGTTTACTATAGGGAGTAATTCCTACCTTCATTTCTCAAATGACATCCTATATAATTTTTCAAATTTTCGTATTTTACATCAAATTCCCAACAACTAAGAAAACCTGAATATAAAATTCTGTTGTCATTAAAAATTGTACTCATCCCACTAGCTTTCTTATTGATACATTTCAGGAGATGCATCTTGTACATAATCATTACTCACTCTTACTACATTGGCTTGTTTGTCGTCTATGAACAACGACCGGTTAGGTCCCAGTAAACACAAACATCCCTGGGATGTCACATTCATGTCTCTCTAGGTAACAATGTGAATTACAAGAAAATATTAGTATTGCCAGGTGCATCTTTATTTTAGATAACATTCGCAATATTCATCACATTTTACTGGATTTGAAACTCAAAACTCTCAATTCACTCAGACCGCTTGGGTGGATCCATTGTGTTACCCCCTTAGATCATACAGGTTTCGTCCCACACCTTTAACAAACCGGTCACGAGGGGGGCGGCGATTTCCTTCCATTAATTCATGAGCCTTTCCTATTTCCCCTCCCCGGCTCATTCCAGAAGGGCCTTCTCTAGCCCCCGGTGCCCTATACCGCTACCAGTTCGGTACTTGGGTCTCCGTGTGGGCCCTGTTTCAGTGTCCCCATGTTCAGCGCCGGAACTCGTACTAGCTCAGCACCAGAGCTCGCGACCCAGCTCTAGGGATCCCGCGGCCTACTAGCAAAAATCAAGGGATGAGATGCGGATGAGCCTAGCTCATTCCATGTGTCCGTGGTCATTCACTGAATAGTTCTATTCCGCCACAGAGGGTCAGTATGCTGCTCAGGGGGATGTTTCATTTTGCTGCTCAGGTTCCAAATATGCAGAGCCTATATGCATTTTCTTCTCTGGCGAGCCACTGCGGGTCATTCGCAGAGGAGGTGGGATGAGATCCCGTTATGTTCCACGCATAGTTGACACATGAGTCCTCAACCACACCGATAAGGGTCATGTGTCTGCAGTGCGGCCGGTTTTTATTCCTACCAACAGAGAGCATTCCCTCCTGTATACTCTGTGCCTGCCTCATTCCCCATGCTTCTGCCCAAGACCTCTGGATCTAACAAATTATAATTTTGGTACAAAAGAACCACTATTTGAAAAAGATCCAAGTGTTCCAGCAAGGTTTCAAAGAATGCGTGATGAGTTTGAGAAAATAGGTATGAGACGCATTGTGGAAGAAATTCTGTTTGTACATGAACATGGACTACCCCATGTCTTGCTTTTACAGTTGGGAACAACATTCTTCAAACTTCCTGGGGGTGAGTTGAATCCTGGCGAGGATGAAGTTGATGGTCTGAAAAGACTTCTCACAGAGACTCTGGGTCGTTTGGATGGTGTCAAACAAGACTGGGTTGTTGAAGATATAATTGGTAACTGGTGGCGTCCCAATTATGAACCAAGTACCCCAAGAAGCACAAAAGGTTATTCTTGGTACAACTGCAAGATAAAATGCACTTTGCCAATCATTTCATCACTTGCCCAAGCATTATGCAGATTTCAATTTATTCATATGGAAATGTTTGTGAATATAATGAATTGGTGTGCATTGTGAACTGGATACTTTATTTCTGTAAAGCATAGGATAGGTTTTAACTCCTACCAACAGAGAGCATTCCCTCCTGTATACTGTGCCTGTCTCATTCCCCATGCTTCTGCCCAAGACCTCTGGATTTGTTGCCATAGCATGTCATCCAGAGCCTTTAAGCCGACGCATTGGGGGATGCATACTATAGGTTATGTCCTTTTGCAGCCAGAGTAGGTGTACTTTGTTGGTCCTAGCTATTGAGTTGAGGGCCAGCTTGCATTGGAGTGTTAATCTTAAGATTAGTCTCGGAGATCCCAGAGCCTCTTGGCTGTCCGAACAAATAGAGATGAGACATTTCTTGTACGCCGACCAGGATGGCTTGTATTTCCGCTTGGAATACCGAGGCATGCTTCCCGAGACTGACAAATCGACCTTAAAGCGCTGTCCATGTATCCCCGCACCCGCCATTTTGGACCCGTCTGTGGGTAGGTGGTTAATAATAGCAGTCACTTTTTCATTGATTTGTGAAAGGCAGTGATACATAAGTGAGATTAGTGACATGCGCGTAAATTCATTTGGTCCTTAGAGATGGATGAATAAAACACAAATGAGAACCCTGTATAATATGGATAACAATTGAAAAGTCATACCTAATTGGATTATCAGTTTATTTCCTAAATATTTTTACAGATCATTTCAATATGTACAGACCTAACAATTCCATTTTTGCAGCAAATTCAACACAACCAGAGGTGTTAATGTCCATTCAAAGAAATTATCCACAAGATGCCACAAATTATGTACATAAAAATGTTCACTGAGCTTTAGGGCACTTGTAAAGGCATCTGTGGAATATTAATTTCTATTGTCCTTTTTCGGTGATCACATTCTACCTTCAAAGAGACTATCCACTCTTCAATTCCAACCTGCCTCGTCACCTAGATTTACAACAAACAACAATATTTTATTAGCAGCATTGACACATTACAAGCTATATGACTTCTATCTCCAGATTATCCCTCAGATAATTCCTCAGCAACAATGGGGATGTTTCCAATATTGAGGTTCTTATCTCACCGTGAACTTTGTTAAAAATTAATATATACGTATTTTTTCTTGTTTTCGTAAGATCAAATTTCACTTCAGAAAAAAACAAATAAGAGGAACTTGGCTCCTCCACCATTCCTATGAAGTACTTTGAAAATCTACATTCACACACAGTTAAAATACGATTCCCTGTGCCAGTACGACGTTGCCGACATCAACAATATGTCTAGATTTCCGGAAATTGTTCTTTGAATGCATAATAACTCTATCATAACAGCAATGAGATATAATAGGTTCTCCAATCCTACTTTGTCAAGTATTATGAATAATTCCCATAAATATCTCAATGGCTGAATGAAGTTGATTACTAATAAAGATAAATTATGATATTTTGCGATAGTATCTATAATTTTTCACTATCGTTATATTATAATATGTTATTCATAACTTGTCAGTCATTTTTTTGCTAATGAATTCGTTCCTTGATGAAACGGATCAATTTTCTAGGAAAGTTGCAGATTATATCTTGCAACAGCGCCTAATACTTCGAGTCCGTCCACACCACTCAAAATACTGACAGGCACAACAAGAGGAAGGAGCCATGGCTCTGGTGTCGTCTTCAGTCTGTCCTGAACGATGGCAGTAAATTAGGAATGATGGTATCATTGAATGTAGCCGATAGTGATTAATTGATTCAATGATATTCTCGTTTAGGATCAGAAGTGACACTTTTTTTGACAAGCGAATTTTGCATTAACATGCTATTTTTTCTGCAACCGAAACAATTAACTCAAATAAATATGTGAATTAACCACCAATGCCATGCCATATGTATGCAATGCAACAAATAATCCGTGAGAATATTCTTCCTGCATCAACAGCAGGTTTATTCAATCTTCAAGGATGTGAGAATTGTAGTTTCAATATAAATACAACCACAGAGTGACATATTTGTGTATGGACCAGGTGCCCTAATGGCAAATACCGCGCAGGTATAGGAACAAGACCTGGAAAATGTTAGGTTAGTGAGCATATCAACAATAATAATAGCGATTATTTATTCCTCTCCATACTACACTGTGTTTGACTTGACAAGCAAGTATGTGAATCTTGAAGGCTTCCCTGATCAAAACAAAAATACTTAACTGAGATGTTTATAGTTCCTATACTCAACTATAATAAGGTGTATTTATCTCTCCAGCATGGGTATGACATGCCAAATCTGCCGAAATCGGAAACAAATCAGGTATGCGTCCCAACCCAAATAACCAACCGTAACAATGTTGTTTATTCTTGATGACATCTAGTTTATCCTTTTTAGTTCCTAGGAGCTAAAGTTCAACTTTAGCTCCTAGGAACTAAATATGTCGCCTAGCAACATACCGATTTTTGGGTCAGTAATAGGAACGTCAATTCAAGAGCCAATTTTGGTATTAAAATGGACGACTTTTGTGTCGGTTGCAGAAAATGACTATTTTTTTTAAATTTGTGGTTTCGCCCATCACCCTACTATCGAAGACACGTTTCGGACTCACACGAGCACATCTTCAGCCTAGCCGTTCAGCCGGACGTCGCCCCTACGTGCTCGCCACGCTGAGGTTGCTCGTACTGGTGGCCCTGCTGCCGCCGGCCAGAAGGGCCTCCTTCTTGAAGACGGCCAGGCCCGACTTGACCAGCTCCTCGGCCACGTCGATGTCGTGCTCATCGATCTCGTAGAGGTCCACCCCAGGCACGGGGGAGCCCTCGCGCTTCGCTCGCGTCTTCTCTCGCACGCTGGAAGATAAACGTTCGTTCAATCATTTTCCAATTTTTTGTCGAATTATTGTCAGATGAAACTCCGTCGACCACCACATGGAGAGACCTGTTTGAAAGAAAATTAGCTAGCAGAGATCATAGCTGGGGAGACAAGCCATAAGATGGAAGCTTGGCGAGGGGTCCGTGGTGCCAGACCGAAACCGCGGAACACAAACTTTGCTCATGTAATGCTATGTAATATCCTTGATGTAATGTATCAGTCCGCCAAAGGCTGAATCACCTAGAACAGGTTTATCTAACGCCTGCTGAGGTGGAAAATTCTAAGCTTCTTAGAAGTCTAGGGTAAGAGGACAATAGATCTTCTAGGTCGCAGAGATCGAGAGGTCTCCCCAACCTACACGACCGACCTACAATCTACAAGCTAGGCCGTGTTGGAGCAGCGATAGATGACGAATCCTGCGATACTAGCAAAGTAATGAAATGGAAAGAACGTGTCTATGTGCAGCATATCGCCAACTTTCTACGGTGTTCACGAGACGAATTGCCCTTTTTTGGACAGAATCCCACAGTTTTAGGGTATGTTTGGGTGCTGCACCCCAAATATGGGAACAGTATTCCAGGACAGGTCGGATCTGTGCCTTATGGCCAGGTTAGGTTAGGCCAGGTAGCCGTGCGGACAGAGTGTCTATATTCTAATTCGCATTCGCTTGCCGGTCGTGGGTTCGATCCCCGTCGACTGCAGAAATTTTTCTGATGGCCCAAGAAAGTGTTTGGGATCACACGTTAAAAGGTAAGGCCCCGTCATTCCTTGCTCGCACAAGACTTTCGAAGACTTTTGAGGGTTGCTCGTAAGGGGGCAACCGAATGACGGATAGAACAAATTTTTTTTTTTATAGATCATAAGCAGCTGACTGGAAGAGAAATAGCTCCTGGCCGAAACAGAAAACCAAGTTTTTGGGGTGCACTTTTAGCAACTGATCTCACGTGATTTTCCCAAGAAAGGTTATTGCTGATAGTAATACCAAGCATCGAAATGGATGTCTTCAAAGGTATGGTTACTCCTGACAAGCTTATGTTGGGCACACTGAGATCGGCTTTTCTAGAGAATAGGCATGCTAGTGTTTTATTTGCATTGAAATCTACCAAGTTATTGGATCCCCATTTGAGAATTGTTGCCAAGTCCATATTTATGTTGTCAACATTTCTCCCTCGTTCGTTTCCGATTTGCCTGGCTGGTATTGGAGCCCTGGAAGAGAAGGCGATATGGAGAGTACTATCATCCGCGAAGCTGTGTACTGGACATGAAGTTGCTTCCAACAAATCGTTGATATGGAGTAGAAATAGTATTGGTACTAGAATTGATCCTTACGGAACACCAGCATTTATGATAAGAGAGTCAGATGAAACTCCGTCGACCACTACATGGGGAGACCTGTTTGAGAGAAAACTAGCTAGCAGAGAACATAGTTGGGGAGGCAAGCCATAAGATGGAAGCTTGGCGAGGAGTCCGTGGTGCCAGACTCGATCGAATGCCTTGGAGATATCAAAATGACCTAGTACAGATTTACCTGACGCCTCCTTCATCAGAAGTCTAGGGTGAGATCTTCTAGGTCGCAGAGATCGAAAGGTCTCCCAACCTATACGACCTACCTACAATCTACAAGCTAGGCCGTGAACATGTTGGAGCAGCGATAGATGACGAATCCTGCGATACTAGCGAAGTAATGAGATGGAAAGCACAGTTTATATGTAGGTGTTCACGTTGAATCGGCAGTGACCTTGCTGACAGGCGACAAGTGCGAGACAGTGAAGCACCCTGAAGGATTTTCCGGAAGAGAGTTTCGGGCACTATAGAATAATGACAGCAACTGAAACTTTTTAGCGAGAAGGGCTTCCTTCTTGAAGACTGCCAGGCCCGACTTGACCACCTCCTCGGCTACGTCGATGTCGTGCTCATCGATCTCGTAGAGGAAGGTAAACTTTCGTTCAATCAGTTTCCAATTCTTTGTTGAATCATTGTTATCAATCTTAAGCCGTGAACATGTTGGAGCAGCGATAAATGACGAATCCTGCGATACTAGCGGAGTAATGAAACGAAAAGAACGTGATTACGTGTAGGTGTTCAAGTGCGAGACAGTGAAGCATCCTGAAGGATTTTCGGGAAGAGAATTTCTGGCAGTATACAGTGATGACACCAGTGAAACTTTTTGGAGAGAAGGGCCTCCTTCTTGAAGGCTGCCAGGTCCGCTCGTGTCTTCTCTCGCACGCTGGAGGGTGATCGTGCAATCATTTTCCAAATTTTTGTTGAATTATTGTTATCAATCTCCGGCCGTGAACCAGAGCTAAAGCTCATCACAGGGTTTCATACAGGACACTGCCCTCTGAGGTACCACCTCATAACGATTGGTCTAGCAGATACTGACTTTGCAACAACGAAATCATATGTTATCAATGGATGGCCTACTAAACAGCAGTGTCCTCCAGAGTGTTCGCCATATTCCACTTTTAAGGACGAACTATCAATTCAAAATGATGTGTTGACTTATGAAGATAGACTTGTAATTCCGGAACAGTGGCGTAAAATGGTAATCAGAGACATTCACGCAGGACATTTTGGACTATTACGCTGTCAATCGCGGGCTAAAGATACAGTATGGTGGCCAAACATCAAAAACCATATAGAAACAAATATAAAAAAATGTGCAACTTGTTTGAAAAATTCCAAACCACCAACTGAACCAATGATGACACTAGAGACGCCTTCACTTCCTTGGAAAACTATTGGAACTGATCTTATGGAACTGAATGGAAAAACTTTCTTAGTAATTCAAGATTACTACAGTCGTTGGCCTGAACTGTTTGAATTAAATAATATTAGGAAAAAAAAACAGTGATTCAGTGCTTGGAGGAGACATGTTCCAGGTATGGAATAACTAAATGTGTGAGATCTGATAATGCCAGACAATTTGACAACTTAGAATTCCGACAATTTTCGAAGGATTACAAGTTTAAATGGACTACCAGCAGCCCACGCTTTCCTCAGGCAAATGGCCAAGCAGAAAGTGCTGTCAAACTTTTGAAGAGAATTCTGAAGAAAAGTGAAGACCCTTATCTAGGTTTATTAGCCTACCGAAACACACCTTTAACTTGTGGAGCCTCTCCAGCACAATTGTTGATGGGAAGACAACTGAGAGAAAACTTACCTGTGCATGATGAGAAGTTGAAGCCACAACTTCCTGATCATGAAACAATTATAGAGAATATGATGAAAGAAAAACAATCACAAAAGGAATATTTTGATAAAAGACATCGTACAAGGGATTTGGAAGAGCTTGAAACTGAAAACAGAGTATGGATCATCACAGAAAAAAAAGAGGGAATAATCACCAAAAAATGTAAAGAACCAAGATCATATGAAGTGGAGACGGAAAACGGAACAACATTGAGAAGAAACAGAATACATCTTCAGCCATTCCCATTACAAAAAACCTGTGACGAAGTCGATAAGGAAAATTTACATAGGGTGGAGAAAGAAAGCGGAGAAAAAATATTAGAGCAGAAAAAGGCAAAGGAAGATAATAGAAGACCAAAAAGAAAACATAAACTACCCATAAGCCTGAAGAATTTTGTCTTGCAATGAACTGTTCAAGTAAAATGTTTTAGTTTATAGTTTAATATCTTTCATATATTCATAGAGAAAAGAAGATGTGATGTGATCATCCTGTAGAGTTGACGGCTGTTGACAGGACGATGACAGGGACAGTTATTAAATGGTTTCGAATAGTAAATGTCTATCATTGTATTATTAAATATGAAATACCTATAAACTATATCAAACCACTATAATAATACTAATACAGTAACCTGACACCATGTATTAGTATTATTATAGTGGTTTGATATAGTTTATAGGTATTTTATATTGAATAATATAATGATAGACATTTACTATTCGAAACCATTTAATAACTCTCCCTGTTACCGTCCTGTCAACAGCCGTCAACTCTACAGGATGATCACATCACAAACGCGACCGAAACCGCGGAACACAAACTTTGCTCATGTAATGTATTAGTCCGCCGAAGGCTGAATCACCTAGAACAGATTTATAACACGCCTGCTGAGGTGGAAAATACTAAGCTTCATTAGAAGTCTAGGGTGAGATCTTCTAGGTCACAGAGATCGGAACGGAAAAATTTTGAAAAATTCATAGGTCTTAGTTGATGTGTCAAATTTGATGACATATCAATTTTACTGAGGTTGGGAACTAAAGGGTTAAATAGCACCTAGTGTTTCTTTTGACACCACATGAAGAAAAAATAATTTCGCATAGGTATTGAACTCACCTGTATCCGTTCATTTTGGCAGAGAGTTTCTTCCATTGGGCCACGTGCGTCCATTCTTCGAATTTATCGACGGCTTCTTCGGACCAAGAATCGCCGACCGGATCTAGAAGTGAATACATGGTCGTGTAACTAGACTGTGCGTCAGTTTTTCAACTTGTGATTGAATATATTCTACTTGGAAAGGATCAGGCATTTCGTGCTATTACTTGGCAGCAATTAGAGAGTGTCATTTCTCTGATGCATTTTTTGTCAATGTCAATTACTAATAAGAAAACTTTTTTGCTGTTTTTTCCAATCATGGGGAAGTTTCCTATATTGAGCTTTTTATTTTTCCGTGAAGTTATTGAAAAATTATTCAATACGTATTTTGTATTTTCTCAATGGCTGAGAATCCACTTCATATAGGAATTCAATGAAATAGTTTCGGCTCCTTCACCATTTTGCTGACATCATTGTTGAACTGTCATGTTCACACAGAACTAATACGCGATTTTGCTAGCGCGACTGGGACTCTGCCGTTTCCATTTATATACAGTGTGTCCTAGCTAAAATTTGTCACCCCCATTATTATCTCCGAAATCGTTAAAAGAATTGAAATTCGGCGGGGGACACATTTTTTGCGGGGGACACATTTTTTGCAATAATTATATTCCAAAGCTAAAACCTTGAAGCGTTACCGACATCAACTTTCGATTTTCAAATGAAACACCCTGTATTTAATTACATAATTAGATTCTCCCTGAAGAGCTGATTTCATCAATTTATCACCCTTGGGGTCTAGTGGGAATGATTACAGAGATATAGGGTGTTCAAAATCGATGTTTTTGTGTCGAAACGATCCATTATCGGTCAAAACGGCTTTCATTACCTTTTCTTAACTTTTGATTTTCTATCTACTGACATTTAATTGGAACAAATACAGGGTGATCAGAATTCTGAATCTTGAACCACCCTTGTTCCAATTAAATGTCAGTAGATAGTGAATCAAAAGTTAAGATAGGTACAAGAAAACCGTTTTGACCGATAATGTATAGTTTCGATACAAAAAATCCTAAAGTTGAAAAATCTCGATTTTGAACACCCTACATCTGAAATCTTTCTTGCTCGACCTGAAGTGTGATGCATTGATGAAATCAGCTCTTCAGGGAGAATTTAAAGATGCAATGAAATACAGGGTGTTCTATTTGGAAATCGAAAGTTGATGCCCATTGCGGCGGCTCGGTGGTCGAGAGCGTGAAGGCGCTGAGTTCGTATGGGGACTCCCACCGAGACATAGGTTCGAATCCTAGTTAGGCCATGGATGTTTGTGTTTGTATGTATACCTAACCCCGCACAAGTTTCTACTTATGGGGCGTTTGGTCCCAGTGCTGGGACCAACGGGGTATGCAATTGCAGAAAAAAAATTGCGCTTCAAGGTTTCAACTTTGAGATAAATATGATAATTACAGAAAAATTTGTGCGTTGCCAAATTGAAATCGACCTGTCCGAGCAATTTTCAATTTTTTTAACATCGGAGATTAGGTGGGTGACAAGATCTAGCTTGGACACTGTATTTGAGTTTTAAGAAATTCGGTATATGTATTGACTGCATTGGGACTTCAATGTTAACTACTTTATATGGAATTATATTTGTAATTTGATTTCCTGATTAGTCGAAAAGTATTTCAACACATGGTAAACTGTGCTATGGTCTGCCTCTACTTACGAAATCGTGGCGTCAGTTTTTACTGGCGGTAGATTTCTAGCAGTTCGAAAATTACCGTGGCATCATTGATGATTCTAGCATCTAAAAATCGACCGAAAAATCACTAAAAAATATGAAATTGGAAGGTATTCGAGTGATGATTCTATTTGAGGAATACAAAAAAATTAGTCCACTCGTCTATTGTCAGGTGGTAGAAGCATAATCCTGATCAGTGTCAAACTAATTTGATGAAAATTAATCTGAAGGAAACTTCCCCATCAGCAAATTCAACAGTTCTTGATCATATTTGACATTATTGCAGCCAACCTCACAATACAAAATGCCTAATAAATATGATCAATTGAAATTAAACTTTGTTTACAACCGATCAGCAAAGTAACTTTTGACGCTGTCAAATCGAAACGCAAAATGCACGTTTTCAATGTGTCATTATTTGACAGCATTACCTTGTACAAATGATACGATTGTTCGCGGCAAAAATGATTAAGTTCAGGCAGAATACGAGATAATTTCAAGTTGCGCTGAATATTACTTCAAGATAACAACTTACCTACTCTAGCTAGAAAACACTCGATAGCTTGAAAGTGTAGCCTTAGAAAATCCGTTCGCAGTTCATAGAGGTCACTGAGAGGCATCTTGTCTGTATCACCATAATCGACATAGTAGAGCTCTGCTTGTTTCACAGAGTCTTCTTCTATTATATTGAGCACTTCAGCCCTATACCTGAAATAAAAAGGCAGAGTGTAGAAGCCTCTGACCCAATCTCTCTCTTTTTATTATTCATTTCATTTTGTGTTGGAACAGGATAATGGGCGTGTACACCTTGGTAGAACTTTTGACTCAAACCATGTTTGTAATGATCCTTTCATACATAAATAATGATTGACGACATAATTCGATCGAAAAATTTACTGGAATGTTGAATTTTTGGACATAAATAATAGTACCATCTGAAAACGGACCCTCTTATGACGTAGAAACATCATCTCGCCATAGTTAAAAGAAAATACCAAATGCCGAACGGAGACTGAGGCAACTGATATATTAATTCTTTCAACTGTGATCTCGCGCTAATTCACTCTACCAGAAATCATGTATCATTCATCTCTGTCTGGAATAGTCCTGTTTCTGTATTAGGGTTTTGACGTCACATCATCGCCTCGTTTTCAGAGGTCCGAAAAATCGGGGATTTCAATAATTTTTTATAAAACGTAGGGAGCTCACAGCGATAAACGGTTTGCGGTGTTGAGCTAGTTTGGGTGAGTTCTATCGAATTATGGAATAACATTTTTTTGTGATATAAGCCCATTGTAATGTGTAATTTTGCACTCATCATGCGATGTTTTTTTTTTCTTCGAAAATTCTTTTGGTCACTTGAGAATTTTTGTTTGAAAAACATGAATTTCATTATGAAATTCTATGAACTATTCCACTCCACTTTGAATTACCATGGACTTCTTCCAAAGATCATCTTATACAACTTCTTGGCAGAAAATTACTGATAATATTTTATTTATTTCTACAATTCAATGTTTTGCTGATGATGGACCTATATGTAGGCCTAAAAGATGTCCCAGTTGAATAAAATGTGAAAATGATTCTAAGTTTGCTTGATTCATCATTGTATGGTTTGTTATGAGTACAATAAAAATTGATTGATTACTTAACATTATACTGGTGATACGAGAATAGCAATAAATGATTCACCACCTGATCAATTTGATTGCAAACTTGATTACGAAACTTTATCCAAATTATTTACATCTTGCTGCTATAAAATCTAGCTGATTGTTAACTGTAACCAATGTTTATGTACGACCGTAATTTTATCACCTGTGATTTATGTTGTCCAATAAAATCTGAATTTTAGGGATTATATAGTCAACATTCAACAATGTCCTATGTATTCATTTTTGTATGTGCAGGCTGTCCCATTTTCGATGGCCTTACTGGATATCTCACTTATTTTAAAATATTTGCAATTTTCGGAAACGTTTTGGATACTTTTTTGTGAAAACTCACGATACCACAAACAAAATTGTCATAACTCACTTCGTTTTTGAGTTACTTGCATTTTGGGACCCCCTGTATCTCAGTTATCTTTCAACTTATCGAAAAAGTGAAAACTGTCGCTGGTGATTTTTTATCGTAGAATCCAGTAGCGTAGTCAGATTTTCAGAATTAATCCAGTTGTTTGTTTTTGATGGAATACCCTGTATATTTTTTTATATTTGAAACATTGATGCTCCGCTTGTATAGAATGGGACCATAATTAAAAAACTAGTCCGCCATATTGGATCAGCCATCTTTAATTTACTAATTTTGACGCTGGAATCATAATCTCCGATCCCAAAAACCATCAGATGAAAATTTCGAATAGAATAGGAACATAATTATTATAAAACTCGTCCACCATATTGGATCCGCCATTCTGAATTTGCTGTAAATTTTGACAAAAGAATCATAATCTCCGACTCCGAAAACCGCCAGATACCAATTTGGAATAAAATCGCATCATAATAAAAAAACTCGTCCGCCATATTGGATCCACCATTTTGAGATTCCTAATTTTGTCGAAAGAAACCTAATCAACAACTCCGAAAACCCCCAGATGCCAATTTTGAATAGGAACAGATCATAATTACCAAACTCGCCCGCCATATTGGATCCGCCAATTTACTAATTTTGACGAGCGAATCAAAATCTTCGACCCCGAACACACCCAAATACCAATTTAGAATAAAATCAATTTTTAAAAGTTCAACTTTACACCCTAGGAACTAAAAGTGTTGCCTACCAACATACTTATGTTTGTGTCAATAATAGAAAAGTCAATTCAAGAGCTAATTTGGGTATTGAAATGGACGACTTTTGTGCCGGTTGCAGACAATAGTAGATTGTTTTATTAGGATCAAAAGTGACACGCAAATTTTGCTTTCGCAAAATCAGCTTGTCAAACAAAGTCACTTTTGATCCGAATGAAACATGCTATTTTTTCTGCAACCGAAACAATTAACTCAAATAAATATGTGAAGTAACCACCAATGCCGTGCTATATGTATGGACTGCAACAAAAAATCCGTGTGGTGGGAATATTCTACCTGCATTAACAGCAGGTTTATTCAATTTTCAAGGATGTTCGAATTCTAGTTTCAATATAAATACAACCACAGAATGACATATTTGTGTATGGACCAGGTGCTCTAATGGCAAATACCGCGGTAAGTGAGCATATCAACAATTATGATAGCGATTATTCATTTCTCTCCATACTCCACTGTGTTTGGCTTGATTATCAAATGGAGGCAAACAATATCGTTGTTTGAGAATGAAGAATGAAATACAGATCAAACAAGTATGTGAATCTTGAAGGCTTCCCTGATAAAAACAAAAATACTCAACTATAATAAGGTGTATTTATATCTCCAGCATGGGTATGGAATGCCAAATCTGCCGAAATCGGAAACAAATCAGGTATACGTCCCAACCCAAATAGCCAACCGTAACAATCAAGAATAAACACTTGATGACCTCTAGAACATATTTTTTAGTTCCTAGGAGCTAAAGTTCAACAACAATGTTGTTGCCTAGCAACATACCTATTTTTGTGTCAGTAATAGAAACGTCAATTCAAGAGCTAATTTTGGTGATAAAATGGACGACTTTTGTGTCGTGGCAGAAAAAAAAATTACATGATCATGGACAAGTTATCAACTGTTTTGATCATGTTTTTGTTTAAAAAAAAATGTACATTAGTATTAATAAAGTATGCTGAAATGTATGGTATTTAAAAATGAATAAAAATGAGAAAAAAAAACTATTGAATAAACAAAAATACCATTTACTATCGAATCGGAACGTGGCTGCGACCAAATCTCCCTTCCTCACGTCCTCCAACGAATGCCCCTCCCTACTCTCCTCCCGACCGTAATACTCTGTCATCTCCTCAACCAAGCAATCCAGTTCGGTCGCTTTGGGCCCCACGATCTGCACCCAAAACCTGAACAAACAAAACAGAATTAATTGTGTTATCTTTTCAGAAACCTCGGAAGCATTTTAACAGAACAACAATAATTATTATTATCATTAAAGCATTAAATCGTCCATCAGTGGTAGGTCTCACTATTTTCAACAAGCTCCCTAGGGTTTTAAAAGACACAGCAAACCTCAATACACTCAGTAATTTTTTAAAGAATTGTTTGATTGAACATTGTTTTGATAATTCACAAGAATTTTATGATTCATAGTATGTAAGTGTATTTGTGCTGTATTGTTGTGCTGTTGTTGTTACCATTTTGATAACAACGGTGTTGCTTACACTGCTCATGATGAAGTTCCCCTCAATGGCGTAATTAGAATGTTTTGGCCCCAACGCAAAATGCATAAGCCCCCCCCCCGTTCTAAATAAAATATTTCTTCGCATCAAAGAAAAGCCAAACTTGAAAAGGATTTTAGATCAGGAGATCATTTTGAAGTCAGAAAATGAAACTGACATATATTCATATCACGGTCCTATTTACACGTGAAATCTATAGGATTTAGTGAATAATTTATTTGACAACAGCAGATTACAGTTGTTGTCAACTCACTCTCTGCGTGGACCAGGGTTGTCAGTTCGATTTTTATTCCATCAGTTAATACCTTGTCAAAAATTCACTAGATGTCAATAGATCTAATTTATGTTACAAGAATTCCAAGAAAGGATAATGAAATAAACCTATGGTATCGAAACATTATGTACTTTTAGTAAACAGAACTAATTTTAATTTATTATCAATAAAGTTCCCATGTCCATTCACGTACAAGTTGTCGATTTTAGAGCTGAAGGTAAGTTTGTTTTTTTTTATGTTAAAGCTCAAGTAGTTTGCATCACACCATATTTTCACAACATCCGAATCGCCAGATATTGTATCTTTCATAACCTCAAGGGGTGAGCCACAATAGACCCCTCTGGGGTCGCAGTGGAGGGGCGGTATTCGCCTCAGTCACATGGAACCTAACCTAACCATCTTTCATATGATCAGTATTTTTTTTTTCATGCGGAAGGAACGTTGTGTCATCCGCAATAATTGTAAAAATTCCTTGAATTGAAAAAGTGACTAGGTTGTCTCCCCTAATTACTTATAGGAAATTGAACGTTCTGGAAATGATTTCATGTTTGTCTCATACTACTAGTTTACTCCACTTTGAGTTATGGACTTGAGCACTTGAACATGTTATCTGTGTCTAATGGAAAATAAGTATCATTATTATCATTATGGAAAACAGTAATTTCACTTAGTGTCGGAACGTTTGATGTTGGTGTATACAAGTTTTATTTTTTGAGAGACCAGTGCGCATACCCACCACGCACAGACTTGCGTGTTTCTGGCTTGGACGAGCCTATGACAAGCCAACGACGACTTGCTCGTCATCACTGAGGTATGCTGTGAAGTCCCTGAATTTTATCTGAACAGGTCCGGCATCAAATAAATAAATAGCCTATCTACGCACTTACCACTAAGTATCCCGTATTGAAAATCAGATTTGAACATCAGAGTTTATATACCACACTGTCTTCATACTATCATAATGAATAAATAATGTTGATGGATAACAAACAGGTCTTAGATGTCTGTGGATACACTTTTTCTTACCTTGGCTCATTTGTTGGAAATCTGAAGAAACTATTAAACTGCAATATGTCCTACTATTTTTGCTACAAATACAACAGTAGGCAGCCATTACCTTCTAATGATAAACAGCTCGATGAACAGTTATATCAATAGCACTCAAAAAAAGTTAAACGGGTCACCAGAAGCTGTGAGAAATCAGTGACCTCACATAAAAAGTTCATGAAGCACAATAATTATACCAGCAATCAGGAATAAGTGGTTCATAAAACAATACTAGACAGAATAAATTGATCATGATACACGTGGTTCCTATCACAGAATGAAGCAATCATAAAGGCATAAATAAAAAAAAGCATTTGATACAGTTGACCACAATATTCTCCTGAAAAACCTTAATTCAATGGGCATCAGCTGTATTGGAAACAATCTCTTGAAAACATATCTAGAAAAAAGGACTATCAGTACTGAAATCAATAATTGTGAATCTAAAATACTATATATAAACAAAGGAGTTCCCCAAGGATCAGTGTTGGGCCCAATTCTGTATCTTTTATACATTCAAAACATTTCCAAAGTAAATGTAATAGGAAACTATGCCATATATGCAGATGACACGGTACTTTTATTTGAGAACAAAAACCCTGTAATTTTAGAAAACAACATGAGGATTTGAAAAAAATGGAAGAATGGCTATACTCAAATCTTCTTTCCCTTAATTCTAATAAGACCCGATATATAATTTTTCATCAAAGAAATAAACAAAATATTGATTTGAATATTAGAATAAAGAATGAAAGATTGAAACAAACTGCCTTTACCAAATACCTTTATAGTTGGATTGATGAAAAGTTGACATGAGAGAAGCATATTGGCATACTCAAAGACAAAATTTCTTCCATAGTTGGTGCCCTAAGAAGATGTCCAAAACTCATCCCAGATATAGCAAATACCGTTCTATACTCTCACATCCTGAGTAAAATGAACGACCTCATAAATATTTGGGGTACATGTTCCAAGAATAATTTTAACAAAATATCTGTGCTATATAAAAAAGCATTAAAAGTACTGTATCGTCTTCGATATGACACCCCATCAAATCAACTTGATGAAGAAACAAACACATTTTCTTTGGAAGAGCACCATCTGATAAATACTCTCAAAATATTATCAAATCTAACTTCATATTGGTAAGGAATTCATGAACATCATACTAGACAATATGACTTGTTTCATCTTGATGCTGCTAATTCTACACTTGGCCAAAAAAAGTTCACTCACGGAGCTATCTCAAAGTTTAATAAATTACCTGATGATATGAAAAGATGCACAAATATCACTCAATTCAAAATTAAAGTCAAGAAACATATTCTCTTGCAAAGAGAAAATCAAACTTGAGTGAATGATTTCTCATTCACTCATTTATTTCATCATGCCATGATGTACTTTTCATGAGCTTTTTGTTTTATCATTATTATTTTTGAATCTGTTGTTTATTTCAATAACTATTATTTAATTTAATAACGCATGAATAATCTCATACCAGATATGAATCTGTCTGATTATTCATGTTATTTCACTGTAAATGTTGATAAATATATTCATATTTATATGAGATGCAATGTAATGTTTATAGCAAAGAATTAAATAAATATTATTATTATTAAAGAAGTGTAAACAAAACACCTGTCCTGCTAGCTGAGCAACTGCGCATACTAGGCACGAGTGGACATTCGCACTGCAATTTTTAGGGCACGAAAAGTGCTGACAAAAATTACTGTTTTCCGTAAGGGTGTATACTGTGCTATAATTTAACCTGGAAGGGTCCACCATGGCGGAGACGTAAACCTCGAAGGGGGCGTCGTTCTGCCCGAGGATCGGCGACAGGCGCTCTGCCTTGGGGCTGCCGACACCCTTGACATGTTCGGGCGACCTCGGGGGCAGCCGAGGCTCCCTCTTGGCCAGGGAGGCGTCGATCGTCTGCTGTTTCGCCGTCGATTTTTCGACGATGTCCTCGATGAGCGATCTGGCCACGCTGATCTGCTCCTTGGTGCCTTTTTCGAGAGAAAAATGAGAATGAATTCACCTAATTCATAAATATTTTTAATACAAAAATTATGAAATCTATTTATTCATGCAGCAGCTTTTTGTAAAAGAAAGACAATTTACCACAGATAATCCTGAAATGTGCAGCCCAGGTAAAAGATGGGTCAAGGTTCACTCCAAAAAATGTTACCGATTCTACCTGGGAGACAGTGCAATATACAACGTGTCTCACTTTAAACGCCCCCCCCCCCCTATATCCCGGTTATTAGTCATGCGATTCCAAAACCAAATTTGGTGTGGTATGAATAACCATTAATATGATTAGTTTTACAGAGATGCACATTATTTTGGACAGTGCCGTGCGTTTTTATTAAACTAAAAAGTGGTCGATTTTTCATAAAATCATATTAGACATTTTTTTACAGGAAATCTAACCTCATATTATTGTTCCTCATGTTATCGAACCTCCATATGCAAAAAATCACCTAATTCCGAATTAACAGGATTGGCTTAATTTTTTTTCATTTTCAGTCTCGAATAAATAGTGACTTCATATCAACTACGAATTTTGGAACGTTCAATGGCTCCGGTAGGTGGAAAATCATGATTTGAAAGAGAAAATGAGTTATACTTTTTTATGTTGAACTCACCGTTTCCGAGTAAATAATTATTACGTTCGCAAAAATGCTGTTTAGATGTGCCTGTTTTTCTGAAACCCTTGATAGGCATCTTATGGAAATTCACATATGTGGGTTTGAAACCATGAGGAACAATATTATGAGGTCAGTTTTCCTGTGAAAAAATGCCTAATATGATTTAATAAAAAACTGACCCCTATTCATTTCAATAAAAATGCACGGCACTGTCTAAAATTATGTTTGTTTTTGAAGAACTGGTCATATTGATGATTATTCATACAGATACAAATTTGGTAAAGATCGCACGACTGATAGCTGAGATATAGAGGGGGGCCGTTTGAAATGAGACATGGTGATAATTTGAAAATAGGTATGTCTCTGTTTTCGATTAGTTCAAAAATAACTCATTGTGGTCAAACCATTGTTTTGCATGAGCAGTTATACAAGGTGGGCCAAAAGAAGTCATCCGATGTTATTTGGCTCTCATTTTTTTTTCGAAATGAAAAGCTTCGATTGCTAATTGATTGCTATACGGGCTCGTTATATGGCATTTTTCATCACTTAGGCGAGATCTTCGGGCGACAGATTCCAGCACTCGTGTCAAATGTTGTCCTTGAGGGCTTCCAGGGTCTCAGGCTTGTTCACGTAAACACAAGACTTCAAAAAACCCCACAAAATAAGTCTGAAACGGTTAAATCAGACGATCTTGCGGGCCAGAGCAAATCGTCAAAACAAGAGATGAGGCGATCTGGGAACGCCGCCTTCAGAATATCGGTTGTGGCTCGCGCAGTGTGTGCCGTTGCTTCGTCCTGTTGGAACCACATGTCCTCCAGTCCTAATTCGTTCATTTGCTGCAACAAAAAACTCGATAAACATGGCCCTATAGCGCGCACCGCCCACTGTTGTCGTTTGACCAGCGGCGACCTCGAAAAAAATGGCCCGATGACTCATCCAGAGTAAACAGCGCACCATGCAGTCAATTTGAGCGGGTGTAATGGCTCCTCGTGCATCATTCGTGGATTTTCAGTGCCCTAGAAGCGATAGTTCTGCTTGTTAATGTACCCGCTGAGGTGGAAATGAGCCTTGTCGCTCATTATGATTTTGGTCGAAAAATCGTCCACGAGATTGAGGATGGCTTGGCTTGGATTATTCCGCTTTCTTGGGGAGTGTATCGCTCCATGGCTTGTTCACTTGTATTCTACATATACAAATAAGAGCATCTTCCAATATTGTGATTTCTTTTAGCCCACCTAGTACTTGCTGAAATCTCTAATTGATTCTAAGTTAGAAATTAAGGAAGAGAGGAACGTTGAAAATACCTTTGATTGTTAGTCTCTTGGCCGTCAACCCCTTTTCGTCATCATTGACGGTGATTTTGGCCCCGGAAAGCCCCCTGATCTCGCAAATCCTCTCCCCACTTCTGCCGATGATCATACCGACAGTTGCAAAAGGCACCCAGATGGATTCGCTCTCCAACACCGGCTGGTTGTTGATGAACTCTTGGATTAAGTTCTCCGCGATATGGCATGCGTCTGTATAAGAAAAACTGAGTTATTGATTGATTGATTGATTGTCTTCATCACCCCAAGAAACATATCTGTTTATAAAAGATATACATGAATACAAATAATAGCTATTTATATATCAAGGGAGGAAAGGTATCCATTTCCTCCCACGTGTGGGCATTGAACACACATGGATAGAAATATGGGTTTATCAACAATTATTTTTCAAAAGCTTTACTAACAAAGGCGGATAATAATTATTCTAGTAAGGAGAATAAGGGACTTGATTAACTGAATAGAACATATTGAAAAGATAAAACTGTGAATTGAAATCATCAAATTATTCATAGATACATGAATACAAATAATAGCTATTTATATATCAAGGGAGGAAAGGTATCCATTTCCTCCCACGTGTGGGCATTGAACACACATGGATAGAAATATGGGTTTATTCACAATTATTTTTCAAAAGCTTTACTAACAAAGGCGGATAATAATTATTCTAGTAAGGAGAATAAGGGACTTGATTAACTGAATAGAACATATTGAAAAGATAAAACTGTGAATTGAAATCATCAAATTATTCATAGTGACGGCCATCAACATTTTCACAGATACCCCATCCACTGATTCAAAAAAGATCTACAGGGTGATTATTATCCTCCACAAAAAAATGGAATTACTAAATCCAGGCCTGAAAATAAAATAATATGTTGATTTCCATTGAGCTGAAGCATTGAAAATGTAAGTATCACTTTTATTCGTGAAATGTATGGGTTGCGAAGTATTAATTTCCAAATAATAGTTATTTATGAACTGAGTGCTAAAAGTGACATTTTATTTTGTGAGAAGGGAAGTTTGGGACAAGACGCCGAAGGCGGAGTGTTCCATCCCTTCGAACAAAAGAAAAAACACTTTTAGCACATATATCATACACTATTTTTTTTACATACACCATTAAGAGTCCAAATTAACGCATAACTATTTTACATTACTTATTAATTGATTAAATAACAGTCTCGAGATTTTTTTGCTAACGTCAATAAATCACGAATTATTCTTTCTCGTTTCTTCGTTCCTCGATGGAAAGTGCCCAAGAAAATGAATTTCTTCCGCCGCAAATTGAAGAAGGTGTGATCAGAAAAATGTCAGTGGAAAGGAGGCCAGTGAAAAAGTGCTTCTTGCATACTTTGAAGTCTTTGAAAGTCCAAAATATGGAAATCGTCAACGCTTTGGTCGAATTACTCTAGATGATGAACATAAATGATCATGACATAAGCAGATATCACAAGCTTGTGGCTTTTTTGAAGCGAAAGGGTGAAGGATATCGACCGGAAAAAGTCAAAAGTATTGACAAGAGAACAAATCGACAAATTTCTCGCAGCAGCCCCAGATGAAATATATCTAATGCAGAAAGTTGCTGCGATTTTTGGTGTTTTTGGAGCCTGTCGTCGAGAATAACTGTGCGATTTGATAATAAATAATATCGAGGATTCCGGAACTTCACTAGTTGTGCATATACCAGACACAAAAACTAATGTGCAATGCACCTTTGTTGTAAGTGGTACATTGTATATGAACTACTACAAAAATTACATAGCCCTTCGTCCAGTGGATATTAATCATTCTAGAGTTTTTATAAAATGCATTATTAAAAATAAATGTGCCAGGACTCCAGTTGGAATCAACACATTTGGTAAGATGGCTGCCAAAATTGCCGAATTTCTTAATTTGCCTGATTCCCATCTATATACTGCACATTGTTTCCGACGTTCCTCAGCTAGTTTGTTGGCGGACTCTGGTGCTAGTCTTACTACAATTAAAAGACATGGTGGATGGAAGTCCAGTACAGTAGCAGAGGGTTATATAGAAGACTCGCTACAAAGGAAACAACATTGCAGATCAAATTTTGTCGAAAACTTCGGCAGATAATATTGCTCTCTGCCCTAGTAGAAGCTTCACGAAAATAAATTCTGTCACATCTACCAATGAGACTGGCCATGGAGTTTCGTATTATAATTGTAGTTTCGGTAATTGTACTTTTAATTGAATAAACACTTCATTTTGAATTATGTTTACATATTTTCTCATAAAAATAAATCACTTTTAGCACTAGTGCATCAAATTTCACACGCGGGAGGAAATAGATACCTTTCCTCCCTTGATATATAAATAGCTATTATGGCCTTAATACCTGTGCTTCCTCGTATGACGCAAATCTTAACTTCCGAATCGTCCACATCCCGAAAATTGATCCTGGTATTCGAGTGGTCTTGAATGTCCTTGATGTTTTTGCCGTTCCTACCGATCAACGAGCGCACCAAGTCCTTGGGCACTCTGACTTCGAGGGTCTTGAATTTGGAGGCTTGAGCGAAGGTGTCCAGGTACTCGTCGTCTTCGTCTTTTTGGAAAAGCAGATAGAGGGCGTATCCAGATATTCCGAAAACGGTGATCCCGAGGAAAACCGTCACGGATCTAGTGATCGGTCTGTAGCAAAAGAATATCTGATGAACTAATTGACCCGGCAGAAGTTGTTCTGTCATAAACATTATTTCTAGAGAATATTTCTCAAGTTAAATATTTTTCAACGCACTTCTATTATTTTATTTTATTTTCAGTTTGCTATAGATGACAGCGTGTTCCTTTAGTTTTTCAAACTATCCTATTCATTTTTTACTTCTTTTCAGTTTGGATATCTATAAAAGCGTGTTCCATTAGTTATTCAAACTACTATTTATTACAATAGCTGGCCCGGCGAACGTTGTTTTGCTATTTACCTACATGTATTTTTGAAAATATTTTATTAGTTGAATACGGTTAAATATTTATCAACATACTTTTTTTATTTTGTTTTTTATTTCTTCCTAGTTTGGCTATCCAAAAAAATCGTGTTTCCTTAGTTTTTCAAACTACTATCAATTTATTTTCGACTTCTTTTTAGTTCGACAATCTATCTCTTTAGTTTTTTAAACTATACTATCTATTTTCTACTTCTATTATGTTGGCCTCGAGTTTGGCAAAGCGTGTTCCATTATAGTTTTTTGAACTACTACTTATTACAAAGATCGCCATATTGGATCCGCCATCTTGAATTCACTAATTTTGATGAAAAACCATAATCTCCGACCCCGAAAACCCCCAGATATAAATTTTGGATCGAATCGGATCATAATTACAAATTTCGTCCGCATTATTAGATCCGCCATATTTAAATTCCTAATTTTGACGAAGGAATCATAATTTGATGAGAGAATCATTATCTCCGAACCCAGAAACCCCCAGATACAAATTCTGAATGGAATCGGATCATAATTACAAAATTCGACTGCCATATTGGATCTGCCATCTCGAGTTTTCTACCAGATACCAATTTTGAATAGTCATAATTAAAAAATTCGTCCACCATATTGGATCCACCATTCTGAATTTGCTAATTTTGACGGAGGAATCATAATCTCCGACCCCGAAAACCCCCAGATACCAATTTTGAATAGAATCTGATCACAATCAATCAATCAATCAATCAATCAATCAATACTGTGCTTTATTGTCCAAAAATAATATTTCTCATTGATAAAGCATGGTTTAAAATAATTCTAGTGGATTTCCACTGTGTAATTAACTAATTACATAAGTCGTCTACCATATTGGATCCGCCATCATGAATTTTCAACTCAAAAAATATCTTACGACCATGGACGTATAAACAAAGGCAGGGACAGGAGAATTGTATCTAATACCTATACCTATACAATTCTGTTCCTGTTTGACGCTAAACTCCTCCGAGGCTAGACCGATTCGTATGAAAATTTTTGTGCGTATTCGGTAAGTATGAGAATCGGTCGAGTCATTTTTCAAATTGAAAATGGCGGATCCAATATGGCGGACGAGTTGTTTTGTAATCTGAATCTATTCAAAATTGCTATCTGGGGTTTTCGAGGTCGGAGATTATGATTTCTTCGTCGAAATTAGGAAATTCAAAATGGCGGACGAATTTTTTTAATTATGGTCCGATTCTATTCAAAATTGGTATCTGGGAGTTTTCGGAGTCGAAGATTATGATTCTTTCGTCAAAATTTGGTAATTCAAGATTCGATATGGCGGACGAGTTTTGTAATTATGATCCGATTCTATTCAAAATTGTTATCTGGGGGTTTTGGGGTCGGACATTACGATTTATTCTTCAAAATCAGAAAATTCAAAATGGCGCACGAGTTTTTTAATTACGATCAGATTCTATTCAAAATTGGTAATTAGAGGTTTTTGGAATCGGTGATTGTGATTCTTTCGTCAAAATTTGAAAACTCGAGATGGCAGATCCAATATGGCAAACGAGTTTTGTAATTATGACCCGATTTCATTCAAAATTTGTATCTAGGGGATTTTGGGGTCGGATATTATGTATTTTTTCTTCGAAATCGGTAAATTCAAGATGGCGGATCCAATATGGCGAATGAGCTTTGTAATAAATAGTAGTTTGAAAAACTAACGGCCTCGTCGGACAATTTCACGTCGAGTGCAATAAACAATTTTTGCACGAGTTGCATACAACATTTTTTCTACGTTCATGCAAAAAGCAAAAAATGATTTATTGAGGTGCGGCACTAGGTGTAGGAAAATGAAAAACGCAACTTGAATACTTAATTATTAATATCGATTTGCATTGAAACAGGAACTAATACGTTATGAACAATTCAACTCAAACTTTATTTTTACCCTCAATGTTGATAGTGAATGAATTTGCAATATGAATATTTCGTAGTGAAGTACTTTTTAAATCCACTTCTTGATTTGTTACTGCTGTAAACGTACTAGTACTTGGTAACTGTACATGGTTATATCCTTCAGGCTGAAATATTTGTTTTGCAACATTGAGTTTGTTTGCATGTGATTCCTCTACGTATCCCTCCGCTACTGTCGACGATTTCCATCCGCCGTGTCGTTTGAGCTCTAGTATATCTGCTCCAGTATCGGCAAGAAGTGTTGCAATATAAAAAATGTTTGTCATGATGACAGCACGTTGAAGTAGAATGACAGATGAGTGCAATAAAAACTTTATTGCACTAAGTGCAATAAAGAACTTCTTTTTCAACTAAATATAGTTCAATAAAGTTCTGCTTTTTGCATGAATGTAGAAAAAATAATAAAAATATATGAAACTCAGCGTTTCTGGAATTTTTTGTTTGTTGAAGGGCAACAGAATTGAATTAGGTTGTACCAACCCAATTTCACATTTGTGTAGAAAATCATATATTTTCAGAAATGTTACCTATGGATTCTGTATGTCTGGATATTTTTTTCATACCGAATTTTGCACTTTTGCACAGCATATTTGGTGTATCGTTGTTTATGAGAATCAACTGATAAAATATAATTGAAAAAAACAGTGGAATTTCAAATTTCAATACAAAACAGTTAATCACTCAGTCAATCATATTATTATACACATTCTAAACCTGGGAAATGTATTACTTCTGAAATTTAAATTGAATGTAAAATTGGACACAAAAGATCCAGATACATTACAAAATATTGATTCCAAGTAGGTATTCAGGTAGGTACACAGTACACACATACATGGTGAATGTCATTTTATACAAAATCAAAATAAAGTCCAGAGTCCAGATATTATTTTTGTATGAAATTAAGGGTTACTATTAATTACTAGGTTGTGTGGTATCATGGTTTATTATTATTCATCATCAATGGACAAAATATTTGAAAGTTTGGATCTTTCAGGCTATTGCTGGGATTCTTGGTTCAATATGGTAATGAACCTCAATTAGATCATTTATGTTACTTTCAATTTCATAAGAAATGAAAAAGTGAGATAATTGGTAGAGGTAATACCTAGCTAAAGATTGTAGACCTTCACAATTAAGAATAGAAGGTGATGTCATTTTTCAAGTATGGGTATCTACCTGAAAAGTGATTAGGATTATATAATGATATTGAAAAATATCAAAAGAAAGATTGGGAATAATTGAAATAGAGTTCAAAGATTTTAGACATGAAGCAGAAATGAAGACATAATACTTGGGTACCTATAGAGGGTTGGTACCTATAAAAATAATAGTTATATTGCTTGATATTTGTTCAACAAGTGTGGAGTTCATAGATATAATAACATATAAATTAACTAATAACTCCATATATTCTTAAAGGGTGTTATTGATCTGAAAACGATAAAATAAACTTAATTTTCGGCTATGTACCATTTCTTCGAATTTTTACTGAAAGAAACACAAACTAGGACATACTATTAATAAAACACTTACCCCATATTGTGAGAAACCAAACTGTTGCCTGTTCTACTATGACAATACCCAAATATTATGCGAAATATTGATAATTTTCATTCCCAACCAGAAAGTTCAAAACCTGTTTAATCAAAATCAAAATATAAGTATTCTAACCTTACTTTACTTCACAGTCCATGCTGTCAGAGCAGAGCTGTGCTGTCATTATGCTGTCATTACAGATATCATTGATGTTCTGTGTTCTGTGACTTCTGTGTCATTTGTGGTAGAGTGCTGAAGATCCTCTACTAACCTTGCAGTGTAGTCGCACTACTCGAACTACTACATAATTACTTTCCTTTTAGCAATCTTTTAGCTGCTTTTAGCCGTCGGTTTCGAACTGGAACTACTCCGGAAGTCCGGAATCTGGACCAAGAAACTTCAAACTTGGCAGTCGGCAAGGCAATTTCATGCCACGTGCACCAAATCATTATTTCAACACCTGGACACAAAATTTCCAACAATCAGGCATGAAACTCTATACGTCGGTACCTTGCTCTTCCCACAGGCTCATCTACTTCTTTTGAGACTTGCAAGACTCGGATTAATCAGATGACGAAATGAAAATAGCAAATATATAACCTTACATCAAGGACAAACTCAGAAGGCGCAAATTCATCACTGCTAGAGTCCCTGTATATAACTTGTCTGAGGTATATACAGGGATTCTAATTACTGCATGAGATTTACCCTTTAGATTTTTTAGCTATTCAGTGATGTCACGAGTTGATTCGATATGATTCAATGTGAATTGTGGAATGCTTGTGAAAAGATCATAAACCCCACATGAAGTTGGCACTCTGAAGGCGCAATTTTACTACTGCATGGAGGGTACCCTTCAGATTTTAAAGGCCTGTAGCTGAACTTGCTAAAGTTAATTTCTTTCCCATAGTTGTCTCTGTTCATGACATGATGTAAACAGAGAAAGTCATAGAAAAAAGTTAAGTTCAGCAGGTAGATCAAACACAAACGAACAGGCCTTGAGCTATTCAGTGCCTTGACCACGAATTAGTTTGCCCGTTTGCCTATCGCGTACAGGCACAAAATAAGGCTTTCGAAGTTCTTATATCTGAGGATTTAAACTGTGGTTCAGCCAATCCCGTCAGACAGTCTAGATATTTAGCCGTCATTGGTTCAGCATATACAGATGTCTGGGCAAAATGAATTCTCTTTACAGAACACCACAGGACTTCTATTTTCTGTGACCGCGACTTAAAGACTTTTGACAACAATTTTGATTCGTGTTTCATGCTTGTCTTTATTTAATTTTTGCTCTTCATTTTCATAGTTCTTTTCTCGTCTGAACGTTGTAGTCGACAGTTCACTTTCTTATCGTGTAATTTTAAGAGTGCAATGACTGAAACTCTTCAGCTCAAAGGCACCCTGTTGGGTCATAATGGGTGGGTAACACAAATTGCCACTAATCCCAAGTATCCTGATATGATTTTATCGTCATCTCGAGGTGAGATAATTTTCATATTTGAGGTTATTCTGAAGTAATCTGGAAATTTTCTGTCCATCTCATACGATCATGTAATCATCATGTCAAATTCCTGTCCAGATTAGAAGTCTATATGTGATTCGAGGTATATTTAGTAATTTACATTACATTTATTTTTCAGACAAGACTCTGATTGTTTGGAAACTGACACGTGAAGAAACCCAATATGGTGTACCTCAAAAACGACTTTATGGTCATTCCCACTTCATATCCGATGTAGTATTGTCGAGTGATGGAAACTATGCTCTTTCTGGTTCATGGGACAAAACTCTTCGGCTGTGGGACTTGGCTGCTGGAAAAACCACCAGGAGATTCGAAGATCATACAAAGGTTTGACAGATTACCAATTTTCGCTCAGTAATAATTCTCAAAATACAGCTCAACTAGTTGATCATGTCTCAGATATCATTGTTTTCATGTGTTTTCTATAGTTGTATTTTGGGAATGTTACTTGAAGCTGATCAAAAAAATATTAATTATTCCCTGTTTAAAACAGCTAGAAGATTTTTTGTTATAAATAAGCCTGGCGTCGATCTTCCTTTGAACACCTGACTGCTAGCAAGAGTAGCAAGTAAGTAATTAGGAATAGTCAAATTACATTCAAGAGTCAAGACTTCATCAAACACTGGATAATCTCTGGTGGAGGGCAAAATGGTTCATATTTTTGTTCTCTAGTTAGATAATGAATGTATTGATATACCTATCCAGTAATAATACTTTTATGAAAGGCTTGAAGCTGCTGACCAGTCACAAACTATACTTTTTCTCCAGACTGCTGGTCATTCAGTGGAATACATTCTTTCTGAATGAAATCAGTTGGCAACCCAAAAAAAGTATGGTATGCTGACTGGTCAGCTGTCTATTCTTTTTTTTTTTTGGATGTTGACCAGTCAGTATACTATACTTTTTCTCTAGACTGCTGACTATTCATTGAAATACATTCTTTCTGTATAACAAAAAGATCTGTTTGGGTTGGGTACATAATTTATTTTTTATATTTCATTTTTTTCTAATCTAGTTTTTCCTTCCTCCATTGTTAGTTCACAAGGTTTTTTTGATCAGGTTTTCATTCCACCAATAAGTTGATGTGTTGGTGTAAGTATATCTCATTTTTTCAGAATATTATATTTTAACTCTTTTTTTTTAGAATTGATAATTTTAGTCTACTGATTGGTATCTTGAAAAAAGATTAGTCTGCTGAACGATCGGCAGCCTAAGAAAGATATTGCTGACTGGTCAGCATTCTATACAGTACCTACTTTCAAATATTGTACCTTCTAGTTTTACAGTGCAAATTCTTTAGTAAAATAATACCCAGTTTCAATCATTCAACTTTGTGCTTTTGAATTTGAATCTTCATTTTACTTTTTATATTACAATTCTAATTAAAATTTGTCAAATAGTGTTGAATCAACCCTTTGAAGATGAATGCCCCTTTAAAAACACATGTATATAATTTTTTGATACATTTTTTTGTTATTAGGATGTGTTGAGTGTTGCCTTCTCTGTTGACAACCGTCAGATTGTGTCTGGATCCAGAGATAAGACAATTAAATTGTGGAATACCTTGGCTGAATGCAAGTACACAATCCAAGATGATGGACACTCTGACTGGGTAAGAAATATTATCTTCTGCAAATTGAATTATTTTTGAGGTTTTTGATTTTACCTTCCTAAAAAGCGCCAGCAAATAATTCTTTTGTGAACTTGTTGGTTGTTGCATGGAAGGAGATCAATATCAATTCATGGGTGTGAGCAAAATGCGTTTTATTTTAATTTTGTTCTTCAATCTGAATTGACACATTATCTAATGATACACAATGATACTGAAAATGTGATGATGAAAATGAGACTAATTCTTTACCAAAGCATTAAAGAGAAAATATTTGATCAATTTACCAACAGAACAAGAAAACAAATAGGTATTGCAATAATGATAGTCATTAACTCAGTGTCACCCAGGTGGAATATCTGTACATTCTCACCCAGATGGGGTCTGATTGCCCCATAATTAGAAACTTGAGGGAAAAAAATCAATTGTAATATTTCCAGATTTGTATGTGAAATGAGTTTTTAGATGTATTCACTTCATGATTATAAACAGAAACTTTTTATAATAGGTTTATGAGATATCATGAAAGACATAGATGGCAAAATTCTTATGGGTAAAAAACATGATATCTTTGAAAACTGTTTGGAAAATTTACAACACTCAATTCTGAAAGATTTCATGCAAAACTAATTATTAAAATGTTGAAGTTATCAGCTAGAAAAGTAACATGTATCTCTTAGAATAAAATATATATCTTTGTTAGACAGGTTTACTGCACTGTCACTATCTTGGTAACCAACTAAATATTGAATTCGCACCAGAATATGACAGAATAAAGTGTTTTGGGAAGCTGTAGGCAACCAAAGAAATGTGCATGCATTCAAATTGAAATGCCAGTGATTTAAAATTTGTCTGGCTATCTGAGACCCCACCTGGGCGACGCCGGGTTAATATCAAGTGAATAGTTGGATTTTTAAATGTATGTCATTACTATCAATTTTGTATTTTGGCTGTATATTTAGATTTCACTCATTTCTTCTTGATTTACCCATATTAAGGATTAATCTCTCAAAACATGTCCCTTATGTCCATGACCGTTGGCCATTATTAAATTGTTTATGTGTGTGACTGTAAGTTCTTTCACCCCTCCTGATTGGTGTTATAATCACTAAACTACAGAGGGCTAAATGGAATAGGTCCATTATCCTCATTTGTTACTCTATTACTATTGTTGAATATCCAAGCTATCATATGTTTCTAATTTCTTAATATCATTATGTGTTTGGCTACGGTTTATCTAACCTACCATATTTCAAATGTGCTAGGTGTTCTTTGAAACTTGTTTTTATGGGTCGCATGGTTTGGCCTATATATGTTAATTCACAATCATTACAACTAATTTCGTATATTCCTGACTATTCAAGTGTTAACATATGATTTCAACCATGACTAACATTAACTTGGTGGTTAATGTTTCACGGTTGGGTGGACAAATAACTACTATACAGGGTGAGTCACAACTATTGGGACACAGGCTAAGGGTAGATAGTTTGGACTAAAATATGGCGATAGGACCAAATTTGCCTAGATAAAAAAATATTGCTGTGGAAAAAGATACAGGGCGTTGAAGTTGTTTTTTTTTCAACTTTAACGCTCTGTATCTTCTTCCACAGCAATATTTCATCAAGGCATATTTGGTACTATGTATCACCATAGTTTGGTCCAGATAATCCGCCCTCAGCATATGTCCCAATAGTTACATATAAGTAGCACACTAGGATATAACATTTAGTTTCAATCATCTCTTGAAGATGCCAACATAGTTACTGAAAGACGTGTCTAGGCGTAAAAAATCGGTTTGGTTAGTGGTGAAACAGCGTCTAGTATATATATCTAATATACAGGGTGTTTCTTAAGTACATGTATAGAATTCAGGAGCATGTTGCTGACGTCAAAATAAGAAGAAAAGTGTGTGTAAATATATGTCCCAAAGTTATTCATTTCTGAAATACAGAGTGTCAAAGTTGAATTCTTATTTCTGTTTTTTGTCAATAAATTTCAAAATAATTGTGATATTGAAATAAAATTTGGTATCTAGGGGTATTTTTCAATGACAATATCAAATTTATGTTAGTTTGTCTCTTTCGTGGGGGTGGCGCCACCTACATGTCTTTTGAGTCTTCAAAAGTCATAACTTTTTTGTGTGTACCTGTATACCTGTTTAACGTTTCATAGTAGAACGTTAGATTTCTAGAACACTTGTGTAAAAAATATATTCTTGATAGAGGTCGCTGCAAGCAACTGTTTTGAAATAATCATGCATTTGAATTATTTCCATGTTTCTCCTATGTCGCCTCTAGAGTATTAGAAAAGATTGCCAGTGCATTTTTCTTCTTTCATTTAATATTCTCCTTCATTCAACAGAATGTAGGCAAAATATGATTCTTACTTCTTTGTACCTACTTTTTTGACCTCTCCCAATTGAAAAAAATAAAAATTAATTAATTGAATTACATGTCATGTTATCTCAATCCATTCTCGTGACAGTGAAGTTTGTTGTCTTCTGTACTTGTGATCCAAGCTTTTTCAACTAACTGTTTCGGTATCAATCTGGTCTTCATTACTGTTATCATTATCAGTAATAAATTATAATAACACCCGATTCCTATTTTTAAATAGAATTGAAGAAAAATAATTTCCCTTACTGAATAAATTAATTATGAATTCCATCTTCTTGTCATTCCAGATTACTTGCATTGATTATTTCAAATCCCAATAGCTCGAAAACACTTGCTCGCAGCGACCTCTAACAGGAATATATTTTTTACACAAGTGTTCTAGAAATCTATTTTTCTACTATGAAACGTTATACAGGTACGCACAAGAAAGTTATGACTTTTCGAAAGACTCAAAAGACATGTAGGTGGCGCCACACCCACGAAAGAAACAAACTAACATGAAATTTGATATTGTCATTGAAAAATACTCCTAGATACCAAATTTTATTCCAATATCACAATTATTTTGAAATTTATTAACAAAAAACAAAAATAAGAATTCAACTTTGACACTCTGTATCTCAGAAACGGATAACTTTCGGACAACGGTTTATACGAACTTTTCTTCTTATTTAGACGTCAGCAACATGCTCCTGAATTTTCTACACGTACTTTAGAGACACCCTGTATACAGTGTGTCCCAAATTCGATCCTCACCATTGGGATCTCAGTAATTATGAGAGATAGAGAAACGGTTAAATTAGCAAGGTTGTAGCAAATTTAATGTTGAATCAGAATATATCGAGAAATCCGGGCTAGCTCCAGTCATTCTTGAGTTATTTGAGAAAAACTGAAATCTTGTATTTTGGTTTTCGCGAATATCTTGGAAACTATTGATTTTAGGAAAAAATGACTAACATTCTCATAACACTTTTTCGTGCTCTTTTCAATGGTATTCTCAGTTTTCCATCAAAATGTCAAATTTCTGAGATATCACCTACAACTGTGATTGTGATACATCACTAGAAAGGAAATTCCATGCTGATTTCAAATCTGTGAAAATCCAATATGGCGCCCATAAGAAAAATTGAAGTTGTAGGTGATATCTCAGAAATTTGACATTTTGATGGAAAACTGACGAAACCATTGGAAAGATCACCAAAAAGTGCTATCAGAATGTTGAAGTCATTTTTTCATCAAATCAATAGTTTCCGAGATATTCGAGAAAAACAAAAATACAAGATTTCAGTCTTTCTCAAATAACTCAAGAATGACTAAAGCTAGCCCGGATTTCTCAATAGATTCTGATTTAACATTAAATTTGCTACAACTTTGCTAATTTAACCGTTTCTCTATCTCTCATAGTTACTGAGATACCAATGCTGAGGAGGTGAGGAGGTTGGGACACCTTTAATATAGTTTTATAAGCTCATATTTACATCAATGAAACTATCTTTCCATCTCCCCCACAGGTCTCGTGCGTTCGCTTCTCCCCCAACCACGCCAACCCGATCATCGTCTCGGCAGGCTGGGACCGCATGGTCAAAGTGTGGAACCTGACCAACTGCCGGCTGAAGATCAACCACTCTGGCCACACGGGATACCTCAACACGGTGACCGTCAGTCCGGACGGCAGCTTGTGCGCCAGCGGCGGCAAGGATTGCAAAGCGATGCTGTGGGACTTGAATGACGGGAAGCATTTGCACACGTTGGATCACAATGATATTATTAGCGCGTTGTGCTTCTCGCCCAACAGGTGGGTTTTGTTTGATTTTTTTTTTTGGTTGATCATCTGAAATTTAGGTAATTTTTTTTTATGAAGAAATGCTGAATCATACAAGTTATGATCGGTCGTTAACGAATGTAAGGACATCTCATTAACCCATTTGACCCTGGAACTACTTTTTCCGATTTTGTATATTTTTTTATCAAAAACGGTTGATAGAAGGTCCCATAAGTCGAGAAAAAATTACAAAAAGTTTTTCGATCTCGCTGTCCCTTTAAAAGGACGGTAGGATAAAGGGGTAACTATTAGAAAACTAATCGAAGATTTAATAATATGTATGATATTACACAAAATGCTCAGCAAAATACTTGAAACTTTTAGAAACTAATTACTATGATAGGTCAAAAAATACGGTATCATAGCCTCATCAAGGCTGTGATTCTCTTCAATTGGGGCATGATTGAAAAACCGTCACTATCGATCCAAAACTTGACAAAATCCTAACGATACCGATTGACCTTGTTTAAGATGACAACAAAATATAATGTGACACTGGCGACATCTTCAAACCGTCAGCTGAATCAGAAAAATACAGGTTTCGTTCTGAAGTCCTTTTAAAAGGACGGTAGGCGTAAATGGGTGAAGAACCTCTGTTGATGTCAGAGAATCACAATTACAAAATTTTAGTGAGTGGTATTATTACACCTTTTCTGGTTGTATTTCAGATATGTATCATCAATTGTATTTCAGAATAGACAATTGAGAATTTCCAGACAGCCTGAATTGAATTTTAGAATAGTCATATTTTAGAATAGTCACTCATATTTCAGAAAGCGTCAATTGTTCTTTCCAATAGTCCATTCAATATCAGAAAGATAAGCCTGTTTCAGTGAAAAATAATTCATTATTTTGATGTACTAGCCCTAACTAGTTCACTGTCGCAAAACAGTTTTTTTTTCCTAGAGCTCTGTACATTTTTAAAATAATTATTGAAATTCACATTATTTCATAACATGAAAAACGCAGGGAAACTCGTTATCATCTGAATAGATTGACATACGTATCAATTATAAATTTCTGTATGACAACTGCAAGACTATTTCTGATAGTCATTTCAAAGTATGAAAAAAGTTCGCCTCCTCGGAAGGTGCTCGCCCTAGACTAGTTGATTTTCTAGACTGAATACTTACTGCAGATAACAAAACAAAACACACAACTGAAGAATCAGATAATAATTGAATATTTCCATCTTGATTAAATTGAATAAGGATTTGAAGATGGAGGTGACAGACGATATTGACCTAAGGAAGTTTGGTCATTGTAGTTCGTCTTCTTCTCTTCTTGTATATCTGGGAACTCTTGGCATTACGCTGTTGCCAGGGCCACAAAAATAATTTGGATTTAAATAAAATCTTAATTATTATTAGGGATACTTGGATATTTTTGTTGTTACTAAATAATCTTGCTAGTATATCAGTATTCACAATTTGATTATAATTGATATTTCCATTTCATATTTTATAATTTTTTTAATGAAAAACAATGATTGTGCAATTAATATTGTTTCGATTTATTATGTTATACAGGGTGTCCTGTAAAGACCACGTCAAACCTAGGGAGAATGTAGATCAAAGGATACCGTTTTCAAGATATATTTTTTGAATATTGAATTTTTGCCCTTTTCAATAGTTTTGTCTGTATGGTTGGTACAATTTGACACCTTTTTGTTTAATTTTTTAATGATTTTAACGTATACATTGAAAACATTCTCCGAACATTTTGAAGGGGGGCTCTGAGAAATATTTTGATTGAAAACTTTGGTAGTGGATATTTTCAACAACAAAAAAATCTCGAAAACGGTAAGACTTTTATAATAGGAATTTTGTCATATGCAGGTGGGTTATCCTTTGATCTACATTCTCCCTAGGTTTGACGTGGTCTTAACGGGACACCCTGTATGTATGTTTTTCTACATTCATGCTAAAAACAGAACTTTATTGAACTATATTTAGTGGAAAAAGAAGTTCTTTATTGCACTTAGTGCAATAAAGTTTTTATTGCACTTAGTGCAATAAAGTTTTTATTGCACTTAGTGCAATAAAGTTTTTATTGCACTCATCTGTCATTGTACTTCAACGTGCTGTCATCATGACAAACATTTTTTATATTGCAACTGTGGTTATAGAAACGTCAGTCAAAAATTAATTCTGACAATTGACAGAATTGTACCTAGTGCCGCACCTCAATAAATCATTTTTTGCTTTTTGCATGAACGTAGAAAAAATGTATGCAACTCGTGCAAAAATTGTTTATTGCACTCGACGTGTTGTCCAACTCGGCCTAGCATTCACTTTTGCACTTGTTGCATAAATAACTATTTGTTGTATATATCCCTATTATAAACAATAATGTTTCTTGGGGTTATAAAGACAATCAATCAATAAGTGATTATTTGGGACCAGATCAAACAATTGTCTTCTGTGAATGTGAATACTGTTCAATCTGGCATTGTCGAAATATGTGACCAGTAGGTCACTACATTTCTCTCTCACACAGCAGGCCAAACTCTGATCAATAACTGATGCGATCGTCAACAATTTAAAAAACTAGACATCCGGCTCGAAGGACCAGAAAAATATTGTTTGAAATTCGAGAGATGAATATTTTATGAAGAACTGAAACAAATCAACTAACAATTGACATTGAGCGTTTTTTCATAACATTCTCGACATTGTTTTCTAAGCGAGTTGCTTTTTAACGTGACCAGCAGTGCTGGAACAATAGGCAACAACCTCACCTAACCGAAATTCCTTCGATGGATTTTTTTCAAATGAAGGTTGATTCTATTCAAAATATTTGAATAACCACTGCAAGGGGAGTTTTATCAAGCTTTCATATGAGAAGAAAAAATATTAGGAAACACAGGAATAATTATACACATTATTATTCTTCTCCACATGATGCATAACTTTTTTAACCTCTTGAGTATCCATGAGAGGGTTAGCGGATATGGGACTGATTACAACCCCAGCAAGAAAAAATCCCCCCTCATCAAACTCCCGAAGTTGAACCGTTTTTCGTACTCTCTTCAAGGTACTGGCTGTGCGCGGCGTTCGGTCCCTCCATCAAAATCTGGGACTTGGAGAGCAAGGAGATGGTGGAGGAGCTGAAACCGGAAGTGGTGTCCCAAACCAGCAAGGCCGAGCCGCCTCAGTGCCTGTCTCTGGCCTGGTCCACGGACGGGCAGACGCTGTTCGCCGGGTACTCTGACAACACCATCAGGGTGTGGCAGGTCAGTGTGTCTGCGCATTAGGGTTTTATTTGTTTGACGTGTTCGAAGAGTGTTTTTGAATAAAATGAGTCAGGACGATGCGATTTTTCTTTGTAATGGTCCCTCCTGATTAATCAACACATGTTTCAGTTGGAGAAAATGGTATTTGATATGTCATTAAATTTGTCAAATGCATGGTCTTTTGTCCATGTGGATTGTAGAGTTTCCTAACTCTCATTTTCAAAACAATACAATAGTTCATGATCTGATAAAAACACAATAACTTTTTTATAAACACCAATCAAAATTAATTAACAGGAACCTTCTGCCATCAATCAAAAAATCCAACAGGATATACAGAGATCTATGTCCTATTTTGGCCCACATTCCCTCAAATTTTCAAAAATCATTGCACAACATAACATTTTATCTTTCAAAACCAATAATAGTTAAGGTTCCATTTTTGTTAATAAAGATAAAAACCCTGTACATTCTAAGTCAGGCGTTTACAAGATCAAATGCTCTGATTGCAATGCAGAATACGTTGGTCAGACAGGGAGAGCTTTTTCCACCAGGATAGCAGAACATAAAAAGACAATTGACAAATATATTAACTCTGATATTATCAACACTACATCTTCTTTTGCAAACCATGTTCTCGAGAATAAACACAAACATAATATAGTAGAAGATTTTGAAGTCCTACATGTTCATCCTAAGGGAAAAAAGCTTAACCTTCTGGAAATTTTAGAAATCAATAGATCTGCCCATTCAAATTCAACTGTTTGTCTTAATGAACAAGTTAGATTTGATTGCCTATCCACTTTCAATTCCATTTTGTAATCTTCCTCTCCATTCATTGGTTGCATTGGCAATCCTTTTGTTTAACGTTGTTATTCCTAATTCAAAAAACAATTTTAAATACCCGACTTAGTCAATCTAGACACATTTTCTTGTTTGTTATGAACTTTGATGTATGGCCCATTAAGTCAACTTCAATGTTTTGTGTTTTTGATAGATGACATTTTGTCACTTGTTTGTCCAAAAATAATTTTTATCTACCATTTTTATCTTTCAAATCAAGTAGTCTGTCGGTTTGATCACTTCATAGTCACGCCATTTTCTGTGCACTATGTTTATTTGATCCAAAAAGAAGCATCTTAAAAAAGTGTTTATTTGGGGGTTCAAAAAACCAAAATTCAAAAATGTTTTTTAAAAATATTTGTGGCCTAAAACCCTCACGAACTATGTCGTCAATTTTATAGTTTCTTTTCTCCTCCTACCTAGCAAGGTATGTCACCCATTTTCCAATAGTGATGGAACTTCTTTTATTTATAAGTGTTGTATTTTAGCCTGATGATGACTCCTAGGAGTCGAAACATGTAGCATATATGATTTGATTATAATTTACTTGGAGCGAGACTTTGAGTTTGTTCTCTTAATTAACATAGTTTTTTTTTACATTAATAATAATATTTATTTATTTCATTTTTTGCTATAAACATTACATTGCATCTCATTCCACACTTAATATGATCAATATTTGTTAATTGGTCATATTTTCAAGAGTTTGACATTCACATTGTGAGGTTGGCTATGAAGGTGAAGCTCAAAAATGTGAATGAAATCGGTGCCACTGTTGAAATCTTTGAATTTCTATCTAACTGCTGAGTTGAATTATTTAAAATAAGATAAAGAACAACTTCTGGAACCATTCATTCTCAAAATAATTTTAATTGACTGACAAGTGACACTCAATTTGATAATAGCTGCTGCCAATAGATAGGTCAAAATGTCATAACTTGTTTTGCAACTTGAAGTGAACATTTTTTTTGTGTTCAATGTCAGAATTTTCATCTGCATGTAAATTACATATTCCAATATTTAGTAGCTATAAATGAATATTTTGTGATGTGTCAGAATTCTGAGTCAGGCTTTTATCAACAGAACTACTTTTAATTCTTTCTCACTGTCTACTTTGGACTCCTATCTCAGATTTAATCTTGATACCTTCCTAAAAAGCACCAGCACAGATATCTTTCGTGAACTTGTTGGTTGTTGCAAGGAAGGAGATTAATTTCAATTCATGGGTGTGAGCAAAATGCATTCTTTAATTTTGTTCTTCAATCTGAATTGATACATATTTATTCAATGATTTTTCATGAATTGTGACAAAATGTCAGAATAGTGATACAAAAGTATTAATTAAAATATAAAACATACAAAAAAGTATTTTAATTGTGTTACTTCCCTACCAATCCTACATACATATAATATGAAAGAAATCTTGTTAATAAAATGATTCTACAATTTCACTGGTCCAGTGAAATTTTTCTTTAAACCTTGCCAACATTTGTAATAGTCAGGATTCAGTTTTTGGCAAGTCTCTGCTCCCCACTTAGTAAGTGCTAAACCAAGACAACTCTCAAACATGAAAGCCTGAAAAGTAAAATTAATGTTGAATCAAAACAAACTTGTGTGGATGATGGTTTGAAACCATTATGGAACTTGAAACGATAAATCAGAAATCTCGAAATTTTGAGAATGAAATCTTGGAATTTTGTTGATATAGGAAATGTAAATTATTTTAAAAATATCAAAATTTTGAGGATACTCGAAATTTTGACAATATAATCTCAAAATTTTTAAAATATAGTCTCGAAATTTCAAGATCATCTCAGAAATTCGAAATTTCGAGAATAATCTTGAAACATTGACAATATAATGTCGAAATTTTGAGAAACTGAAATTCTGAACGAAATCTCAACATTTTTCTTAGTCTAGATCTACGAATTTGAACTTCTGGGTCCACAACATGTTTAATGCCAATTGACAGATATCTGTGAAACTCGCAATCATGTTTTCTTCGGAACAAATATTAATGTAAAGAACTTGAAGTCGCCTACTGGGAAATTATGACTTTTTTCTGAACATTTCGACATTTTTCATTGACGACTCTTTCCCAAATTTTCAACTCAAAATGTCGAGATCTAATATTTTTTTTATGTGGTAGTGGCACAACACGCCGTCATAAGAACTTCCTTTTGATATCTAAAGTAAGGTTCACTATCAGTTTTCTAGTTATGATATACTAGTGTTACATAACCCGAAGAGTTCAGGAGCTTCCGTATTCCCCAGGAATTCAATCATCCTTGCCAATATCTCTAAAATTCCCGACCTTCCTTATACAGGGTGTTTCCGAAAGTGAGTCAATAAAGTGAATGAGGACGAGAAAAGAAAACGAAATTGAAGAATACATTTTTGTCGAAAAAAAAAAAATATTTTGGAAGATATTATGAGCTTCAAAGTTTACCTGAAACTTTTGTAGATCATTTTGATCCAACCCAAGCGTTTTGCTTTTGGCGAGATTTCAAGCACCGGAAGTATCAATGACTTTCACCTCTATTTATTTTGATTTATCGAAAACACCCTCTTCATATGATCAAATGTTTCGCCGCGTAAAAAATCAAATTATTCATCTAATGATGACAATATGTATCTGCTAGCTGTTCCTAAATTCATATGTTCATTGTCGCCCTTAAGATTTTATCGCCTGGTGCCATAGCTAGCACTGGGCTGAGCCGCGTTACCACCGAGAATTTGAATCTTTGCAATTATCTGCTCCAGCTTATAAATAGGTATCTTTCATGATCTCCCCAGAAAAACAGTTTGCATCAATTACTTATAATTAATAATATAATAAATTGAAGTTACCAGATATATTTATAATCCGTACAATATCCGTGCAATCTCATTCCAACTAGTCACCTCAATTGATATGGCATTGTTATTTTTGTGTAATACCTGTTTGACTTATATAAAATGGAATAATATCCTCGATGGGGCTGAGGACTCCTTAATCTATATTGTATGAAGAACGATTATATAATATAATAATTATTCAATTCCTAATGTGAATTATGGGCGTCTCCTGCGTTGCAGCCAATTCAGTGTTGCATCCACGATCAGTGTTTTGCGGAACGATATTCTATATAAACAGTACTGAAAAAATCCTATGTTGTATCTTCTATCATGTAACTGAAGTACTTGCGTTACGTTACGTCATTATTGAATCTATAAATCAGGGATCACACTTGCGCTTCTGTGTAGTTAGGGTGTTCTGTGACTATATTCGCATTTTGTCAAATTCCAAAATATACTAAAAGCTTCCAAAGCACAAAACCAATCACCTGCGTCCCTTCGGCCACCCGCTGCGGCTCCAACCGCCCCTCCGAGCCTGCCCCGAAGCACTCCTTGTCCGGCCCGTGGGCGGTCATGATGCTGTGCAGCGTCGCCCCGCCCGGCGCCAGTCCGCCTCGCTTGGCCTCGTACTCGCCCCGTATCAGGCCCATGAACTCTGACATGCAGTTGCGGTGGTAGTAGGGCGGGCGGAAGGTGTGCTCCTGCACCGACCAGCGCGGCGGGAAGATGACGAAGTCGGCGATGGCGGTGCCGCGGGTCTCCGATTGGCAGGTGAGGACGGTGAAGATGGAGGGGTCCTGGAATAGACCCAAGTTCGAAAATAGACAAATAACAAAACTGAACGATTGAAAACAAACACCAATACCAAACAATGTAAACAATCCGCCAATGGCCCATATAGTAGTACCGACATTCGCCGTTCTGGCGCTACGATCTTGATATCAGTCGCCTTTAATCTATGGTCGCCTAGAGTATCGTTCTTGGCCTATACTTTGTTTTCATTTGTTCACGGTGTTCAAATGTTGCCGTTAGGTTGGGAGACGTGTTAATTTCTCTCGCAATTAGATGCGTCCTGTCTCACTACATGGCAGTGTCTAGATTATGTCACAGATTAACAAACTCTAGACGCTAGTGCGAGTAAAGTGAAAGTCAATTGGCAACCATGCCTGTAACTGTCACTTGTCAAATAGTCCGAGTCCATGTTCCATGCTTATTGACTATCATACTGTATGATCTAAGGCACAGCCAGCCACCTACCCTATGGTCTGTGATCTAAGATTCCATGTCCATGAATGTCTATCAATTTTATTTGTAATTTTGTTGTTGTTCATATGCCTACAAAAAATTGAGGAACTCTTGAGAAACCAGTGTGTTGTTGAAAGTTATGTGTGTTTTTGAGGTTCTTCGTCTTCCTGATGAAACTACTGTATAATGTCAGACAGGCAGTTGAATAGGTGTGTAGGTAGTTTGAAGATTTTTTTGGAAACCAGAATCAAAGAAGTATTGTCCAAATGTCCATAAGTAGGTGAGTATTCAAGATGGGATCCCACAACTTCTAGATATACCTACTTTTATGTACTTTCGCCTCTTTTTATCCTTTAAAGGATGAAATTGTGGTAGAAGGTATATATACAGAGTGGGCCTTTGAAAACGAAACAGAGGCTCTGTAGGTCGCCAAAACCGGATTATCAAAAAAAACTGAAACAGGTCAACTACATTTTCGAGGGGGACATCTTTCTAAAATATTTTCAGCCCTGCGGCGTTGCCGCTTCTAAAGAAAAGAAGCAACAACTTTGTTATTTCAAATGGAACACCTTGTATTTTATTGCATTCTTAGATTCTCTCCGAAGAGCTGAATTCATCAATGCATCACACTTGGGGTCTAGCTGTAATGGTTTCAGGGATATAAAGTGTTCAAAATCGAGATTTTTCAACTTTAAAATTTTTTTGTGTCGAAACTATTCATTATTGGTAGAAACGGCTCTCATGTCCCTATCTCAACTTGTGATTTACTATCTACTGACATTTATTTGAAACAAATACAGGGTGGTTCAAGATTCAGAATTCTGATCACCCTGTATCTCGTCACCCTAATGCAGAACTAGCCTAATTACAAAATTGCAATTTTACAGGGGAAGGTTATTAGTTACTGAAAATCAGAAAAATTAACTGAGAAATCATTTGAGATCTTGATCAAGATGGAAAAAAATAGAGGAAACTGAAACAATAAAATATTTTCAACAAAAATTGATTTTGAGAAAAATAATGGACATAGGATATATGTGTATCCGACTTTTTGTATCCTAACTCCCCAATGTGGAGTTAGGATAGTTTATCTAATTGAATTAATGGATAAAATGGATTTAGGATATCATTAGAAACGAGAAATAATGAGAAAAACATTGAAGGTTTTATTCAAGTTGGCATAAAAACAAATTCAATCAAAATACAGTTGAATAAACATGTCCATGCAATGAATTATCAGCTATCTTCAGTCACTATCATCTTCCTGCTGATTCGTGGTGCGAGAAAAGTGCAAATTCATGAAGAAATTATGGTATTCTTTTGGTAATGCATTCTTGTTACAGAAGAATATCAAATCATTATATTTTTCTTTCGATATTGGCAAATGTTTACTTCGTAAAATTTTGAGTTCGTATTCCTCAGGATAACTGATTGCTTTTCGACCTTTTTTCAGGAGATTGATAGTGGAAAATTGTTCATCTGAGTAGTTATATTTGAAAAATAAAAATCCATCATTTTGTGTATCAGTTCTGATCAGTTTAATCTGGTTCCACTTTACTATCTCGTTGTCGGTACCTTTGTCCCAATTGATGGTAGTGTTCTGCAAGAGATCTTTGAGGTCATACACATTGTCCTGGGACACTTCGATGATCTTATAAGGGCTTTTTCTACATGCCGTTCTTGCCAAGGTGTACCATTGACCAGGAGTGTATAGCGGTATTGATTTAGAAGCTCTTTCAATAACACTATGAACACTGTCTCCCTCATTTTGAGTATGACCACTTTCGAGGAACTTATGATTGATTATAACTTTATACTTATGGGACACGTAAAAATACAAACTATAAATGAATCTGTTGCGATTTTGGCCAGCACAATTGTCAGAATATAAGGAAAATTCTTTGATTCCTGACTTTATTCCATCAATTAAAAACATGTAAAGAAAACTTCCGATTTCACAAGCGCCCCTAGCTGCTACAGATTCGTACCACATGTAACATATACCTTTATTCTGACCCAAATCGTAAATTGTGAAATTGTACGTTGACAATTTTCTTTTATAATATGCCTCTCCAACTTCTATTTTGGGAACAGGAAGAACTTGTTGCAGGTCGAACACTGCAGCACAAAATTGTTTGTCAACTTTAGCGCGTTCTTTATCATTTTCCTTATTTTCCCGTGCAAGATTTTTGTTTTGGACATGAGAATTAAAATTCTCCTGCATCTCGCATTTTTCATTCTCATTGGAGTTATTATAGTTTGTGCACAAACCACATTGGTCTTTCTTTGGTTGAAAGAATGAGATGTTGTATTCTTCACAAAATATTTTTCTATAAATACACTCTTTGGCCATTGGGAGATTGTTTTCTTGACAATATTTTGAGTATAGCTCATACATTTTGGTGATGTTCAACGTCGAAGGAAGATAAGTTTTACTGGAATTTTTACGACAATAATGACTCTCTATGGGTTGAAAATTGTCAATATGTGATCTCACAGATTGCTTCACTTCATCAGGCAATCTAGAATTACATTTTATTTTACCTCTCAAGTCCGATTCCACAATACCAGGAGTATTCTCGACTTTTTTACCTACAGTTTTCACCATTTGATGGCTTATTGACAGAGTATTGAGAAAAAAGGTTTGACAAACTTGAATTCGACCACTTTTCTTATCGAAGTTTGGTAGGTGATAAACGAAAGTGAATTGTCTCCGACTTCCTTGGTGTTCTTCTCCAGATTTGATTGAGATACGCTCTCTAGATTTGATATTGTAATCCACATACTTTGATATAAAATTTCTCTGGAGTGTTATATCACCAAGATGCCAGAAGTCATCGAAAATGTCTTGTCGATTTGTTTCGCTCCATTTCATCGAACATTTCAGTCTGCAAGTACCTGGACAAGGAGGTTTTAATTTTCTACCTGATACAGTGTTGCCTTTCCAATTTTTGTATTCTTTTCCAGTATTTTTGAGACGTTTGATAACATTTCTTCTCCAGTTTTTTGGGTCAGCTCTCCTTTTTCGTGTTCTCTGAATCTTCATTGTAGGCTCCATTTCTTTCTCTGTTCGTTCTTCACTACCTTCCATTGTACGTTCATTTCTATCATCATTCTCTTCTTCTTCAGTAGGGACATAGTCAGAGTCTTCATCTGTATTGTACGGATCCTCCTCACTTTCTTCTTGATCCGACTGAAATTCCGTATCATGGTTTACTTCACTATCAATTCTTCCTGAACTTGTATCTACTTCGCATGAGAAATCAGTCATAGGAACATTACTCAGATCTGCAAAAACTGGTCGATCTTCGTCATGTAAGTTAGAAACAGCAACTTCTAGAATTGAAGACACGAATTAAAATTTGTATATGGATGATAAGAACAAATTTCGTCACCAGAAGAGTCTATGTTAACATTCTGAACAACCTCGCCGATGTTTTGGATACAGTCATCATTAAATTCTGAACAATCATTCGATATTTCAGTATTGTGCTGATTTGCTTGGTTCTCATCGATTTCTTTCCCAAGATCGATAGCTAAAACGATTTTGACTCAGACAAATGAAATATCATCCGAACTATCCCTTACCTGATAATCCTATAACATCCTTATCCGTTCCACTTACGCTCCTCGTAGACAAAACTTTGTCATCGAGTTTATTATTGAGAACTAACAGTGAACCTAAAAATATTGACAATATGAATCCATTTTGTAGAGGTAATGCAATCGCATAACCTCAAAGAAGTAGAATATCTACTGAATTATAAAATTTAAAATACATTACATACCTCGATATGAAGGAAACTCGGTCACTATTTGTGTTATTCCATTCTTAGCCATTTCTACAATTTTATCTGTCCTGTTACTCATTTTGTTTTGAAAAAAATCGAAACAAACTGATGATAATGTGAATTATGATACTGATAAGTCGAAGAACAGCAACGTACTGAAGAATCCTAACTCCAATAATGCTTTGAACCTGTGATAAACCTAGTAGTGCGCGGACTAGAATGTGAATGCAGAACTATCTCAACATAACATACAATCATTCTGCATTGAAGGGATACATCAGTTCAAGATGGGATAGTTTGAAACTTCAATAAAACGCGGGAAATAACGATGAATCAAGTTAGGATACCTCTGCAGTCAATCCTAAGTATCTTATAGTGTATGATAGGATAGTAATCGTGAAAACGTCAATTTTGGAGTTAGGATAATTCTGCATTAGGGTGACGATCTGTTCCAATTAAATGTTAGTAGATAGTGAATCACAAGTTGAGATAGGGACATGGGAGTCGTTTTGACCAATAATGATTAGTTTCGACACAAAAAAATGTTAAAGTTGAAAAATCTCGATTTTGAACACTTTATATCCCTGAAACCATTACAGCTAGACCCCAAGTGTGATGCATTGATGAAATCAGATTTTCGGGGAGAATCTAAAAATGCAATAAAATACAAGGTGTTCCATTTGAAATAACAAAGTTGTTGTATATTTTCGTTAGCAGCGGCAACGCCGCAGGGCTGAACATATTGTAGGACGATGTCCCCCTCGAAAATGTAGATGACGTGTTTCAGATTCTTTTCATAATCCGGTTTTGGCGACCTACAGAGCCTCTGTTTCGTTTTCAAAGGCCCACTCTGTATAGGATCCAAGTATTCCAAGTAGCATCGTCCGTTATTGTTATCACAGAAGATGGATACGGAAAATTCTATATTCGTTCACATACGAATTTAAAATGACTTATTCGGTGATTGGATCGTCTTGATCCAATAAGAAATGAAATTTGTAATAGTTTATTCAAATTTCATACAAAAACTCGGTCAATATGCCCTCGTGGCCCGTACCACTCGTACCAGCCCTTGTACTCTGGTACGTGCCTTGGCCAGTCACACTTTTTCGTCGTGTCGTGAAACACCTGGTCCATCTTGCAGCCGTTATTTATGCGGGGGCGAATTGCCACGTTTGCACACGTAGAAGAACTGGCAGTCCTTGGGATCGGCGTACAATCGCATTCTGAATTGTTTCGATCTTATTCATTCATACCCTGTATAATATATTATTTTTATGGAGTGAATCGGTGAGAGCCACTTGGCAACCTTGCCTGAAACCTGCAACGTCACTTGTTTTTCCTCGAAGTTTTCGTTCCATGTCAGGTATTTGCATTTTGATTTTTCAGATTTGAGTAATGGAGTAGGAAACATGTCGTTGAATCCACATTTCGTTACATCCACATTTTCAGATAAATATACTTCCTAGGAAGGAAGTTCATTTAGGTTCGGTTAGGTTAGAATGGTCAGAAAAAGTAGTCTCCTTATACAAAATGGATATTTTGCTTCCTCATATTCCATAATCGGAATTCAGGGAGCCAAAGAGGAAAATGCCATAGCTAGACGCTTATAAAGTTTATGCAAAGTCAGTTGGACAGATCATCAAACGAATGTCGGGCCGCGCTGCCGCACTCTTTGAACTTTCAAAGGGACCGCCGACGGCTTGTGGTAATGTATTTTTCCAACTGACGTGTGCCTAACGCAAGCACTGAACTATAAACCTACAGGGTTATAGTTCAGTGAACGCAAGCCTAACGCACATTGTGTTACACCCACATCTGGCAACAGTGCATCCTTCGGTTATTTTCGGAGACTTTGGGAATACTGGGAATGTAGAAATGTGGGGCTAACGAAACGTGGGCACAAAACAGCGCATCTATTGAGTACACAAATATTTCATCTTCCTATACAAATGATTGAGGAACTTGGAGGAACTCTGGAGAAACTAGTTCAAGTTGTGAAATGTGATGTTTTTTTTAACTGTTCGTTGTCTTCCTGATAAAACTACCTACCACATATTGAGTGTAACCAGACCATTGTCGGCTAAATGCCTGAGTCGCCCTGAGTACAGGCAACTTGATTTTTTTCTCCCATTCATTTAGCCGATAATGAACAGACACTATCTAGACAGGCAGTTATGTATAGGTGTGAATCTTAGGTGTGACAGTTTGAAGATTTTTTGGGAAAATAGAATCAAGAGAAGTATTTTCCAAATATGCAAGAGTTGGTGAGTATTTAGATTGGATTCCACAATTTCTAGAATCTATAGATGTACTTATATGCATAGAATCCAAGTGATAGGTACCGAAATTTCAATAAATAAGTGATTATTTGTTGTTCTGAAAACGAATTGAAATGACTGTTTCGGTGATTGAATCATTGAATCGTCTTGATCCAATAAGAAATGAAGTTTTTAGTGAGAAAATATAAGTTTATTCAAATTTCATACAAAAACATCATTCAATTCATCACAAAACACACACCGTGTACGGTGTTGCTAAATTCAACATCAAGGTCACGTAGTTTGCGTTCCATGTTCCATCAGTTGGTGAATTTAGCAACACAGCGACAGCGATAGTATCCGACTCATTCTTCTCGCTGACGCGGCCGGTGCTTCCTCTTGCTGACTTTGGTGGCCTTGGTAGTGGGCGCGGGCGGATTCTCAAGGTCAAACAGCTGCTGCTCCGTCAAAATGCCCTCGTACCAGTCCTTGCACTCGGGCACGTGCCTCGGCCAGTCGCACTTCTTCGTCGTGTCGTCGAACACCTGGCCCATCTTGCAGCCGTTCCTGCGGGGCGCGTTGCCATTGATGCACACGTAGAAGAACTGACAGTCCTTGGGATCGGCGTAGCGCGGGTGGGTGGCACCCACGGCCTCATCGACCTTGGGGCACTCGAACTCGAACACCTCGGCCGACGTGCAGCCGCCTCGCTTCGCCTCGTCCGGCCACGAGCATATGCCCACCTGGAAACGGAGCGGGTTTTTAATGTGGCGGGGGTTTTGTCGATATTTTGATTGGTTTATGAAACATTTAGAAATTTTCTTCATGGGTTTTTTCAATATTCAATTTTCTACTGAGGCTTCGAGAGTTCATGTGTTATGAAACTTTAGAAACTTTTCGAGGCTTGATATATTCATGACTCAAAATCGTGAGATAAAATGAAGACCACAGGGGAAAAGGGGGGATGTCACAATATAGTGGGAATTGACTTGACACCGCCATCTGATAGCCTAACCACTATATTTTAGTATAAACAGAAGTCCACAGCAATAACGCAGCATAGTCAGCTTATATGCTCGTTCGAAAAACATGGAAAAAACGCGGAATGTCCACTTCAAAAATGTGAAGGAAGGGTAACGTCAAAGCCCCAGTGCTTGCTTGAATACAGATTCCATTGTGATTTTAATAGGTTGTTTTCACACTGTTAAAAGATCAAAGGGAACTCTCAGGCAAACAAAAGACGAGAAAAAAAGATACGGCCACCATTTTTTCTTCTCTTGGAGCGTACGAAAGGGATTCCCTATAATGTTCGGGGAACATCGTGGGTACCTTTGGGAGGATAGGGAGAGGAGGTATGTAGGTCCCAATCAGCACCAGACATCTTAAAGACGTACATTTTACGACTTACTTTTACGTCTTTACGTCCAGGGACGTATAAAGTACGTCTTTAAGATGTAAATCCATGTACATCTTAAAGACGTACACGAATTTACGTCTTTAAGACGTACATTTTAGGTCGTATCCACGTCGTTCCTCCCATGCCGTATAAAAGACGTCTTAAAGACGTACATTCCAGTACGTCAATTCGACTTATAGAACAATAATGTAAGTTATTTTCTGAAGAAAAACAAAATGTCATCTCTTCACGTTTTTTATTTTCAATTGTTCAGTTTTTTCTTATTTTCAACAAAAGTGATGTTTTTGAATTTTTTCGTCCGACATTTTGGAGCCTTCGTGTTAGATTCTCGAATTTTTACAAAAAAATTATATTCTCCGACCCCAAAAGTCCCATAGTAATCAATTTTGAATAAAATCGGACTATAATCACAAAACTCGTCCGCCATTTTGAAGCCGACATCTTGGATTTTTCATTTTCGACAAATGGAATTATAATCTCTGATCCCGAAATCCTTCAGATGCCAATTTTGAATCAGATCAGACCATAATCAGAAAACCATATGCCACATCGTCCGCCATATTGGATCCGCCATTCTGTTTTTTCCATTCAATAATTATATCACAACGAATTGTCACCGGAATAATATTTACTTGCCAAATTTCAAATCAATCGGACCATTTAAAGTGAGTCAAATGTAACTTGCACGTTTTGATTACAAACAAACACAAGGACATGTTGAACTAAGTAAAAGCTTGTTATGTGATATATAGAACAAACAGAGTAACAGAAGAAGTGATTATGGTATAATCATCGAAGTCAAGCAACACAGAGCGCGGTTAGTACTTGAATGGGTGACCGCTTGTGTCTACCGTTTGATGAAGTCGTTTATTTCCATTTTTTTTTGCTTGTCTGCACTTGTTGCTAACTTCAGTGCACAGGTGAAAATCAACTGAAACTATGTGATTTTTCCGTAATTTGAAAGATCAATTTGAGGTCATGGACCAAAAACACCTAAAAAAGACGTCTTAAAGACGTACATATTAGTGGAAAATGTACGTTTTAAAGACGTCTTAAAGACGTACTTTGGCTGATTGGGGTGTTGGGATTTTTTTCAACTTTTGGAGATTATAAGTTCTTGGGAATACTCTGTTGGCAAAAAATTCCGAAGTTTTGCCGTTCTATGTATAAACGAGTTTTGGTAAAGAGTTGTTCGACATATTTCGTGTAATGGTCTGTTCATTTCGATTCTATTACAATCATCATGTGCTCGTGGAATTATGGATCCTTCATTCCGATGGATTGCCGTAGTCATCATATCTGATTGGTAGTTGAGTCAATTTTCAATACGTATGGAACGGTGATTGTTTGAATATCGCTCGAACGTTTTCAAATCCGTTGAAATGCGGAAAAAACAAAATATTGATAAATATCAATATTTCACATCATGTGTATAAGGAAGGTCTAATATTTCAAAATCATTTCGGGATATTGACTTGATTTGATTTGAGAAAGAAGATTTGCAGAAGGATGAAAATATACCTGGAGAATACGGAGACTCCTCGACTTTTTCGGTTATGTAACTATAAATTTTTCGACCACTCATTGGTATGTCTCAACTGGAAAACTCTGATAAGATTCGAAATATGAATCTTGAACAGAAAGGACGCATCTCTTGAACACTATTCCGAATGAAAATCGGTCAATTTGAATCGTGAAGACCATATATGTTCGTCGTAACTTCTTCGTTTCACATTTCAAAAAATGTTGAAATCTTTCAAAGGGTTAGGACAGGAAATTGTGTTCCGTTCCATTTGTAACGGTTTCTTCAATGAACTGGTGCTAAGATAGTAGAAATGATAATAACACTTGTTCAAAATTCAACGTGGAATCTGAAAATGCAATGATATATAGGGTGTCCTATTTACAAAACCTGAACTTCTGAATCGCTGCGCTTTTTGAGACATTCTATATAAATATAAAACCCATTTAATTGATCGGATGAAACCCTACAACTTAGGCATTCAACATTACATTTTGTTTTTGGAATTCTTAAAATAAAGAAGTTGCTAGGGGGGGGGGGGGGTGACGGACTTTTGGTCCTCACTATATGGATTGGGGTGATATTCGAATGATTGGTCCTTGAAACTTACATACCAAAAAGACAAATAATGAAATCGTGGCAAATTTAAGTAACTCATATTTTTGCAATTGTTACCATTCTTGTCGGAAGATGGCCGAAGTAACCTCAACACGTGATTTCCAAATGGAACATGATACCCAGAATTTTTCAACATTGTTGGATTCAAGAGAGTGTGAAGTTTCAGATTTAAATCAATTCAGTTTTTTGGATTGTTCTTAGGTGGTTATTATGACTGAAGTGAAATACAACAAAGCAGCCTAGGAAAAAGATTCCTTCCGTGAGATCGATCATATGTGAGAAAACGATAAAAAATCCCATAAATATAAATACATATTATGCCCATACATATGTGCACGAAAAGTGACATCCAGTCTCGCTTCCGATAGATTTTTTCAACTTTTCATTGGTTATTTAGATAAATCAAGAGTCTTGTGATATTTTTCATGTCATTTTCTTCAGTTTTTCCAATCTACACTCATTGTTATCGAAATCAAAGTAGGATGAGATGCGAAAAAATCAAAAATCAAAAAGTTGTCTTTATCCGAGGCTTTATCTGAAATACAAGAGAAGAAAAAGTTGAAAAATCTACTCGGTGCATCTTAATTTTCGTGCACAAAACTAATCTACTTGCCATGCGAGCCCGCCCCTGGTTTTACTGAGTGAATTCAAATTATAAAGGGTGTTCCAGAAAAACATCTAAAATTGGAATCATTTCCGGTGAAACCAAAAGTGACCGCGAAAAGTGAAAAATATGCATAGACCCTTGGTTTGATAAAATTTTCACCTGAAACATCACGCTACTAAATATTAATCAGGGTGTTCCATTTGAATTACAAAAGTTGAGGTAAAAACGGCTTCAACACAAATGAGAAATTTGACGCAGGTGTACCTATTTGAATATGCCAACATTTCAAAAATATTTCCTGAACCACTCAAAAGTTTTATTCATCAGAGAAATGGCCCGGTTGGCCTGGAATAAATAATGAAAATGTCTTCAAAACTTGACCTTGAAATACGCAAAAGTCTCAAGACCACGAGCGTATATGCCTGACTAGAATCTCTCAGATTTGCGAATTAACGAATGTTTCATTGACATAACTCTTTGCTATTTGAAACTTTAAATATCTGATAACTTTTATTAGAACTTCAAATCCAGAAAAATTCTAAACAGCACATAAGGGAAAATCGATCTGAACGCAAAATAATGAAATGATTGAACTCATAAGATTTCCGAGATATATGGCTTTCTAATATACAGGGTAATTTAATGATTTAAAATGTTGACAATACCCAATCTATGATATACTTTTATGAATGGCCGAGTTTCTGATTTTGGTGGGAACCCTATAGCATCTTCTTTCCCTACGCAGGTTGCTTCAGTTATAAACCTCAGATATTTCAAATGTTTCATAAACATCGAAAACAAATAACCATGTATATGCATGAACTCACCTTCTCATTGTACACGAGCCCGTTAGGGCAAGTGATCATGTTGTACTTCCCGTCCACGCAAAAGTAGAACTTGTTGCACACGTCCCGTTGCTCGTGCGCGAAGTACCCGTGCTTCCTCGGACAGTTCTCGCTCGGCTGCGGCTGCTGCAGCTTCGGCCTGGCCGAGCAGTCGATGTTGAACGGCAGGTCGCACTTCTCGTACTCCGAGCTGTAATCGTTGAACACCTGCCCGTCGGGACACAGCTTCTCCGTGATCTTCCCGGCCGAGCACTGATAGAACTTGTCGCACTGTTCCGCGTCAGCGAAGAAGCCGTCTGGCTCGGGGCACTCTTCCGACAGTTCCGCATCCGCTTCCGGCTGCGGCTGCGGCTGCCGCCTCTTGGCTGCGTGGACTAGGGCGCACGCGAGGAGCACGAGAGTCAGCTTGTGTAACGCCGACATGGCTGCACCTTACTGAGCGCGATTCGAGTATAGAATAAGACTTATATGCGCGAAAGGACTTTCTCTTCGAGCGAGGCCGTTTGACCTTGCATCGGCTCGGATATTGTCTTGCGGGCTAGTCAGGGTTCTTTTGTTCGGTCATGGTACTCTGTATCGGATTTTCCGGTTTTAGAAGAAGCCTTCGATGGCTTTCTTCGGATAACTTGATTTTTGCCTCACTAAGTAGCCAGTGGTCGATTAGTATAATTGCGTTTCAGGGGTCTTTCTTTTTATTTTATCAAGAAGAATACATTCTTTGAGTGGAGACAAATAAGTATAGAACCACTTATTTAATCAGGAATTCACATACATAGGGAACAAGTTGGAGCCTGTAGAATATGGTGATCTTGGTGGGCATCGTATTCCATATTTTGAATAACAAATACGGTGTTTGGACATCTGGAAATGTTTTTTATGAATTTGCAAGTCGTAGTCTCCATCTCTTGAAGTTTTCTCCAAAAATATTTCAGCAAAATGAGAGATTGGTATTGGCATTTATTCGGGCATTTATGTCGACAAATTTTACCAAGAAACTGTCGTTTAACACTATCAATCTGTATAGCTCTCCTGTATAGGTACGCATTTTAATTAGTTACTTTCATTTCATTGCAAATTATCAGGTCTTACGTTATAAATGCCAAATTTTGATATCGAAAATGAAAGCTAATGCTATGAACGGTATGGGACATTGACAAAATATTTGCATAGTTATATTACCACATGAATTTACTTTCTTTTTATCTTTGTCAGTTCAACCAATTTTATGCTGTTGCATGATTCAATTCAACTGAATTGAACGAACATTTTACCATCACGTATATAATATACCGCACTCACCGATTCTTGTTTTTAATTGCTAATTCTACATTCATAATAGATACACATTCGACATTTGATATATATACAGTATATACTATTGAGTAACTTATCGAATTCTTATCAGTTTTTGGATGTATGAAAAATTGATATTCATCATACAGGACGATGACAATAGAATAATTTAATATTATCCTGATCAAGATCTTCAGGATGGGCGTTTTTCTTCTGTCGAATGAAAGGGTTGATGATGTTCCAATACCAAAATTTCAGAGTGTTCCTTCACCAAAATTTCAAATGTTCGTTGTTACTTCTATTAACTTCATAACCTTTTTTTCAGGGATACGGCATTTTCTTTCACCAAGTACTCGTATAAATAGTTATATCCAGAGAGACTAGTGATTTTGACCCACTTTAAAACGTCGCATCAAATTGAAACTTCGCACACTTATTAAGATCCGATGACAATAGCATAATACAATGGTTTTCTTCCATCATCCTCATCAAGATCTTCAGGATGGGCGTTTTTTTGTCTGTCGAATAAAATGGTGAATGATATTCCACCACCAATATTTCAAAATGTTCCTTCCCCAAAATTTCAAAATGTTCCTTCACCAAAATTTCAAATAATCGTTTCTAATTCTATTAACATTATGCAGCTTTTTTTATATCCAGAGTTACGGCAATATCTTACATCAAGTACTCGTATGAATACATACATCCAGAGAGACGAGTGATATTGACACATTTGCCTAATTTACAGTTGCAACTGTGAATTAGCACTGTAAATTAGGTAGAAGAAACTTTTTTCTAGATATCGCCAAATCTACAGTTGCAACTGTAAATCAGAAAAAGAAACTTTTTTCCAAATCAACTCCTAATTTGAAGTTTGCAAATTGCAACTGTAAATTAGCACTAATTTACATTTCCAACTGTAAATTAGGAGATATTTTGAAAACAAATAAGTTTTTTCTGCCTAATTCACAGTTGCAACTGTGAATTATAACAAAAGATCTTTTTTTCCTACACATCTCCTAATTTACAGTTGCAACTGTAAAGTAGGCGAATGTTCGTGAAAAAAATAGTTTTTTTAGGATGGCAGTTCAGGATCAAGATCTTTAGGATGGGCGTTTTTTTTAATGTTCCTTCACCAAAATTTCAAATGTTCGTTTTTACTACTATCAACTTTATAATGCTTTTTTATATCCAGAGATACGAAAGTATCGTATACCAAGTACTCGTATGAGTAGTTACATCCAGAGAAGCGGGAGAGTTTCACCCACTTCAAAACCTTGAATTCAATTGAAACTTAGCATAAATTGATAGTTTTGTTCCACCGCAGTATCTTGCACCAAGTATACTCTTATGATATGAAGAAAATAGTCCAGAGATACAGTATTGTCTTGCACTTGCACCATCAAGTACTCGTATGAAATAAAATTTTTCTACTGCCATAACACAATATTCCTCTTTTACTGTGTTCGATATACATCAATGAGTTACTTTGTATGTCATCAATTTTATTTCCGTATCTGATATCACAATGACCTCATTTTGTGTTATTATTTCAAAAAATTCTCATCGCTCATGAAATGTCAAATTTCGAGCAATGACAGCTCTGTCTAATAAATGAGAATTACTTGGGACGAAATCAGATGGTTACAAGACGAAGAAATCAAAAATGCCACAGTTATCTGTTACATCCGTAGAAAAATTATAGTGTATAAAGCGCACGGAATGCTAATTTCCAGCAATATACTATTCCGGAGAGGGAGATTCAGAATTCTGATCACCCTGTATCTGTTCCGATTAAATATCAGTAAATATTAAATCAAAAGTTGAGATAGAGACATGTGAGTCGTTTTGGCCGATAATGAATAGTTTCGACAGAAACAAATCCTAAAGTTGAAAAATCTCGATTTTGAACACCCTATATCTCTGTAATCATTTTCGATAGACCCCAAGTGTGATGTATCGATGAAATCAGCTCTTCAGGGAGAATCTAAAAATGCAATAAAATTCAGGGTATTCTATTTGAAATAACAAAGTTGTTGCTACTTATTGATAAAAGCGACAACACAGCATTGCTGAAAATATTTCGAAGGAAGAGAGAGCGTATTTTAAAAGCAAGCCTATATTCATGGATTCCCGACTGATTCTCGATATAGAGATAGTGTAAGCTCGTCGTGACATACCCTGTATATATATCCATTTTTTCATGTTCATAATTAATCTGAGAATATTCCTTTTCAATAAAGAGATGTAGAAAATAAAATAATAAAATGATGAAAAATTACTGTGCAAACTTCTATTTTGGGTCAAATATCTCGAAAACTGGTCATTTTAATTCAGTTGAAGATGATGCATTTTTAGAACAAAATTGAACAATGAATTCGAGAAATTGAAATTAATGAATGGTCAATGGTGAATTTCGGGTCAAAAACATACCCATTTGAGGATGAAGCCATGTACCGAATTTGAATGCAAAATATTCAATCATTCTTGAGTTATTGTGAAAAAACTATTTTTAACTTTCTTAACTTCCACACCCTATATTTCGAGAACTGAACACTTGATGACCGTATGTCTCTACCTCAGTACTTATGAAATGAAAGGGGCACCTGTCAAGCGTTGGCGGTGGAATTTCGACACCCTGTATAATAAACTAAGCGAAAAAAATTACGATTTCGTCTTTTTGCTATGAAGACATTCTTCTAGAAAATATTTGGTATAACTATTGATATATACAGGGTGAGTTATAACTATTGGGACATAGGCTAAGGGCGGATTGTTTGAACTAAAATATGGCAAAAGGACTAAATATGCCTTTATAGAATATTGCTGTGGAAAAAAAATACAGGGCGTTGAAGTTGACTTTTTATTTTCGTTTCCTGCCAATAATTTCACTGTATATTCATGAATTGTTATCAAAATTGGCACAGAGGCATGATTTCATACAGGGAATATTATTTTATGTACTTTTTTAAATTTTGAAACAGGGGGCGCCACGTGGATGATTCCTGATGATGAAATCGCCTGGTTACTTTTTTTGACGAAACTTTTGAGTGATTTTGATTGAAAAATATGACCTAAACATCATTTCTACGTAATATTGGTACTCTTGTTTGAACACGATATTTTCATCCGTTTTCGAGAAAAACGCTATTGAACAGTTCAGAGTCTCAGAAGTTAATTACAAATATTATTTCATTCATGAAGAGTGTGCTTTGAACTGTCAGATAATGTTGCTGGTGATGGCATTTCTTGTCAGATAATGAATTTTGGTGCGAGTTTATAGTCAAAATTTTTTCGATTGAAATGTCTCGTCACAATCATTTTATGAATGAATAGATGCGGGATGCAACCAGAAGGTATGAATTGTAATATCTTTAATATCTAGACAGAAAGCAACCAAATCACAAAACTTTTTCAAATATATTTCATATACAGTGAAATTATTAGCGAAAAACCGACAAAAAACGAAAAAAAATAACTTAAACGCCCTGTATCTCTTTTCACAGCAATATTTTATTGAGGCATGTTTGGCCCAATCGCCATATTTTGGTCCAAACAATCCGCCCTTAGCCTATGTCCCAATAGTTATGACTCACCCTGTATATGTCGTTTGCGTAAGCTGAGGATAAATTGTCTATTTGCTATAACGACATTTTTATAGAAAATGTACTACCTTCAACTATTGATATCTAGGTCGTTTGCCTATAAAAATATTCTTTCAAATGACATTCTTTTTCTTGATTCTTCTTCAGATTGAGATTGAAGCTATCTGATTTCATCAATATTATCAGGCATTTTGGGAATTCTCAATCGTCTGCACTCACATGTGGAATGTAAATTTTATACTTACACAGTGATCGAATGAAACGGAATTGATAACCATGAATTTCTCGAGGTCGTACTTGTAGGGCACATAGTTCCCATGCCAGGCTACAACGTCAAAAGGACTATGATCCTGTTCGCAAACGAACAGTTTTCCTTGATACTTCGCTACGATCTCGTAGTTCCCTTCCAAGTCTTCATATTTGGCAACCTATAAGAAAACAGAAGTTGTATTAAACTATTCCAAAACTCTCTAGTCCTGTCGACATTTCTGAGATGGTACTACCACCATTACAAATTTTGAGCCAATGCGCTGTTCAAACTTGTTAAAAATTATGGCCTGCCTCGAACCACAGGGTCTACAAGAGACCGTGCTCTTCCACCAACCGATATCGCCGATGGTGATGACGTCAGTTTTTACTATTGCTACGCCAATCTCGCCAAAAGTCGGCATAACTCGTTGCCAAATTACAAATTATAAATTGTTTGGGAACTGATTATCATAGATTCCCTAATTTTTTGGCACGACCCATAAATAGTATTGTTCTTTCCACGGATCAATAATTGTGACATTGAATGTTGCTTACCGGTGTCAAAAAGTCTCTTGGATTAGCCAGGCCGTTTGCGCCAATAGGTCCCAAATCTGGTAAAGCGAAGTGTCGCCCAAACACCTCCAGAATGTAACCTCGGGAAGGCTGGGAAATTGCCACTCTGAATCTCATGCCTTGTTGAAGGACGCATATTTCATTTGATTTTACCACCATCTTGCCAAATTCTGTTGTTATCTCCAAGTCTCCACTTTGAGGCACTGGTGGAAAACACATAATTTGATTCAAGTATTTTTCTGTACTTTACTTATTTGGATAGCTGCAAAAAATATTTTTTCCTGCCAACGGGTCAACTGGGTTTACGGATGGCTCAAGGTTTTGGGAGCGGGCCCAAGAAAATTTCGGCAGAAGAGGTCGTGGAACAATCACCATATGCTCAGACAGCCAAGTTGCTATTATGGCAATAGGATCACAACTAAATTGGTGTCCTAGTGTCAGCCTCATGTGGGTCCCAGGACACTCGGGTACCCCTGGGAACGCGGAGGCAGACAGACTCGCTGAAATCGTATCAGGAACGAGTCTGATTTTACCAGAACTGATACTTACTAGGAATACTCAATAGCATGCCTGTGTCCTTCATGAAGAAATTGCTACAGAGGCAGTTCCTTGACACACCAGGAATGAGACAATCAAAGCTCCACATGAAGGAACCTTCAAGAAGGCTCGCGAGATAGGTCCTATCAACAGAAGAGATCTCAAGATGGTAATTGAGCTCCTAACTGGACACGACTACTTCAACAGCCACCTGGAGCTCATAGGGATCAAAGATGATCTCATCTGCAGACGTGCTTGGACGATGATGAAACATCATCGCACATACTTGCTGAATTCCTTTTTGGGAGCATTGTACTGCACTCAAAGGATGTGAAAGTGATTCAGCTGAAGAAGCTGCTGATTTCTTCAAAGAAATTGATATGCCCAGTTGATTCACAGACTATGTGGGCGCACAATGGGCCCGACTGAAGAGGCTTGAGTGCTAGGGTCTGCAACCGTCCACCCGTCCAGAGAAGAAGAAGAATATACTTATTACATACACCTCGCCGATCTTCCAACAGACCAAATCATTAGGAATTTCAGTTTTGGGAAGAACTTCCGAGTGGAACTGAGCAACAAGCACGAATGTTGCATAGAATCCATCGAAGCGCTGGGAAGGAACACCAAAACTTGTTATACGGACGGGTCTAAAACACTCGAGGGAACTGGAGCAGGAGTCTTTGGGCCTCGCACCGAATACTTCGAATCCATGGGACAATTCCCCAGCATTTTTCATGCAGAACTACACGCCATAGAAAGATGCATCCAGTTTAACCTAGACAGGAAATACCGGAAAAAGGAATTCGCGATTTTATCCGATAGCTAAGCAGCCATCAAAGCGTTGAGCTCTTCTAACATCAACTCGAAAAGCAAATCGAATGAGCTAGGCAGTAACAATAAAGTGATCCTCCTCTGGGTGCCAGGGTATATCGGAGTGGAGGGGACTGAACAAGCAGACACTCTGGCACGACAAGGGTCTTCAACGCCGAAGGAGTCTTGAGAGCCAGACAATGGAGAAGACTTCTTGACTTGAGTACCAACAGAGAATTCTTATTAATGACTTTATTTATAGACAAGGAAGAGATTATTGAACATAGGCCTCATGAAGAACTAACCGTAGACACGTGTTTCGGGCTTTCGGCCCTCATCAGTACGGTGAAAAAGTGTGCAACAGGTAGGCAACACTTGGTGGAAGAAACAACAAATCGACGGAGTCATCAAACAGAAGCCAGCCGAACATTTGTGGTTTTGGTCAGCAGACCCTGAGGTCTCAGGGAAACTGCTAACGTCACCACGGAGGCAGCTATAGCTACTTGCGTGACATCCGTGTCCAGAAGTAAAAACAATATAATGAAAGTAATATCGAGGGAACTGTAAAGAGACACAAATGTGCGGCTGGCTTCTGTTTGTTGACTCCGTCGATTTGTTGTTTCTTCTTCCACCAAGTGTTGCCTACCTGTTGCACTTTTTTTCACCGTACTGATGAGGGCCGAAAGCCCGAAACACGTGTCTACGGTTAGTTCTTCATGAGAGCTATGTCCAATAATCTCTTCCTTGTCTCTTTACAGTTCCCTCGATATTACTTTCATTTTATTGACTTTATTTATATTATCATAATTCAATGCAATGTTTTGTATAGAGGTTGTTGAGAATTTTCAACCTGATCTCGTCTACTCCCCAACATAAACTATATTTCCTTCTCGGAACTATCAGAAGAATTGCTAGAACTTCTGGATCTGGAGACAAGGCTCCAAAAACACTATTAATACATCATTTTTAATTTTTTTTTCGCCAATTCCGAGCTTCTAATTGAGAACAATCTGAATATCCATCAAATCACGAAAACAAAAATGAATAAAGGAAAAAAACAGTTGTGATTCTCATGTCGAATAACTGCCTTTTTTTTCAAGACTGATGACTCCAACAATTTTAAGCATCAGAGAGTGACGTCACTTTCATCAATGATGAAAATGAAACGTTGATGGTTTTTCAGGTAACGTAACATTAATGGTAGGGAAAGTAAAAGTTTTCGTATGAGTTCAATAGACCGGGTGTCCCAGTATACCTGTTCCAATAGATTATCTCAGCCATTTCGAAAGATGCAAACTTGAAAATTACATGATCTACTGCAATTCTGATAATTTGAATTCATTATTGAAGTCAAAATCAAGATTACCTACAAAAATATCGTAGCCTACTGCAATTCGTTCAATTTGAAATTTCAATTGTAGTTTTCTCCATCAAATTAAATTTGAAATACGAAGTGTGATACGTCGTTGAAACGGTAATTTTGAGTAGAAATAAAAAATTGCAAAACATATACAGGGTACTATTACAGTTGAAGATTCCCTGAACGAATTGGAGATCATAAAATTTTCGAATTTTTATTTTTTGAAATGGCTGAGATAATCCATTGGAACAGGTATACGGGGACACCCGGTATAATTCACTTATTGCCTGAAATGTTTTATCAGTTACTTCAGAGTTGAATTCCTAAGAAGAAAAACACCATTCGTTTAGTTAGGAAATCACTTATTTTCTCACCTATCAGAAAATCTCCGTCTGAATTATAGAACGCCCTATTTTCCATTGAGACGTTGCAAGAATATACGTGAATGGCCAGACCATGTTTACATCTGGGATCACCTGCTCCACAGATAGTGTTGATTCCTCGGACAAAATCAATTCCAACTTGTGTTTTAGGTAGATCAAAAGGGTTCCAGTGCAACTGTAACAATAATCATTAACCACATTATACAGGGTGTCCCAAAAAGGTCTGTGCAAAATCTCAGCACAATTATTCCTGAGGTCAAAATAAGCCGATTTAGAGCAACTTACCTCAGTCCGAAATTGCTCCGTTTCCGAGATACAGAGTGGTATAGTTAAAAAATAAAAATCGTTTTTTTCAGAACTAATTTTCAAACGTATTACTTCAAGAATTGGTGTCCGGGGATTTTTTGGGATGCGAAACCCGGACACCTTTATACTGTGGCCATTAGAGGGCGCTTACCAATGTACTTCTTATGACTTAGAATGGCCATAACTTTTTTCTCAGTGTAGTTTTCTACTTTTTTCGTCGAGGAAACAATTTTAGACATCAAAGGTACTCCTGTGGAAATCCGATGAAGTAATTCGATTTCGAGATATTTCGCTTTTTAGGGTTCAATGCCGCACCGAAATTTTCAATAAAAAATGTTTGCTGTTACCTTCGTGAATGTAATTTGTTCATTGAATGATCGCTGCCAAAATGGATTTTTCAAAATACTTCCTTGAAATGTGTCGATTTTTATGTTTAACTCTACCACCCTGTACCTCTGGAACGGAGCAATTTCGGACCAAGGTAGGCTGCTTCAAATCGGCTTATTTTGACCTCAAGAATATGTGCTTAGATTTTATACAGACCTTTCAGGGACACCCTTACATACCTATTCAAGATCGTTCTGTTAATGCAGAATAAGTACCATATGAATTTAGGTCTAATACAATGAAGAAATAAAATACAGGGTATGTCACCACGAGCTTACACTATCTTTATATCGAGAATCAGTCGTGAAAAATCCATGAAAATTTGCATGCTTATATTACAGAATATGCTTCATTCATATGAAATATTTTCGACAATGCAGTGTTGCCGCTTCTACTAGAAAGTAGTAGCAACATAAATATTTTAAATGGAATACCCTGTATTTCATCGCATTTTTATATTTTCCCTGAAGAGTTGATTTCATCAATATATCACACTTGGGGTCTTTAAAAAATGATTACAGGTATATGGGGTGTTCAAATTCGCGATTTTTCAACTTTAGGATTTTTTTTGTCCCGAAACTATTCATTATCGATCAAAACGGCTCACATGTCCCTATCTCAACTTATGATTCACTATTAACTGATATTTTTTAATCAGGACAGATAGAGGGTGGTTCGAAGTTCAGAATTCTGGTCATCTTGTATCTGTTCCGATTAAATATCAGTAAATAGTTAATCAAAAGATAGGGACATGTGAGCCGATAATGAATAGTTTCGACACAAACTAATCCTTCAATTGAAGAATCTAGATTTTGAACACCCTATATCTCTGTAATCATTTACGTTAGACCCCATGTGTAATGTATCGATGAAATCAGCTCTTCAAGGAGAATCTGAGAATGCAATGAAATACAGGGTATTCTATTTGGAATAACAAAGTTGTTGCTACTTTTTGATAGAAGCGGCAACAATGCATTGCTGAAATTATTTTGAATGGAGAGAGCGTATTCTAAAATATAGGCATGCATATTTTTATGAATTTCTCCCGAATGAATCTCGATATAGAGATAGTGTAAGCTCTTCGTGACATACCCTGTATAGCGAGCTCAGTATGTCACTGAGAGGTGTCAAACTATAAGAAAAACATGTTTGAAGAAAAATATTTTGTATTTTTATGTTGAGAACGGGAGCAGATTCGTTTCCGAAACGTCCAAAGATGAGTAAAAATTCGATATTTTTTCAATATAATGATACCAGGTATGATTATGATGAAATTTTCTATCCAGAAATGGAAAGATGAAGAAAAAACTGAACCACCAATAAAAAAATAACATAAAAAAATTGTATCTTCTCTTGAAAATAAGATTTTGACATGAATCAGGTACAGAAAGGCATCACATTTCAATCCAAAACATAATAAAACAGAAGGTTGGAGAGTGGTTCTGAATTAATGGTAACAAGTAAAAAATGCCACACTTTCTTAAAACACCTGCATCTTGCCTAATTAACGTAATTAAATACCATGGTGCTAAGAAGGGATCATTCTTCAATCCGAAAATTTTTTGAGAATGAAGCACGAAATTTCACCAGAATCGGACAAGAATTAAATAGTTACGATCAATTTCACTATTTTTTTTGAATAAATACAAAAAGCTCGAAGTCATTTCCACACAACGTTCATAAAATGAACAATAATGGTGGATTACAGGAGATTGTTGTTCATTTTATGAACATGGCGTGGAAATTACTTTGAGCTTTTTGTATTAATTCAACATTTCATTCCACTTTGAGCAGTGTGGCTATTTCGCAGTTGTAACTAATTTTTCTGCTGGCTGTTTTTTTTTGCGGTGAGTGTATATTTGACATGCTTGATCTATAAAAACATACCTGATTTGGATCAGGTTCAGTTTCTGACCAATCATGCGTCACGTTTACGTTTTCGAGCCTCTTGAACGGCCTATGTCCCACCGAAGGCCTAATCCTATACAACCAAGTCCTGACGTTTTCTGCCCTGGGGGCGGTGAACGCACTGCCCGATAACTGCTCGGCGTACAACCCGTAGGGGCACTTCTGAGGGCTGTTTTGCCCTTCAGGCAGCGAGTTCGGACATCTGGGGTCTTCTGAGCTGAATTCTGATCCGAATCCACTTAGATACTAAAAAAGTGTACAATATACAAGGTGTAGATGAATAAGTACGAAACAAATTATTAGGCAGAAAACGATTTTAATTCTTACTCATTTTATATCCTTTTTTTATGTTTCGGTTCCCACGAAAATGGATATCCTGTAATGTTCAGGGAACATCGTGAGAAACAAGGGAAATAAGGTAAGAATTGGTGTTCTTCTTAAAATTCTAGAGGTTATATGCCTCGGGAAATACCTTCCTTGGGAATGTGTTCCAGAGCCTCGGTGTTCGTTGGATGAACGAGTCTTTGGAAAGAGATCTTCTGCAGGTCTCCAAAGTGACCTCTACTCGACGGGTTAATCTCGCGGGGACTGCCAAGGAAGGAACAATTGTTGATATCTCAGAAGTGCATCGTCCATGAAAATATCTATAAAATAGAGCCAGATCGCCAACTTTTCTACGATTTTCCAGAGAAGTGAGTGAGTTTGTGAGCGATGCATCACCCACGAGACGAATTGCCCTTTTTTGGACAGAATCCAACAGATTCAGGGTATGTTTGGGTGCTCCAGATATGGGAACAGTAATCCAGGACAGGTCAGATCTGTGCCTAATAGATCACAAGCAGCTGACTGGAAGTGAAATAGCTCTTGGACCGAAACAGAAATCCAAGTTTTTGGGATGCACTTTAAGCAATTGATCTCACGTGATTTTCCCAAGAAAGGGACAGTGAGATCGGCTTTTCTAGAGAAAATGCATGGTTGTGTTTTGTTTGCATTGAAATCTACGAAGTTATTGGATCCCCATTCGAGAATTGTTGCCAAGTCCATATTTATGTTGTCAACATTTCTCCCTCGTTTGTTTCTGATTTGCCTGGCTGGTATTGGAGCCCTGGAAGAGCGGTTTGGAGGGTACTATTATCAGCGAAGCTGTGTACTGGACATGAAGTTGGTTCCAACAAATTTTTGATATGGAGTAGAAATAGTGTTGGTGCTAGAATCGATCCTTGCGGAACACCAGCATTTATGATAAGAGAGTCAGATGAAACTCCGTCGACCACTACCTGTTTGAGAGAAAACTAGCTAGCAGAGAACATAGCTGGGGAGGCAAGCCATAAGATGGAAGCTTGGCGAGGAGTCCGTGGTGCCAGACTCGATCGAATGCCTTGCCATATTTTGCAATAGATTGCTGCCATATATGTGAGACCTAAGCGAACAGGTCACCAGTTGATCTCTGATGACGGAAGCCATATTGCCTATCGTTCATAATACCTGAATGTTCCAGGTATTTCATGAGCTCGATGTTGAAAGCTTTCTCCTTGATCTTTGAAATGATAGCAGTGCGATCGGTCTGTAGGATTTTTGATATGGAGTAGAAATAGTGTTGGTGCTAGAATCGATCCTTGCGGAACACCAGCATTTATGATAAGAGAGTCAGATGAAACTCCGTCGACCACTACCTGTTTGAGAGAAAACTAGCTAGCAGAGAACATAGCTGGAGAGGCAAGCAATAAGATGGAAGCTTGGCGAGGAGTCCGTGGTGCCAGACTCGATCGAATGCCTTGCCATATTTTGCAATAGATTGCTGCCATATATGTGAGACCTAAGCGAACAGGTCACCAGTTGATCTCTGATGACGGAAGCCATATTGCCTATCGTTCATAATACCTGAATGTTCCAGGTATTTCATGAGCTCGATGTTGAAAGCTTTCTCCTTGATCTTTGAAATGATAGCAGTGCGATCGGTCTGTAGTTGCTAGGTAGGGTCTTTCTGCCCTTTTCAGGAACTGGTTGTACTCTTGCAATTTTCCAGTTGGACAGGAATATCCCCAATTTGTAAGAGTAGTTGAACAACTTGCAGAGAACAGTTGTTAGTTCGGAAGCACATTTTTGAGAACAATCGGTGGGATTCCGTCGGAGCCACAAGTTTTGTTGATGTTGAGACCCAATGAAATCTTCCTTATAGTACGTTGGCGAAAGGTGATCTCGGTCATATGACTGTCAATTGGCGTTATGTTTGGAGGTTGTTTTTCCGATGAATCTAGAGTGGAATTTCCAGCAAATAAATGCGCAAATGTTGGCTTTCTCGTGGGCAGTTGTGGCTAGTGTTCTATTTTCCTTGGTTAGAGGAGGAAACGAGCTGGAAGTGAAGTTTCTTCCTACAGCTTTGGCGAAGGACCAACATGAACGGAATGAGCATCCTTTGATGATCGAATCATCTCATTGCATATGCCTCTACCCTCGACATATTCTGCTCTAGTCTCAGGGCCTGGATTTTTCTGCCATCGATGAAATGCTGCCTGTTTGGGAGCGACAGCTCTAGAGCAGTTTCTACTGAACCAGGCCTTATCGGAAGATGTTCTCCTTGTAGTGTTCGGTATGTATGTATGTATGATTTCAGAAATTGTCTCAGCACATCGTGTTGGATCTACTGAGGGGAAACAAACTCTCTTTCATGGAAACGCTGAAAAAAACATACGAAGACCTTCCCAGTCGGCCGAATTGTAATGCCACATGGGACGGGTAGGAATTGTGGTGCTGGATGGTACATGGAAAGAGCAGGTTGTGGAGATGAGGGTGTGGTCAGAGTTTCCAAGTGGGACACAGACTTCTATTCTATATGGATCAGGATTGCTGGTGAGAAAAAGATCTAGTGTATGGGTAGACTGGTTGTTGGTTGTTTGTTGACATCTGGAATGCGGGTTGGTAGTTCGACTAGCTGTTCTAGACCATGAGTGATAGCGAAGGCCTCAGTTTGACGACCTGCATCATCTGTTTTGTCAAAGAATTTGAGCCAGGCTGCGTTGTGTACCTTGAAGTCTCCCATGATTATGATTTCAGCTGTTGCATGGTTCTCCTGAATGAAGTCCAGTTTGAGTGATAAAAACTCAGGGAGGTTGTTATATTCATTATCATTTGGCGATAGGTACAGGCAGCAGATGAATTTGGTCAGTTTGGTATCGACTAGCTTGAACCACATCACATCAAAGTCTTTCGCTTCCAAACTCTCTACACGCTGGCATGAAAGGTTAGCCATCTTAGGTTAGCCTTAGCGTAGAGGCAGACTCCACCTTTGAACCTGAACCGGGAATGAAGTTCGTAGCCAGCACAGAGCATGTGGACCTTGTTGGTTCACTTGAGTTTCTGTCAGTGCCAGAATATCTGGTTTTTCCGTTTGTAGATGATGGTGGACGTCATCGATGTTTTTGTTGAGTCCGCGGATGTTGCAAAAATGAATCTTCAGAGATGAGTCCCCTCGAGTAGCTCTCGCCCGGAAATCCGAATGGAGAGGTATTTTACTTCCGGAGTGTTTTACTCTAGGAGACTTCATCATCTTTATTCATAGAGATGAGACATTGGGGAAAAGGGTGAGGGAGGCCGGAAAGTATCGACACGGCAAACAAAGTCGATATGGTGGTATTTCACTGGGCGATGAGACCATCTACCACCTAAAGTTATCCTTTTAGTCGCCTTTTACGACCGGCAGGATTTACCATGGGGGGTTATTCTAAGTCGCCCCCATACGGCCATATTGAAAAGGAGTATTCTCAGATGAATTATGGACATGAAAAAATGGATATATACAGGGTTTTCACTTAAAACTCCGCACGCCAATTTCTCGGGAACGAATAGAAATATTCAATTTCTGTGAAAAGTATATAAGGGATGGGATCAATTAGATTTTTTTCAAAGTTTGTAAAATTCAACGCTTACTATAAGAGCTGAGCGTCGCGACGCGTATGAAATATGAGTCGATGTTATTTATTTTACTCATTTCTGAGTTATACCGGTTTATACAATCAAAGTAGGGAAGCCCAAGAGGGGATTTCGGGATTTACTCGGGCACGGCAGATTAACATAAGGGACCTTGTGAAGTTTTTCTACCAAATCTATACGGTGTCGAAAGTTTAGGGCAGCCGATCAGATTAGTAAAAAAAAATCGATCGTCAGAAATACCCGAGCACGTCAGACAGTTACATGCAGAAAAGTGTGCATTTCAATAATCTGACGATTTGAGCTTGATATAAGGAAATGGGAGAGCCACAAAGTTGCAAAAAAAATATACATTCTCATGTTGAAGGCAATTAGTCACGGATCACGGAAATAACATAAACTGACGATTTGCACAAGCCGAAGTAGCAAAAATCATCAATTAAGTGTCGTGCTTGCAACCACTGGGAACTATGTATCTGATTGTAGTAACGCAGAGGAAACAGTATCACTTCGTATATTGTTATCAATGCTTGATCCTTGTCATTTTTTGACATTTGTGGACCGTTTTGACTAATAATGAGTACCTTTGATACAAGAAAACCGAAAGTTGAATGATTTCTCTTGAAACTAAAGTGTGATATAGACCGTTGGAATCAGCTCATAAGGGTGAATCCGAAAATGCAATTAAATTTGCATTTTTGATTAACCCTGTATAACGCAAAATATTTCAGAAATGTAATGCTCATGAGACTAGACCATCTCAAGAGTGTTTCTCAAACAGCAAAGCCGTTATCTCACTTTGCCACACTATTGGTCCACCCTGTATGTCTACATGAGCCTTCCATCTCAGAATTGTGAATTCTTCGAGCTGTTGAGGTCCAGCTACAAAAAACTGACCCACCCTGAATATTTTTTATTTTAGCTATTACATTCAGTTAACAAAAAACATCCTACAGTCAGATTTAGGTAATTCTTCTACATAATGGGCTTATATCTCAAAAAAAATTTACTTCATAATTCGATAGAGTTCACACAAACTAGCTCACCACCGCAAACCGTTTCTTGCTGTGAGCTCCCTATGTTTTATAAAAAATTATTGAAATCCCCGATTTTTCGGACCTATGAAAACGAGGCAATGATGTGACGTCAAAACCCTAATACTGAAACAACACTATTCCAGACAGAGATGAATGATACATGATTTCTGACAGGGTGAATTGGCGCGAGATCACAGTTGAAAGAATTAATATATCAGTTGCCTCAGTCTCCGTCGGGCGTTTGGTATTTTCTTTCAACCATGGCGAGATGAGGTTTCTACGTCATAAGAGGGTCCGTTTTCAGAAGGTACTATTATTTATGTCAAAAAATAAAACATTCCAGCTAATTTTTCGATCGAATTATGTCGTCAATCATTATTTATGTATAAAAGGATCATTAGGAACATGGTTTGAGTTAAAAGTTCTACTAAGGTGTACACGCCCATTGTCAGATTATGCGTCGATACGACACGGACATTAAGATGACTGATGAAGCGTCTGTATAATAATCTGACGCGTTCGAGTGTTTCAAGGTCACGATTATTTTTTCGTTTTCAAAAATTAATCATGACTTTTGGTTGCGTCCAAATCGTCAGTCTTTTGAATAGGAGCTACTTGAGGGCTCAATAAATGTCCCTTCTCGATATCTCAGAAACACGTGGGGCGCATACACTATTAATATCTAATGCGCTCGAGTATTTCTATGTGACTATTTTTTTTTTACATTTTTGAACACCTGTACACGCTCCCATCAGTGAAAGGTCATATATCATACAAACTTATTTTCATTTTCGCATCTAATCTTCACTATCTGATACGTCCCCACGACGCTCGAGTAAATCCCTATTTAGCCTCGTTGCCTCCCCTACTATTATCGTTTGTAAAATAAGTACACACAAAATAAAACAAATATGAGGATCTATCGATATCATAGTTCTTCATGAACATCATTTTTAGTTTTCCTCAACTTACCTTCAATTTAGACATATTCACACTTTTAACATCACTTTCAAACTGCTTAAGATACTAGAATTGAAACTGATTTTATTCTCTAATGTAAAATGATTATATGGCAATCAAATGATAAAGCAAAATATTATTCAATCGTATTTTATAATATTGATTCCTGAAAATCCAGTTTGTTGTTTACTTCTAATATGTTAATATCAAAGAACATTCTTGAATGCCTCATGTATATTTCAAAATCATTCTAGTGTTCATTCAGTATTCAGCGAAGAAGGTGATGTCTATTAGGTATATACAGTGGCGTAACTATACCGTGGCATATTCACCGGATGGGCCCCCTTCAATAGTAGGGGAGGTGATATCAGAAAAGGGTACCGATCTGCACAAGTTTTGCATTCCACTTATAGGACAGAAGATGCTACTATACAGGGTGTAACTGAATAACACCGAAAAAATTCATGGGGTGTTTTCTTGTGACATTCTAGCAAATAGAGTTAAACATGTGTCCTAACTTGCTCCGTTTTTGAGATACAGGATGTTGAAATTGAAAGTATTAACTGTTTTTATTCATAACCTCCCTGTATAAGCTTTCATGGTGCCAAAATTCAGTATGGATGGAGACTGAGAAAGCCCCAAAGTTTCATAAAGATTCTAATTGGGGTTATTGAGCAATCTCAATGGAAGTCTCGAAAACACCTACATCAAATTTTGGAGTCAAATCTCACCCCTTGAATTTTTTCGGAGTTATTTAGATACAAAAAGAATCGCATTTCTGCCATCTCAGAATGGTTCTCATTTATTATTATTTAACAATAACCGTTGCCAAAAACGGAAGAATGTCAACCAATCTGCACAAGTTCAGAAATGTGTATATATGTATGCTGCTCTTCCTCACCAAAACACGACATATCGAACCATTCTGCCAAGTCTGACTGGCCCAAAAATCGTTCTGCCAACAGATTTCCCGAGATCAAATAAATGGAAAATTTTGACAAATCGCTGCACAAGTTCCAAAATGGTAGATTCGAGTTGGTTTTGGGAGATTTTTTGATTGCCGACCGATTGCGACCACTTGGACCACATTTCGACTGCAGGGTATTTTATTGATGAGCGCATTGACCGATCTCCAAATGGTAACCTTTTTTATTGAAGACCAGGACCGACCGATCCGAGACCACATCGCTCGAGCTATTTGTTGGTCGATGTGGTTCAAGGATATACAATATAACCTCAAAACAATCCAATTACTCGAAAGTAGTCGAAAAGTGGCAAGGGTATCTACAGTCTTCAAAGTGAATGACTAAAACAAAATCTATCTCGAGTTATTCAATGACTGATAAAAGAGATGATTCCTAATAGTCTAAGATCCGAACCTAAATCGACCTTCACCGAGCTGATAATAGAACGAAATATAATTTATCACGAATTTAGTATATTAGAAAACATATTAAAAATGGGTTCGCTAAAAAAATCCTGGGCAGACTATTTTTAATTATTTTTCGAAAAATGATTTTTAATTAAATGTTGCAACATCAGGATAATAAAAATTTGTTGTCCTAACTGAAAGTATAAAATGTATAGAATGTGCAGCCGTTGGGTTGTCTACTATTTACCTGGGCGAACTACTGGGTTGTCAGGTAACACAGGTATATCGATGCCAGTTACTTTCACTGGATTGGATAATTAAAAAAAAATTATATCATCATAAGCGCTGTTTAATTGCGAACACGTTGATATAGGGTTGTTTGCGAAAATTCCGGTCCTATTAGGGGTTTGCGAATTTTAAAGATTTTGATTTCAACGCGCGTGGAAGTGTGTGACAGAGAGATCCGAGGTAAGTATACTGTGTAATAATGAAGGACCCATCGCAGTCGCTTGTGATGGGACCACTGGGGACCCTGAATAGTAGAAAGTGCGCATGCTCGGTGTGTAAACTATTGAGGGTAGAGGTACCTCTACTATCCTTCCGGTCCACTTTGTTTCTATTTCCAGAAAGACCAAAAAAAAATTCAAAGTAAGTAATTGATATTTTTATTGTCTATTATAGATTAAAGATATATTATTATGGTTATAACGCAATATATTGATATTATATTGTTGTTACATATTAGTATTATATTAAATATATTTAATTATTATGTAATTAATTATTTTTTTTTGCTACTGAAATATCAGTTGCTCCAAAATAACACGCACTGTTCACTATAAGAAGGGTAGTAGAGGTACCTCTACCCTCCATAGTTTACACACCGAGCATGCGCACTTTCTACTATTCAGGGTCCCATCACAAGCGACTGCGATGTTGGGTCCTTTATTATTACACAGTATACTTACCTCGGATCTCTCTGTCACACACTTCCACGCGCGTTGAAATTAAAATCTTTAAAATTCGCAAACCCCTAATAGGACCGGAATTTTCGCAGACAACCCTATATCAACGTGTTCGCAATTAAACAGCGCTTATGATGATATACATTTTTTTTAATTATCCAATCCAGTGAAAGTAACTGGCATCGATATGTACCTGTGTTTACCTGACAACCCAGTAGTTCGCCCAGGTAAATAGTAGACAACCCAACGGCTGCACATTCTATACGTTTTATACTTTCAGTCAGGACAAAAATTTTTTATTATCCTGATGTTGCACATTTAATTAAAAATCATTTTTCGAAAAATAATTAAAAATAGTCTGCCCAGGATTTTTTTAGCGAACCCATTTTTAATATGTTTTCTAATATACTAAATTCATGATAAAATATATTTCGTTCTATTATAAGCTCGGTGAAGGTCGATTTAGGTTCGGATCTTCTACTATAATATATCTTTGATTTTTATGGTATCAGGATAGGTGTTATTTTCGGTATAATAACGATTGAGCAGTAAAGTTCACGTTTATTAAGATTTTTGTCCAAATATGGGAACAGAATTCCAGGACAGGTCGGATCTGTGCCTTATAGATCATAAGCAGCTGACTGGAAGTGAAATAGCTCCTGGACTGAAACAGAACATCAAGTTTTTGGGATGCACTTTTAGCAATTGATCTCACGTGATTTTCCCAAGGAAGGTTATTGCTGATAGTAATACCAGTACTCCTGACAAGCTTATGTTGGGCACAGTGAGATCGGCTCTTCTGGAGAAAAGGCATGCTTGTGTTTTGTTTGCATTGAAATCCAATCCAATACCAAGTTATTGGATCCCCATATATTGCAACTATTCCTCGGATACCATAGGAGAGTTTTCGATTGCCGACCGGTTGCGACCACTTGGACCACATTTCGACCACAGGGTTTTTGTTTGATGACCGCATTGACCGAACAACAAATTTAAAGGATATAAAGTTTAACCTCAAAACAATCAAATTACTCAAAAAAGTGGCAAGAGCATTTACATTCTTCTAAATTAAGTGACTCGAACAGCTTATAAGTATTAAAAAAAAACAGCATTACATCACTGGATGATTCACATTATTTCATCGAAAAAAATCTGTATCGAGGTATTTAATGACTCATAAAATATATGATTCCTCGTATCAAAGGTAATATTATCGGTTAATCAGTAAAGTTTATGGTTTCTGTACACAAGCGACCGACCGCAACCATTCGTAATTGTCATTGTGATCAGTCACGTGACACTAACGACCGGTCGGCAACCAAAAACTTGATATTCTGCCAGATCGGAATGATTCGAAACCCATTTTCCGAGAGGAAAAAACTGAAAATTCGACAAATTTTCACAAGCTCCAAATTTTGCACATGACTTTGTGGTGACACAGAAAGGCCGTGCCACAGTTTAAGGAATGGGTATTCCTTAAACTGTGGCTGTGCGGAATCTGCCAACTTCGTTTGGTTCGAAAAGTGTTTTGCCGAGTATTTTGAGAGGAGAAAAATCTTGAAAATTTTACCAGTTTGCAAAAGCTTCAAATTTTGCACACGACTTTGTGGTGACACAGAAAGGCTGGGCGGACTATTCTGCCAACTTTGTTTTGTTCGAAAAGTGTTCTGCCAGATCAGTTTGACAATTTCTCCGCATTGTTGGTCAAATTTGAGAGATTTACCCTTCCACTAATTTATTAAAATGCACTGGGTGTTGTGAAAATGATCACTCGGCACTTGCCGTGGCCACAAGAACGGTGAGAAATAATAGGAATGCATTGTACAGGGTGGCCAACTAAGAATCCAGAGTTCGATACCTCTGTTGTCTTGAGAGATACAAAAAAAAGTTTTGCATTCAAATCAAAGTGATAACCGAGCTTCACATTTCAGAATTTCTTTGAAATACACAGGGTGTTCCGTAAGGTCCCAGCACATCAAAGCTATGTTTTTTTCATCGGAACACCCTATGTTTTATTTCATTTCTGAATTCTCCCTGAAGATCTGATTTCAACGACGTATCATACTTGGGTCTAGTAGTGAAAGTTACTGACATATAGGGTGTGCAAAATCGAGATTTTCCAAATTCAGGATTTTTTTCTGTCGAAACTGTTCATTATTCGTCAAAACGGTTTACATGTCCCTATCTCAACTTTTCACTCACTATCAATTGGTGATCAATTGACATTTAATTGAAACAAATGATGAATTTAGATTTTTTCACCACCTTGAATCAATTTCAATTGAACACTAATTGATAGTGAGTGAAAAGTTGAGATAGGGACATTTAATCCGTCCTGACAAATAATGAACAGTTTCGACAGAAAAAAATCCTGAACTTGGAAAATCTCGATTTTGCACACCCTATATGTCAGTAACTTTCACTGCTAGACCCTAAGTATGATGGGTTGTTGAAATCAGATCTTCAGGGAGAATTCAAAAATGAAATAAAATATAGGGTGTTCCGATGAAAAAAACATAGCTTTGATGTGCTGTGACCTTACGGAACACCCTGTGTATTTCAAAGAGATTTTGAAATGTGAAGCTCGGTTATTACTTCAATTTTTATTCATGAATTTTTTTGTATCTCTCAAGACAACAAAGAAATCGAACTCTGGAGTCTTAGTTGGCCACCCTGTACACTTCAGGAAAATTTGAAGATATAATATGATTCTTCATTAATAATAAGTCAGCAAGTTATCTTATAGCAGATGACGTTTCTATTTCGTGTCTAACAGAGAATCAAAAACTGATTTTTTGTATATGGACAAATGCTAAAGTCTTTTCCAATAAATCAGTATCGTTAAATTTTTATTGGTATATATATATTTGTTCACGGATATTTCCGAAATTATTTATTGGATTTTGACCATTGTTTCTGAAACATGTTTTTTTATGAATGCATTTAAATTTTATCACTAGGTAACTTGATTTAATTGAATACAAAACTATTTTCTTTACTGGATGTGTAATAATAGAAGGTTCCCAGTTAACACAGGATATCTTATGGATATCCATTTCAAGTCCTATTCAAGGCGGGATATCCGTGGACATAAAATGTACATCCATAAGATATCCGATTGCGGATGTACTTGAGATATTCGAAACAAACGTCCTGAATACGTCCATAGGATATCCATAAGATACAGAGACATAAAGATCAATACCTAGAAATTTCAAATCAAGTATATACAATGAATGAAATGATAAATTTGAAGATATAATATGATTCTTCATTAATAATAAGTCAGCAAGTTATCTTATAGCAGATGACGTTTCTATTTCGTGTCTAACAGAGAATCAAAAACTGATTTTTTGTATATGGACAAATGCTAAAGTCTTTTCCAATAAATCAGTATCGTTAAATTTTTATTGGTATATATATATTTGTTCACGGATATTTCCGAAATTATTTATTGGATTTTGACCATTGTTTCTGAAACATGTTTTTTTATGAATGCATTTAAATTTTATCACTAGGTAACTTGATTTAATTGAATACAAAACTATTTTCTTTACTGGATGTGTAATAATAGAAGGTTCCCAGTTAACACAGGATATCTTATGGATATCCATTTCAAGTCCTATTCAAGGCGGGATATCCGTGGACATAAAATGTACATCCATAAGATATCCGATTGCGGATGTACTTGAGATATTCGAAACAAACGTCCTGAATACGTCCATAGGATATCCATAAGATACAGAGACATAAAGATCAATACCTAGAAATTTCAAATCAAGTATATACAATGAATGAAATGATAAATAAATAAAAGGAGATCCACAAAAGTAACACTTGTGCGTGGATCTTCCAAAAGATAGCACACATTGTGATGAACTATCTGCTATATTAATTAATTCGGTTTTCAACGCGAACAGCGCGATTTATAGATCATCGATTCTATCAACCTTGGAGTAATCAAATGATGTCAATATGTTCTCATATTTGTAATTAATTTGAAGTGAATTCGGAAGTGATTCCTACGAATTCGTCCAAAATTGATGGTGCATAAGAACTGACAACTACATTATTCGAACGCAGTGAGACGTGAGTGCTTCTCAATTTTTGTGATTCTTTCTATATATAGAGGGTAAACTATCTCATTCATATCCATAGTTGATATCTTATGGATGTCCATAATGAATATCTTTAAGACATCCAAAAAGGTCACACATCCTTTGGACGTCCATAGATTATACCAGAGCCTTTTTCGGATATCTTATGGACATCCACAATATCCATGATGGATATCCATAGTATATCCATAAGATGTACTTGTGCTATCTGGGTTGGGATTCTCCTGTAATCACGCCACTGGGTATATACCTGTACTATATTTATTCATTTTTGTTATTAGTTTGATGGTAATATTATATGTAGAGTATATTATCTCAGACTTAGTTTAACGATTTAATAATAATGAATCAATTTTTCATTTGGAAGAATAAGATGAAACATCAAGTAGAAAGTCAACTCGCTGTTAATCAACTGATTTAATTAATGCAAATTGAATAAATAATGATCTTCGACGAAAACTTGTTTCAGACTGATGCATTCAGTATTTGAAATCATTTCTATTTCTCTTGAAAATATCGTATCGATTCCTAAAAATGAGGCGATTGAATCGAATAACTCTATTGTTTATCGCTTGGAGCGCATGAAAGGGACTATGATGTTCGAAGAACATCGTACGTACCTAGGGAGGATAGGGAGAGGAACTTGGTATTGGAATTTTTTTCGAACTTTCGGTGATTATAGGTTCTTGGGAATACTTACATAGGCAATGAATTCCAGAGCTTGCCGTTCTAAATTAAGACAAACGAGTTTCGATAGATATTAGATAGATATATATATATAGAAGTTTATTGACTATTTTATGTACATAGCACATTTATAGCAGGTCAAAATTACATACACATGTGATGAAAATTCAAAATACAAATGATGAAAAAAAAACAATCAATTTTTATTAAGATACATAAAACATATTATCAGGACATGATTCACTGTGTGATGAATAATGTGATATCCGAAATCAGTGGTGAACCTATTACTTGACTGTACAGAAACTGTAGTTCAATAACATGTATTTAAAAGCAGTTTTGAATTTCTCATATTTCATAATTTCAATATGATAAATAGATAGATAGATTTATTTGTTTCAAAAACATACATTTTAAGAAAAAAACGTCAAAATTAGGCTAAAGTACATAAATAAATATCGTAAGTATTTTAAAACAAACATAATAATATACAAGATTTCACAGGTACATGGCAACAATTCTCGAATGGGAATCCAATAACTTGGTAGGTTTCAATGCAAACAAAACACAAGCATGCCTTTTCTCTAGAAAAATCGATCTCACTGTGCCAAACATGAGCTTGTCAGGAGTAACCATACTTTTGAAGGCATCCATTTCGATTGTTGGTATTACTATCAGCAATAACCTTTCTTTGCGAAAAGTGCATCCCAAAAACTTGGTTTTCTGTTTCGGGCCAGGAGCTATTTCACTTCCAGTCAGCTGCTTATGATCTACAAGGCACAGATCCGACCTGTCCTGGAATACTGTTCCCATATTTGGAGTGCACCCAAACATACCCTGGAACTGTTGGATTCTGTCCAAAAAAGGGCAATAGGTACGTCTCGTGGGTGATGCCTCGCTCACAAACTCACTCACTTATCTGGAACACCGTAGAAAAGTCGGCGATCTGGCTCTATTTTATAGATATTTTCATGGACGATGCTCTTCTGAAATATCAACAATTGTTCCTCCCTTGAAATGAATCCGTCGAGTTGAGGCTTCGCACCCCTATATATGGACTATAGACTGTAGAAACTATCACATCTGAAACTTCTCTATCGACGTACCAATCACCCTCTATATACTCTTGGTTGGTATAAAAAAATAGTCTTAGCGTTGATTGATATATTACGCTTGTAAGCGTAATATATCAATCAACGGTCGTAGTAGGTATATACTAGAAATATTTTTATTTTCATTGAAAAACTAACAAATGTTTCATTATTATGTAGGTATATTTCATAGTCATTAGACACTATAAAGCTTCACCATTGTCACACGACTGAGGCTCCTTGGCTCGGTTTGCAAATATAAAAGGTTGGATTTCCCTTATATTTACTCCTTATGTTCTCAATAACTTTATGAGCCACATGAGCATAAACCTGGAAAGAAAAAAAAATGAAATTAGTAAAAGGCAGGCTGTGGGTGAGGGCAGAAGTTTGTCATTAAAGAAAGTACATTATTCAAAACAAATAAAAACTGATGCCTTTTTTCAAATGGAACACCCTATATGTTTAATATATCGAAATTTCCATATACATTAGACTGGCTTATTACGAATGGTTTTTGAAAAGCAGAGAAGCAATGAACAAACGCATACCTGGCGGTATACTATAGAGAATTTGTGAGAACTTCTGGATAAATCGTGAGTCAATGCGACACTTCATCACCTGAAACTTTCATCTTTCCCAAAAATATGTTGGGTGAATAATTCAATGTCCATGAGTTCAAAATACTTTCTCGTAATTAAATTATTATTTCTTCACTTAACATAGGCTAAGAGCATCTTATGTATGGACACAATGTGGATGATGAAATATTTGAACTCTACCAAGTTTGAATCATTTGTATATATGTGTCACCTGGTATTTATTAAGTCACGTAATAACAAATATTCAATACCAGAGTAGACTTGAAAGGATAGCTCTCTGGCTGTATTGGAGAATTATTAAATTTCATGCAAACGAGAGTAGTTCAAGCAGTTGAATTGTGTGTGACACTCCATTCAGAGTGTGGGTACCAGACAGATCCGAATGGAATGATGGAGAACTCAGCACCATACTGCAGGGAAAGATCTGGTATATAGACGGGTCCAAGACTGCAAATGGGTCAGGAGCAGGAGTATACTCCAAACATCCGGAGATTAGCCTCAGCTACTAATTGGGGAAGTATGTCTCAGTTTTTCAAGCAGAGGTGTACGCAATTCTCCAATGTACGGAAGAAAATAACAGGAGAGCCGACAAAAATGAACAGATCCGCATTATGTCAGACAATCAAGCGGCACCAAAGGCGATAGAAAGCCAGGGAGTGACATCGCGACTGGTATGGGATTGCAAGAGGGAACTGGAACAGGACATCAGGGAATTGCTGGCAATGAGATGGCTGACGAACTTGCAAGAAGAGGGTCGGACAACGAGCCAGATCAAGGAGAGACTCGTGGAGTACCAAAACGTACAGAACGAGAGTCAGTTAAAGACTGGGCAAAACATAAGAGCTACTGGGAAAACATCCCAAGAAACAGACTTGAGAAACGATATATTGAGGAACCAAGTCATAAAAGAACCGTAGACCTGCTCAACTTGACCAGAGTATATATATACGTGAAAGGAATCAGAAACAGTATCACATATACTGTGCAGGCATTGGACCGCAAAAGACAGAAGATTTTTGGGAAACCAGTTGGCGAACTAGAAGGATCTGTACAGACTTGTTCACAAACTCACTCACTTCTCTGGAACATCGTAGAAAAGTTGGCGATCTGGCTCTATAGATATTTTCATGGACGATGCTCTTCTGAAATATCAACAATTGTTCCTCCAGAAATTGAAGAAGAACACCAATTCCTACATTATTTCCTTTGGTTCTCACGATGTTCTGTGAACATTACAGGATATCCCGTTTTGTGGGAACCAGAACATGAAAAAAAATAATGGGGTGGGCACAATAATAAACTACTATAGGTAAGATACAGGGCCAATAGGCCTAAGGGTCGTCGGAGGCATTGGTCAGACGAGCCTACAAGCGGGGTGGAATGTTTAGTGGGTATACCTTGGCTAGAGTTAGAAGACTCCCACACTATCATATGGGGAATTAGACCCATATATGATGTCCATAAAGGATTTCAACCACCTCGAAAAAAAATTCAATGTCCATTAGTTAAAAATGCTTGTATACCTTGTATATTTCCAACTTTTGTGAAAGATCTTTTTCTTCTGTTCACAAATATATATTGTTTGCTAATGTTCCCTGCTTGAACCGTTCTCGACTAAATTGCTGCTCTACTGAAATTTCTGCAATATTTTCATAAAATAATCTCATTATCTTTTTTTTTACCCTACGGAATAACCCATTGTTATTAAAAAACTGACAGAGATGTCAAGGAATGCATGTTTTGTTTTCAATGCCATTACTGTTGTGTCCACAGCCATCTAAATGTTATTGATGGCAACTTTGATTCAATGCTAAATAAGTGAAAAATGGCTCGAGGAAAAATTATCAAACTATATAAATTTGTGAGCAGGAGAAAGAGGTTTTTCACTAGAGTTGAGAATATACAGTGTTTCATTTGAAAAAAGTGATTGGGACTCTTTTTTCTATTTTGCTATTCGCATTTGTTTATTTAAGGAGGCCAAAATATACTTATAAAACTCTAGAACTTCCATATTTCAAGTTTTTTTTTCACCTCGTATAGTTGAAGCTGCAGGTGGGGATCAAAATATAAGGGGACACCTTGTAAATTCGCAACAAATTGCCTTTTTGAAACAAGATTCACGGCTGTAGTCTTACCAGAGTGACCGAATCAGGAAGGCGGATTTTTATAGCGAAAATCGATGGTAATAAGCAGGGTTTGCAATGATATCTGGTGAATCTACATTCATAATAGATTGCCTTCCTTTTTGAAATAAGATTCATTGCAGTGTCCTTACCAAAGTGACCCTATCAGGGAAACGGTTTTTCATAGCAAACATCGCCGGGTTAGATTGATCTCTGTGCAAACATAACAGATTGCCTCCTTTTTGAAACAAGATTCAGGGCAGTATTCTTATCAGGAAGTCCTTACCAAAGTAACTGTGATGACAGGCAAACGGTTTTCATAATGGAGATGTATATGGTGATCAACAAGGTTTCCAATGATCTCTGTTATGAGTTTTTCATCGATAAGAGAATGCCCTCCTTTTCGAAACAAAGATTCAGGGCAGTGTCCTTACCAGAGTGAACGTATTAGAGAAACGGTTTTTCATAGCAAACATCGATGGTATTGAGCAGGGTTTGCAATGATATCTGCTGAATATGTGCATACATAACAGATTGCTCTCCTTTTTGAAGCAAGATTCAGGGAAGTGGCCTTACCAGAGTGACTGTGTCAGAAAAATGGTTTTGTAATGGGTTTGCAATGATCTCTGCTGGATGTGCATAAATAACAGATTGTCTTTCTTTCCTACCAGAGTGACTATGCTGACAGGCAAACGGTTTTCATAATGGAGATGAATTTGGTAATCAACTAGGTTTCCAATGATCTCTGTATTGAGTATTGCATCGATAACAGATTGCCGTTCTTCTCGAAACAAAGATTCAGGGCAGTGTTCTCACCAGAGTGACCGTGCACCCGCCGAACCCGCCGCCCGTCATCCTGCTGCCCAACACGCCCTGCACCTCTAGCGCCAGCTGCACCAGCCTGTCCAGCTCCGGGCAGGACACCTCGTAGTCCTGCTGCAGCGACCGGTGGCTCTCCGTCATCAGCTCGCCGAATTTGCGGTAGTTCATCTGTTTGAGCATCTCGGCGGCCGTTTCGGTTCTGCTGATCTCGGTGACGACGTGTCTGGCCCTTGCCAGGATTTTCTCGTCAGTGTTTATCGATTTCAGGTCTGTGGAAAAAAATGCTTTATGATTTTTCAAGTGAGAGTTACTTAGCTGTGTGCACGTGTATATATGCAGCAGCGCAGAGCGCTTTCGACTGTTGAGTCATCATCAGTACATACTCGTCAGGTTAACAAGGAAATTTGTCCATGAGAAAATCTTTTCCAGTTTAAAAATAATGTGTTAATGTGTTTCCCAAAAGGGGGTCAAAATACATATTACATTTTCTTAAGCAGTTCATTGTTGCTGCGACTGCGCTGTATACTATATGGGACAAGTAAACAAGTTGATAGCACAAGAATACTCAGATTTTTGAAAATGGACACTTTCCACTGTTCATTTGTTTTATTGGCTGCCAGCTTAATACCCATGAGTGATTAAATCACTTGCTGTAATCATCTACCTCACTAATAGCAAGTGAACTGTTCATCTATCAGAAGTGTAGTTATCCACTTGTCATTAGTGACCTATCCGCTTGCTATTAGTGACTTATTCACTTGTCATTAGTGACTCATTCATTTGTAATTAGTAATTTATTCACTTGTCATTAGTATATCTAATTCACTTTTAGCTACTACGAATAATAATTAATATAATTTCCTCTTAAAGGAGATATCGGATTGGAAAAATCAGTGATGAGCTTAGTGAAAAGAGAAAAACTCATGCCAACCCAGATTTCACAAAAACAGGTAAGGCTAACGAAACAAATATCAAGAAACTAAATACCGCGGGTATATCAGGATCATAATATGGTACACTTTTTTTTCCCCCATAGAATTGTCCAAATAGAGTTCTGTATTCCATAATATTCTTCAAAAGTATAACAAAATCAGAACTCAACACCCACAGTTTGAAGCTTCACACACAAAAACAAAATGTTCACGAATTGGCAGAAAAAGTTTGTAGCAATGTATTTTATATGAATGAAATTGGTAATCAAAATTGACACTGACATTGGGTGTACACAAAACGATGGAGTTTTTAATAAAAAATTATAAAAAAATGGTTTTATAGCATATCTCTGAAGAACCAATCAATAAAAGTTAATCAGATAGCAAAAATTCACTCCCGTGTAATGGTATTGATCCCGGTGTATGTCGTCACGGAAAACTTTGCATTTTCCCGCGTTTTTCATGCGATTTCAATGATTGTTACTCACATTCAATATCCTCTAGACCAGCAGCTCTTAGAGATACCTTCTTCATTATGAGTGCCGCCTCTTGGCATTGTTTCTTTCTTGTAGGATATTCACTTCCTGTCAATTCATGCTTCACGTTTGAATTTGTTATGAGCACTACGATATTTTCGTCGGTCAGTGGTATCAACGTGGAAGTTAAACTTCTAAAAATGTCACGACATTTAATGTAACCTTAGTCGAAAAACATCAAATTACCTGCAGTCTATCAGTAAGGCGTGGTCCTTTTCACCCATGATGGAAATGAATTGGTCCATAATACCACAAGGCATTCCTGCATACTCGTGTTCTGCTTTTTGGCATGCCAGAGCTTTATCGGTAAGGCTGAAAATAAACCATCTCAGACAAAAATCCTTTGATTAGCGTTCACAGTAACGAGAAATTTCTTATGCCATCACAAATTATCACTCTTAAGGTTAAGTAGGTCCTTCAACACTTTTTCGTCCTAGCAATAAGCAATAAAACATCTCATACAAGAGGATCTGAACCTGATACTAACAACTCTACAGCAACAGATTTAGAGGGGCTGATAAAGCAACATTCACTCAAAGACATAATAGAGTTGGAACCAACACTGAGGGACTGACAACTAATTTTGATCAGATACGCTCTTTTTTGTAGGTAAACATGCTCTACTGATGATTATCCAACATAGAAGTGAAGTTTTCTATAACATAAATGTGTATTCTGCCTCTTTGGTGTGATGGTGAAGGTAGTGACTTGGTTATCCATGGTGCCTTCAGATTACAAACCACACGGGATCATGTCAACATTGAGACTGTAAGCACTTGAAAATCGCAAGAACGTTGGCCAAGACACGTGAGAGATCACTAACAGGTTGATGATTCCAAACATGAAGACAGAGTCTCACCCTCTCCAGGTCTGGCGAGCGAAGATTCAATAGAACAATCCTCGCTTGGACTTGCAAAATATCTTCTTTTACTGAGAATAAAGGGATTGGAAGGAGCTCAACCAAATATAGGAACAGGAACCTTTATATCATCGTTTTAGATGATCTCTAGAAGAAGAAACATCGACCTATGTTCTCTGGGATTGGTCAGCTGTGGTACCTATAAGATCTGAAGAAAGAACACTTTGGGAGTAACATATTGAACCCATAGGATAAAAAGAATTCTCGCCTTTGCACAGGCAGTCTATGCTTACCCGCTTGAACGACAGATGATGTATGGAATATGGGTATTCATGGTAATAAAAAGTAAAATGTTAGACACACATCATATTACATTACCAGAAAGAACCAAATGAAAAAACGCATAACTTGACATCATGACTGGCTTCCCCTCTAGATATATTCTAGTTTTTCAGGCAGAGGTTTATATGAGCATGCAATTATACAGTCCACACCCAGTAAAACAGCTTGTGAAAAGATACAAATATACTGGATTGGATACAGCAAGATACAAAATTAGATACGATATACAATGGCCCAATGAATGGGGAGCTCATTACTTAAATCATTCACCATGGAGCAATCTTCTTCAGATTTACTATACTGTTAAAACGATGTTATGTTGATGAGCAACTGTACTTAGCTTACCTCACTGATTTGTTGCCAGTCAATTCATCCAAAAATATATACGTGGCTACTTCGAGGGATGCACTACTCGACAACCCTCCACCAATCGGTACGCTGGTGTGCACTACTGCTTTAAAGGCTGGTGGATTTTCACCTATATAGTTTGCAATCACACCTGCAAACAACCATTTAGTAAAATGTCAAAATTGCGATAAAGAGTGGTCGAGAACGCAAAGGATAAAGAAGAAGGAAATGACATAATAAAAGTGTTTTGATAAGTACACAACATAGAAATTATTAGCATCTCCGTAATCAGTATATTCTATGTTGTGTATTTATCAACACACTAAACTACTATTAATTTTTTATTTTTTAGTTCAGGTAGCTACAAAAGCGTGTTTTTAGTGTTCTTATATTTTTTATAAGTACCCAATTTTGACGAAAGAATCATGATCCCCGAACTCGTTAACTAACCCCCAGATACCAGCTTTGAATAGAATCGGATCATATAATTACAAAACTCGTTCGCCATATTATTGGATCCGTCATGTTGAATTTTCAAATTTTGATGTTAGATTTCTAATTTTGTCGAAAGAATCCTAATCAACAACTCCGAAAACCCCCAGATGCCAATTTTGAATAGGTTTAGATCATAATTACAAATCTCGTCCGCCATATTGGATCCACCATATTGGATCCGCCATCTTGAATTTCCTAATTTTGACGAAGGAGTCATAATCTCCGGCCCCAAAGACCCCCAGATATCAATTTTGAATAGAATCGGATCATAATTTTATTTTTATTTATTTATATATTTATTTATTTATTTATTTATTTATTGGACAAATAACTTCCAGACAGAATAGGCTCTGGTATAAGGAACTACATAATTATATACCTATAGGTAAACATATCGTCATTCAAAATATATCAACAACTGTAAACTGACAAACAAAGAATAATATTTGTAAAAAAAATGGCATGATTGATTTCACCCAGTGCGCTCCAATTATGGAGCTAGCGGCGTCAAGATGAAACAAGTTATATTGTCTAGTTTCATGATTATGATTTCAGAAGTCCGTATCAAAATAATATTCGACTTCAATTTTTTATTTATGATATTATATGATATTTTGAGAGTTTCAATTCTATATATTTCATCTAAAGAATACTAATTTGTTATTTCATACAATTGATTGGTTGGTGCATGTATCAAATCGTTCGTTCGTTCTAAAATCGTTCTATCCGTCATTCGGTTGCCCCCTTACGAGCAACCCTCAAAAGTCTTCGAAAGTCTTGTGCGAGCAAGGAATGACGGGGGCCTTACCTTTTAACGTGTGATCCCAAACACTTTCTTGGGCCATCAGAAAAATTTCTGCAGTCGACGGGGATCGAACCCACGACCGGTAAGCGAATGCGAATTAGAAATAGACACTCTGTCCGCACGGCTACCTGGCCCTGGGAGACGATACAATTCTTTTAACGATTTTCTATATAATGTTGATACTTTATTGAAACTATTTTTTGAACAAGATCCCCAAACATTTATCAAATAGTTGATACGACTCAGTATATGAGAGTAGAGGATCATGTTTGCAATTTCAATATCAAGTTTGGGACATTTTCTCAATGCACCAATAATTGGCGATATTTATTTTGTCAGAACATCAATATGTTTGTCCCACTTCAACCTGTCATCAAACCAAATAATCTCCGATCCCGAAAACCCCCAGATACGAATTTTGAATAGATTCGGATCATAATTACAAAACTCCTCCGACATATATTGGATCTGACATCTCGAATTTACGAATTTTGACGAAAGGATCATTATCTCCGACCTCGAAAACCCCCAGCTTTGAATAGAATTGAATCATATAATTACAAAACCCGTTCGCCATATTGGATCCGTCATTTTGAATTTTTAAATTTTGATGTGAGAATCATAATCTCCGGCCCCGAAGACCCCCAATACCAATTTTGAATAGAATCGGATCATAATTACAAAACTCTTCCGCCATATTGGATCAGTGGCGGATCTAGGCAGTTTTTCAGGGGGGGGCCATGGGCCGTGAGTTAATGGAATTTTGAAACCAAAGTAATTGAAAAACCACATGAATAATGAATGATATGTATATGAATATATATATATATATATAGCACAAAGCCCATGGTTTTAACTTCATCACTTTCGTTTAGGGTGAAACTTTGCACAGGGAATGGTTTTGGTATGAAAATGTTCAGGGACAGCAGAGTAGAAAAAACATCTGAAAAGACCAAAGTAATGTGTTTCAAATCTCCAGAAAAGAGATGCGGGTAGAGGATGGATATTACTTTTATTTGCCGTGGCGCTCCGTGGCCACTCACTGATTTTTGGTGGAGTATTCACTTTTCAGCTGCAGGAAAATCCGGAAAAACCTACAGCACCACCTCGGGTGGTCGGAGCTCACTCTAGGATAACATAAATGTGATGGATAAAAATGTGACTAAACAAACAAAAACTTGCTTTGAATACTTTGAATTGGTTGTTCAATTTTCCGCTTTTTTTGTACTGGCAAAAAGTATGAATTGATCTTCCTTCTATCCATCTGAAAAATTAAAGAGCTCAGCTAAGTTCTCCAGATCGAATAGGTAGGAGATTGAAATTTTTTTTTCACAATGACACCATGATCATTAATATACATTTTTTAGTTGGAATAAACTCAGGAATGTAGACATTAAATGATTCTCGAAAATGTATTGAAGATTTATCTGCAGCTCTAAATAGTTTTGTTCATCCAAGTGAGTAAAATTTTATACACTGATTATCGGTTTTCAAAAATATATAAAAATCAATCTCGTTAATAATCTCACTGTTGCGTATGTACCAATGTACCTACTTACCATTTAATTTTTAGTATAATTTCAATTTCACTTATCACTTACTTCTTCTTTCTTTTTAAATGAAAAAATCTGTGAACTGAATCTTACTGTTCTGAAGAACTAATGTGAAATGACCCTTTTCACCCTTTTCTTTCAAAACCAATTGGTGTTTTTTGCGGTTTCGGATAAAAAACAACTACTTATTTCAGTTATTCCCTTTGTTTTTGATTCTTGCCGGCCTTGAAAATAATTATTTTTCCTCTATCGTTATCTGTTTTGCCGCCCTTTGATCTGACCGCCTGTGTCGTTTTCTCATATTTCCACTGCATTCAAGAATATTTCTATATAATATTTGTATATGATAATGAATGAAATTCAAAAAAGAGTTGATTTGGCATGTTCGAGTGTTTGAGGAACCATTCAATACGAAAACTACGAATACGAATAATTTTGGTTTGTATAACGTAGCTTTGGTTGCATATCCAGACTGATTGTTGAACCAATATCAACTACTTATTCAGAGCTCTGGGGGGGGCCATGGCCCCCATGGCCCCCCCCTCAGATCCGCCAGTGTATTGGATCCGCCATCTTCAATTTCTAAATTTTGACGAAAGAATCATAATCTCTGATCCCGAAACCCGCAGATATAAATTTTGAATAGATTCGGATCATAATAACAAAACTTCCGTTATATATTGGATCCGCCATCTTGAATTGCCGAATTTTGACGAAAAAATCATAATCCCCGACCCCGAAATCTCCCAGATACCAATTTTGAATAGAATCGGATTATAATTACAAATCTTGTCCGCCATTTTGGAGCCGCCATTTTGTTTTTTCGTCTGCATAATGTGTGCATATTTTTCGATATTTTTACTACCTTTGATATACTTGGCCCATTTTGGTCCATCGTGACTCAGTGTTCTCACTTTCGCACAATCATTGGGTAACTCGAAACTTGTCTTCTGTTCACAATCGGAAAATTTCGTTGTGGTGTGGATACTGACTACATTTCCTTCGATTTTCTTCCCCACTATAACTGTTACCAGCGGGAGAGCCTAAAATCAATAGCAATGCAGAGGATTTTGGTTTGGTTGTAAACATTGATGGTGGTTGATTAAAAATCACCCTGTAGGATAACTTTCAATAATAACCTCATAGAAGTCGAAGTTTCATCGAAGTTCATGCATAATGTTGGATGGATATTTTGAGAACAAAGTTCATCAGGCATATTTTGTAATCAACATCTGTATATTATAACTTTTCGAAACGATTCTTATTAACTTGGCAACGCCGCAAATAAATTGCAACATTAAGACATGGTTATACAAGCATGAAAACGACAAATCAGGATATGTACAATTAGAATACAACTCGAAAAATTGACTACCCTGTATAACGAATACAACGATGGTAAGCGTCTCATAACGTATTACGAGACGTATTATGACGATATTTTTCTAACCAATTATGGAATTATAAAATACAAGACGTCCTCTATTTCAAATAAAGAAGTTAATTCGAATATCCAGGACTCGATCCAGGAATCAAAATACTTTCGACAATAAATGGATGTCATTTTTGAAAAAATAGTATTTAGATAACCACCTTGTGCAATTGAAAATAAAATAATCAAAGTTCAATTCTTTGGCCGTTTTGATTGGCTGTTTTGAGGGTCAGGTAACTACTTATCAATTGAATTATTAGCTAACATAATAAAAATACAAATCAGAAATCTTATCCACTCTGTAAATCTTAAAGATAACATGATTTTCTGGGAAAAGATCATAATTAAAATAGATTTTTCATATCATTGTGAAGTCCAATGTTTACTTATGGTTCAATTTCACTACCGATACCAATTATTATCAATAAAAACAGAATGAGTTTATCTTGTTCAGACTCGCGCAAAAATAGCTATGGAAATGTTAGTGAATTGACTGCAAAAATGTCTATTGACATTATTATTACTTTTCTGAGACCCATTATTATGTATAATATATTAGTAACTCCAAAACCTATACCATGCTATATCAATAATACGATGAATACTGAACATTGAAACATATGAATGTGTTATCATAAAAAACACTTCAACTCGTTTTTATCAACACATGGACGAGGTAGTAAAGAACATCAGGAACACAAAGAATCAAACTTATGCAGATTTATGATGAATTTGCGTCAATGAAAGTGGCCTTTTGAATTCTATTTGGTTATGAATTTGAAATTGGAAGAAAAACTGATTCTGAAATAGTACGTGGAGAGAACACATAATTATCTAGCAGACAATGATTAACTCCTTCCATAAGAGAATGGGGTTGATTTACGCCAAATTACCTATATCCAAAATCGTCTCGTTGAGTTGGTACAAGGCGTTGAAGATTTTTAGGAAAAAAATGATTTTGCTCATAAAAAGAGTAGGCTGATGTCGATTTTCATATTTTTTGGCATGGCATGTTCTGTGACCATAAGTCACGTTTTGAGATGTTTTTGAATTTTTGATCATCATCAGTGATCAGTGACCTGCAAGTGTTTCAAACGACCATGTTGCCGTACAAATTTGGTTATAACTTTTCAGAGGTCGGACTGGAAACTTAAAGTTATTTCTTTCCAGAAAGATATTCCCTTCAGAAATATTTTTTGTGTCGTGTTGATTTTTGATAAGTCTGGAGGTTCATTTGCAAATAAATAATTTCTGATATGATGCATCCTGCGCATTTTTGAAAATTAATCTAATTAGCCGGACTGTTTATTGATCATGGCTACAATGTATTCTTATTGTAAACAAACTGATATGTTGCTGGTCAGCAATAACTATTCAGTACCTGAGGTGAGCACTTCAACGCCTTGTACTGACTCAACGAAACGATTTTGGATATAGGTAAGTTGGCTAAAATCAACTTATTTTTATCCCAGGAGTCTACAGTCAGGCCATGTCCCAATCAGATTATTTTTCTTAAAAATTCGTAAGATGCCTCAGACCAGAAATTATTTATTTGCAAATAAACCTCGAGACATCAAAAATTAACACGATACAAAAATATTTCTGAAGGGAATAGTTTTCTGGAAAAAAAACTGGAAGTTTCCAGCCCGACCTCTGGAAAGTTATAACCAAACTTGTACGCCAACGTGGTTGTTTGAAACACTTGCAGGTCACTGATGATGATCAAAAACATCTCAAAACGTGACTTACAGTCACAGAACATGCCATGCCAAAAATTATGAGAATCGATCTCAGCCTACTCTTTTTATGAGCAAAATAATTTTTTCCAAAAAAACTTCAACGCCTTGTACCAACTCAATAATACGATTTTGGATATAGGTAAGTTGGCCTAAATCAACTTGTTTTTATCCCAGGAGTTCACAACCGAGCCATGTCCCAACCTTTTACAGACACCCTGAATATGAAATTATATTTAAATTCTGACGTTCATAGTATTTATTGTCAAATTCGAACAATTTTGAATGAAAAAGCGCGAAACGACTATGGTGCTCATGTCACAATGCAAGGTGTGTAACTTAATGAATCAAAACATTCAAAAACACTAACAGTTGTCATTTCTGTGTCCAAACTTTTATCTAACTAATATACCATCTATAGTCTATCTATAGTATACCATCCAGTGACTCTAGTACCAATTAGAGCCCCTGTCAGTCTACTGTCAAATACATACAGGGACCCTAGTACCTATGAGATGTTTTTCGTGTGGAAAAAAATCAAAATCAACTCACCATGGGCATAACAAAACCATCATTGTAATCCGTATGTTCCCCTATCAAGTTGACCCTGCCAGGTGCAAAAACGGCAGTGTCCGCTTCCTCGCCAGCAAACGTTTCTCGAAAAACTTTCCTCGCCTCCTCAACCAAAACCGGCACTGGCACAATCTCCTCCGCCATTTTTATCGATTGTCAACGATTATTCTGTTATTCTGTTTCGAACGCAGCTGACTGCGATTAGTATATTGCACGTCGTCTCACTGTAATAAGTGTAATATGCAATAATATCTCATCGGATCCACTCGAGTTGGAAAATAATTTGATAAGGAATGTCAGCGACCCGTGAAAGTATCTAACTAGATGCATTCGTTTTCGTACTCTCGTAGGTCATAAGTTGGTCATAAGCAAAACCATAATAAGGTGTAATAAGTATACCTTATAGGTAATGAAAATATGTCTTCTTGGGATTGTTGAAGATAGGCAGGCAACGATCCACATACAGGGTGTCCGGAAATTATGCGCAAAAAAATGAAGGGGGTGATTCAGCATGAGAAAACATGACATTCATTTCATATACAGGGTGTTTCATTACCAATTGGGAATATTTCAACCATAGAATCCCGAACTCAAAGTATGAAGATTCAACCCAAATCACCTAGATAAAATATGTCTCCTGTCTGAGTAACATGGTGTTTTATTAAAAAAATTTGAAATGTTTTTTGCCCAAACTATTTGACGTATCACTTTCATATTTGGAGAGAAGTGTCGGTATCATACACCCAATGAATTATGTGAAAAGATTTTTTTCTAGCTATTACCAGAGGCGTAAGACAGGGGCAATTAACTGGATGATCCCTCCCAAATTCTACGCCCCTGGCGGAATTGCAATTCTATCACAAATTTTCGATTCTTCAACAATTTTGACGTAGATATTGTACTCCTTCTCCATGGCGATGAAGTCATTATTTTTCGAGATATTTCAAGTTAAACATAAATCTGCACAATCATTTTGATTTCAATGTGCATTAATTTTGTCAATATTTTGGATCAATGGATTGTATTCATCAATAAAATGAAACTTCAATCCATATTAACAATAAAAACATAATTACACAGATCGGAGCTGTTTAATTATGTAATAAATTAAGAAATTGAAAACGCCCTGTAACAGCTACCGTCTGTTATGTTTTTATGTTAATATGGATTGAAGTTTCATTTAATTGATGAATGCAGTCCATTGATCCAAAATATCGACATTATTGATACACATTAAAATCAAAATAATTGTGCTGCTTCATGTTTAACTTGAAATATCTCGAAAAATAATGACTTTATCGCTATGAAGAAAGAGTACAATATTTACGAAGAAGGTATTGAAGAATCGAAAAATTCTGATAAAATTGCAATTCCGCCAGTGGCGTAGAATTTGGGAAGGATCAACCAGTAACATGCCCCTGTCGTTCGCCTATGCTATGGTAATAGCTAGAAAAGTTTATTCCACATAATTCAGTTGGATGTATAATACCTACACTTCCCTCCAAATATGAAAGTGATACAAATGGTTTTAAAGAACTGGAAAAAAGATTTCAAAATTTTTGAATAAAACACCCTGTAACTCAGGCAGGAGACATATTTTATCTAGGTGATTTGGGTTGAATCTTCATATTTTGAGTTCGGGATTCTATGGTTGAAATATTTCTAATTGGTAATGAAACACCCTGTATACTTGGTTCCGGAAAAGCATAGTTTTCAAGATAAAGTGCGTTGAACTTTTCAGAAAAAAATCGGTTTCTTATGAATATCTTCAATATCCTTCCACCGATTCTCTTGAAATTCGGCAATGATATTCTTCGTCATGAGGAGCTGATAAAGCCATAATTGAATTGGAATTTTGAATTCCAGTGGCGTCCCACGGGCACCCTTCCGAATATTATTGTGCTATATCCATTTTTTTGTGTTCATAAATATATCTGAGAATATTCCTTTTCGATAATGAAATGTGCGCCACTGATTTTTTGAAATTCTTCATATCCTAATTATTAACTTGAATAACAACATTTTGATTTCTTGAATTGTTTTGCTATTTTGCTGCGTTTCCGTAGAAAAAACGAATACCTACCAATTCTTTGTTTAAATTTGTGCAAAACATTGCTTCAAAAACAGGGGTGAAATTGAATATGTGTGATCCATGTCCATAGACGTAGAATGAGAATGAAGATTCATTTTCTTCAAATATTTTATAGTACCTACATTATGTTTGACACAGTTTGTATTATAGAAAAATTCGACTTCCTGGACCGAGGGAACATAGTTCTCAATATACAGAGTGTAGAGTGTATCAAACATGTATCAAAAAATATTTGAAGAAAATGAATCTTCATACTTATTCTATGTCTATGAACATTGATCACGCATTCATTTAACCTCAGTTTTTGAAGGAATTTTTTTGGCACTAATTTATGCAATTAATTGGTATTTATTTTTTTCTATGGAAATGAAGCAAATTATCAAAATAATTCACGAAACCAAACTGTTGTATTTTTAGTTGGTTAATAGGTTATGAAGATTCGAAAAAAATCAGTGGCGCACATTTTATTGACAATAATATTCGGTATTTTGTTCCCGAGACGCCACTGAATTTCATAATTCCAATTGAAATATGGCGATATTAGCCCCTCATGACAAAAAATAGCATTGCCAAATTTCAAGAAAATCGGTGAAAGGACATTTGAGATATTTATAAAAAACCGATCTTTTTTCAAAGTTTTAACACACTGTATGTTGAGAACTATGCATTTCCGGACCCACGTACATATAAAATGAATTTCTTATTTTATCATGTAGAATCACCCACCCTGTATATTTTGTAAGCACGATCGGGCGTTGAGTAGGTGGATGAGCAGGTTAGTAGCAGGCCACCACTGGTTCTAGGCCACATTATCATATTATCGCCCATATTAGTGGACAAAATATAATAATCACTACCTATGTGAAAAACCAAATAGTTGAAAAACATCCTCGGCCCCCTACCAAACCACATAGCGACGTACCCCTGGTGGCAAACTAGTGAATTATTATAAAATAAGTACTAGAAATTTATAGTATTATGGTTTTTACCTCTTTAACTTCATAGGTTCTGCTGAAGATGGAGTCCCCCAAGTTCGAAACATGTCCATAAAAAACCGATCACATTAAAATTTCAGCATTCCTTTTTCGTTTTATTGATAGTTATTCCATAAAAGTTGCCTAGCAACTGCATGACTGCTCACTGTCAACAAAGTAACATCAGTTCAACGAATATTGCCTTGAGAATAAGGTAATTTGAATGGAGATGAGAATATAACCAATCATATCATAATGTCATACAGAGATATTCGCAGTGAGTATCTTTTTAGATATTAACTTACCTACAATAAGTATCATAACGATTCATATTACGATATATGATATGAGAAACTCGTCAAACAAGCCGTATGATAACTCATTGAATATCGTAATATAAATTGAAGATTCGAATATAATTGAATATTTTTATCTATGACCAATAACTGAATTTGATAGTGGTAGATGCGTTTTTCTAGTTTTTATTGGCAAGTATATATCCATGGCAACTTGGCAAGATCTAGCGGAAGAATGATTTCGAGATTCATTCATTCATTATTCCAGATTTTTTATTGGGATTTCCTCTCCTCGTCTCTATAAAATCAAAATATGAATACTATTTCAATATACGTGTAGTGAGGATAAATCAGATAATCAGATGATTTGCCCAAAAATTTCGTCACTGCGTTTGAAGAATTCTCCTATCAGAGAGCCTGAAAGAAAAATTCACTTGCTCGTCAGTGACAATTTGTATTGAAAAAGGTTTGGAGAAGAGAAATAAAGGTATGTAGAAAAAATTTCGAATTCTTACTTATCTTTGGACGTTTCGGGACCGAATTTGCTCCCGCTCTCAACATAAAAATGGATTTTTTATATGGCAAATTCGTATTTGTCTTGACACTTCTCAGTTCTCAGTGACAATTAGTGACGTTGGTGATCAAATTGTTGTGAGTTGATCACAATAATTAAATATGAACTCGTTACTCGAAGATCTATTTTATATATTCAGTGACAACATTATAATGTCAAATCTCATCACTATCTCTAACAACCAATCTCCCCGGTAACTCATATACAGAATGATATCATAACATCTTCCCCTTTTCAAACGAACAAATATTTATCATTACAACATCGGAAGTGAAAGAAAAATGAACTAAATATAATCCTGAAGGTGGCAAGGTTTCCTTGTAATACGACCAAAACGAGTTCTATATATGCTACCACCCTCTTCAGCATTTGGTATTTCAGTTGGTTCGTTTTCATTTTCTAAATTATCATCATTTACATTTTCATTCATTTCTTGATTTTCAATAGTTTCATTTCCATTATCATCATAATTCAATGAAAAATCATTTTCAATATCAGATCTGATGCTTGAAAAATTTGAGGATATTTTTCTTAAGAATCTCCTATTTCTGACATAAATTCTACCATTTTCATTCAATTTAACAACATAGGATCTAGGCCTATTTGGATCAATTTTCATAACTGTTGCTGGTTCCCAAACTTTACCAAATTGAATCATAACTTGGTCGTCAGATTTCAAATCAGGTAAGCTTTTTGCATTGCTATCATAATATGATTTTTGTCTACGATTATTATTTATGAAAATTTTATTAATATTTCTATGATAACTACTGGGGGTTAAAAGATTCTCTGTTACAGGTACATGACCTTTGAGAGTGCGACCAAATAAAAGTTGTGCCGGAGATGGAGTATCACGACTAATTGGTGTATTTCTGTATTCCAGAAGTGTCAAGTGCAGATCTTTACCGTCAAATAGAGCTTTTTTCAACATTTTCTTTATGGTTTGTACATGTCGCTCAATAAAACCATTTGACTGTGAATAAGTAGGCGAATTAGTTTTATGAACAACTTCCCATTCTTTAAGAAACTTCTGAAATTCTGAATTTGCAAATTGTGGAGCATTATCACTATAAAAAATATCTGGTTTACCATGAATGGCAAAAATAGATTTAACGGCATCAATTACTCGTTTACTGGTGGTATCATTATCTAGACATCGAATTTCAGGGAATTTTGAGTAAGTATCTACCAATAACAAAAATTGTTTATCATTCAGATAAAAAAAATCAGCAGCCACACTATGCCATGGACGGGTGGGAATATCTCTGTTCAACAAAGGTTCTTTCTGATTACTATTTTGGAATCTCAGACATGAAGGACAGTTCCCCACTGTGTCAGATATTTCTTTATTCATAAACGGCCAATAAACTGTGTCGCGAGCTCGTAATAACGTTTTCTCAATGCCCATATGATTATAATGTAACCTAGCTTTAATATCATCCCTCATATTTTTCGGAATAACCATCTGATTGCCTTTAAAAATTGCTCCTTTTTGTTCAACTAATTCATCTCTAATACTCCAGAAAGACATTGCCAATTGAGTTACCTGTTTTTTATCCTGAGGCCATCCATTTTTTATATAATTCATAACTTCTATTAGTTCAATGTCTCTTCCTGTTTCTATTCGCAACAAATCAAATTTTTGAGGACTAATACTATTGAATTCAATTATACCAACCTGAGCCTCTAAATCATTTTCAATTATATCGAAATTTTTGTCATCATGATAAGCACGCGATAAAGTGTCTGCAAAATACAATAATGCACCTGGTTTATATCTAACTTTCAAATCATAATTTTGTAGAGTAATTCTGAGTCTTTGTAAACGCATAGGACATTGGTTCAGTGGTTTTTGGAAAATAGCCTCAAGTGGTTTGTGATCTGTTTCCACAAGAAACGACTTACCATAAAGAAATTGGTGGAATCTTTGACATCCGAAAACAATTCCCAACATCTCTTTCTCAATCTGTGCGTAATTTTGTTGCGTTTCTGTTAAACTCTTTGAAGCATATGCAACAGGCATTCCATTTTGAAGAATTACTGCTCCTAGCCCATCTTTTGAACTGTCAACTGACAAAACAATCGGTTTATTCTCATCATAATATTGTAGTATGGGTCTTGTCATCAATAAGGTTTTTAAATTCTCAAAACTTTTCTGATGGATGTCATTCCACTCCCATACAACATCCTTTTTCATCAATGCCCTCAGATTTGATGTGAGTTTAGATAAATTTGGAACAAATTTGGCAACATATGTAATCATTCCTAAAAACCTGCTTAATTCCTTAGTGTTCTTTGGAATATCTATTTGTTTGATTGCTTCAATTTTATCGTTATCAATTTTTATACCTTCATCTGTTAAAATGTGTCCTACATACTTGACTTCATTGACTCTGAACCTACACTTTTTTTTATTGAATTTTACACCCATTTCTTTTGCTCTAAAAAAAACTTTTTGCAGAATTTCATCATGTTCCTTCAAGGTTTTTGCGTAAATTATAATATCGTCAATATATACTTTAACTCCCTTGATACCACCAAAAATTTCCGTAAATGTTCTGTGAAAAATTTCTGGAGCATTACATACACCATACGGCAGACGTAAAAACATGAACCGACCGAAAGGTGTTGCAAATGTGGTCAGCTCAGAAGCTTCCTCTGTTAATACGATTTGCCAAAACCCTTTGTTGGCATCAAGGGTTGAAAATATTTTTGCACCACACATATCTCGTGTAATTTCATCGAAAGTAGGTATTTCATAATGTTCTCTCAACAATGAATCATTCAAATTTTGTGGGTCTAGGCAAATGCGAATACTATTGTCTGGCTTCTTGACAATTACTATTGGATTAACAAATTCGGTTGGTTTCTTTACTGTAGTGATTATATCATCAGATATCATTCTATCCAGTTCAGCTTTGAGTTTATCCATAAGATGGAATGGTACTCTTCGACACGGTACAACTGTTGGTTGGTAATCACGTTTTAACTTAAAATTCACCGGACTACTAGAAATTTTACCAATGCCATCGAACAATACTCGATTCTTAGTGAAATCATCATCATTTTGGATTTGAAATATATTTCGTCGTATTAAATCTAGTTCTTGTAGACTTTGAATACCCAGAACAGGGGGTGAATTTCCATTGGTTTTCAGAATAATAAAATCAAGAAAATATTTCTTACCATTGTAAATAACTTGCAAGTTATAGGAACCAACAACATCCAAAGTTTGACCACCATAATTCGTAATATTCAGTTGAATTTTTTTTAGTAAACCTATTTTCAAAATTGTCCAAATATTTTCTGGTATGACATTAACATGAGCTCCCGTGTCAAGCTTGAATTTCAGAAACCTGCCACATTCTGGAATATAAAGTGTTTCAAACCAATCATTTTTTGAGTTTTCCATCATAAAAATCTGAAGTGATCCTAAAACATATTCATTATCACTATAGTGTTCATCTTCAGTAATACCATTTACACCAGGATGAAAATTATTTCTACACAAATGAGTAAAGTGATTAAATCTAGAACATCTCCTACATTGTTTGCCAATTGCTGGACATTTACGATAATGATGCTTGAATCCACATCTGCCACAGTTAGATTGAAAAAAATCTTCTTTATAAAATCCTCCCTCACTGGTTCTTGTATTTCTATTGTATACGTCCTGTTTTTGACTCGACGAACTGGTTGCTAGCTCCCGTTCATTATTATTCAGCTGTCTTCTATATTCGCCTGATGTGATATTTTTCTGTGTTTTCATTTTTTCTTCTGGCCTTCTTCTATCATAGATTCTATTTTCATTCACATTGGTAAATCTATGTTGTTTGTTATGTATTTCACTAACTTCAAGATTTTCTGTTTTATCTGTCATTTCCTTAATGTATTGTTCAGTTTGCTCTGCTAAACGACAAATTTCAATAGTCTTTGTCAAATCCAAATTAGTTTCACGCAACAAGCGATCCTTCACTTTTTGATCTCTGATACCACTTACTATTCTGTCTTTTATAAGTCTATCTCTGAATATACCAAACTCACAATTTCTCGATATTTTCTTCAGTTCCGCCAAGTAGTTTTCGAAGGATTCACCATAAAGTTGATTTCTTGAATTGAACTTATGAGTTTCCACACTAGGATTAGATTTTGGTAAAAAATGAACATCCAATCGTTTTATTATCGTATCTGGATCAACTTTTTCATCAGCTGTCAAATCTAATGTCTCCAAAACTTCATTGGCCTCTTCTCCTAAACAATGTAATAGAACTGCTGCCTGGACTTCTTTCGGTTTTTCTTTACACCCTGTTGCTACTGAGTACAGATTGAAATTGCTCTTGAACTTCCTCCAGTTTGATCCCAAGTCCCCACACAAACTCATTGACGCCGGTTGTTTCAAAAATTCCATTGCTTCAATGTGAGGTACTTTCTCTAATATACGTAGATTCTTTTCACGACTGCGCCATGTTGTGAGTTGATCACAATAATTAAATATGAACTCGTTACTCGAAGATCTATTTTATATATTCAGTGACAACATTATAATGTCAAATCTCATCACTATCTCTAACAACCAATCTCCCCGGTAACTCATATACAGAATGATATCATAACACAAATGAGTTACAGGATTTCATTATTCTTAAATTTTCCATTTTCATTTTCAGATTTCATTATTGAATACCTTGTTTTATCTATATCAACTGAACAGGAAGCAATGCTATTGTCTCCGTTCAGAAGAATGCAAGCAGATTCCTTGATTTTTCAACGGAGACAATAGCATTTTTCTTCCTGTTCGATTGATAAAGATAGAACATGGTATTCACTACTGAAATCTGATAATGGTAAATTCAAGATTAATTAATGAACACATCTAGTAACTCATTTGATTACCAACGTCACCAATTGTCACTGAGAATGAGAACTGAGGAGTGTCAAGACATGCAAATACGAATTTGCCATACAAAAAATCCATTTTTTATGTTGAAAACGGGAGCAGATTCGTTCCCGAAACGTCCAAAGATGAGTAAACATTTGATATTTTTTCTATATACCTTTAGTACCTTTATTTCTCTTCTCCAAACCTTCTTCAATACAAATTGTCACTGACAAGCTAGTGAATTTTTCTTTTAGGCTCTCTGATAGAAAATATCTTTAAACGCAGTGACATTCTGGGGCAAATCATCCGATTTGTCCTCACTACACGTATATTGAAATAGTATTCATATTTAAATTTTATAGAGACGAGGAGAGAAAATCTCCAAAAAAAAATCTGGAATAATGAATGATTTCGATTTTTTCTCGATAATGGTCGTAGATGCGAAAAATCACAAGAGACAAAAAAGCTTATAAACAGAACATATAATTTATTTCGTATTTCAAAATCCACCAGCAGCGCACCACAAAAATGTTCATGAAGCGAAAAAGCGATATTCTTATACAATCACTCGGGACATGTAGGTACTGTATAATATGAACCCTAAAACTTAACCAATGTTTCAAATTTGATCTGGATATCTTTGAAACTGAAAAAGCTATATTTCATTGAATAAAAAAAACTCGAAATTTTAACCTTTGTAGATCGTTAATGAAGCGTTTGGGTCAACATGTTCATTGGAAAAAAACGTCTGGTTTTGTCCTGACGAATTAGTCCTTTTAAGATCTTCATACTGAATTTCAAAACACGTTATTGTATTCATACTCTAGTTAATTTTTTTGCTTCAGCAAACCAATATAATTATGGCCTATGGAATGTTTAATTTTTTATAGATCTGGTGGAAACCCTCCGGGTATTAGGCTATCCAAATATGGTATCGATGGAAAGTTTCAGATCGTCGAATTTTCCACTAGTAGCCGATTTGCTAGTCTGGCTGGCGAAAAGATTCGATCCCGAAGCAGATATTCCACCCGAAATATCAACTGAGGACGAACGAGTCAAATTGATGCGAAACGTCGCCCAATTTATGGTAGTAAAAAATGAGAATCTAGCACAACAATCATAAATTCCGTTCGTTCGCTTCTCTTCTTATTCTCTTCCAAGTCTTTAATCCATTTTGGGTAAATATTTCCTGAAATCAAAATACACATAAGTATTTTGGAATAGAAGATTTTGTAAATTGCAAACAATTTTTCAGTCGTTTCTTCTGTTATATTGTTAACTCGAATATCATAGGAAAATTGTTACAATATTGCATTTTCATATTACAAAAGCATCAAGCTCTACATTATATTGTGGCAATATTTTGTTACATAGGCATATAAATTGATTCTATTAAATTATGCATCGCATATTTTGTTTCTCTGAAAGAAATATATCGATATGCGGTTTTCATCATTGAGTTTGTCAAATAAATGAACCCAGCACCATGATCAGTTTTTAACTCTAGTTTGAAAATAGGACTCTCCTCACTTTCCCATTGGAATTGACCAATTTGATCCTCCTTGTACATTATATATTCATAGAACTCCATATTCGGGCATTTGAGATGAACGAAGAGAATATGTTATTCAATTTCTTATCGAAAGTTTCATCATTCTGCTACTTGTCGTTTTATTTCTCTATTATCAGATAGTCCCTTGAAGAAGAAGCAATGAACTTCAGTTTGAACTGTTTTGAAATCAACACCTAACCCCCGAATCTATTATTGTCTATAATTCCTTCTAACACGTACATTATTCTTCATCTTTCAACATCACGGAATATCACTTCCGAAATCATTATCCCACTTGCGTAATCATGATCCCACACCTGACACCATATCAGTTCTCTGTTATTTTCGTTGTTGTCACTAGCATTTGAAATGGCAAAACTGACTGAAGTTGCTTTTATTGCCTATATTTGAATGTTTCAGGCACTGAAAGCTCAGTTTGAACTGTTTTGGAATCAACACTTAACCGCCGAATTTATATTGTCTATAATTCCTTCTAACACGTCTATTATTCTTCATCTTTCAACATCACGGAATATCACTTCTGAAATCATTATCCCACTTGCGTAATCATGATCCCACACCTGACACCATATCAGTTCTCTGTTATTTTCGTTGTTGTCACTAGCATTTGAAATGGAAAAACTTGTATCGATGATTTGATCGTTTCAGGCACTGAAAGCTAATATAAAATTGAATACAAAAAGACTCTATCAAGCAGATGGATACGCAATCAAAGAACTACTGAAAATAACATCAATTTTGCATGATGCCTTGTTGAGTAACTTGGACCAGAACGAAGATGAACGCAATGAGGAAGCTAGCTTGGATATGAGAGAATTTGATATCACTGATAAGGTGAATAGTCTAGTTCCTAAATGAAGTGACATTATTGTTTCCTATCACAAGTATAAACATGATATTGGATGATTGAATCTGTTTTCAGGTGAATGAATTGAAATTCTCTCGACAACTGGCCAGTGAAATTACTTCAACTGGTGCCAACCTTTTCGATTTACTAGGAAAAGAAGTAGACTTGAAGGTGAGACTTTTACTCAGTATACAGGGTGTATCTAAACAACACAGAAAAAATCCAAGGGGTGTTTCCTTGTGACATTCTAGCAAATGAAGTTCATATAAACATGTGTCCTAACTTGCTTCGTTTTTGAGATACAGGATGTTGAAGTTTGAAGTAATAATTGTTTTTATTTATAACCCCCTGTTTATAGGAAGTTGACATAAACCTATTCTAACTTTTCATAGCAATTTTTTTTAAATATCTCTTGATAATTTATTTTTTTGTTGATTAGATATTATAGTTGAACATCATTATTTCCTGCTAATTTTTACAGGCGGCTAGGCAAAAAAGTGTTTCACGCCAATTTGAACTTTCGGATGTTGAATCCGGAATAAAAGATGCTTTGCAGAGTATCAAGAAGGAAATTGATGAAACGAAACATCTCATTGAAAATGTGGCTGCTACCGAAGCAAGTTTGGATTCCAAAATCGAGAGGAGGAATCTAGAGATATCTAGATACGAAAAACGACTACAGGCTCTGAAAAAAGTGAGGTGAGGTATACCTACTGAGATAAAATATCATTCTAGGTAGGTAACTCTCTTCAAAGATCGAGATTTTTTTAACAGAAAAAATGAGTATTAAATTACAACCATTACTGATGAGTCGTCGTAGACACATGAGTTTTGGATTGGTGAAGAGTTGTTCGACATATTACGAGGTTGACGACAAAAGGATGTGCTGACTGGGCTTGTCTAGTTCGTCAGACTGGTAATGCTAGTGATGGAATGATAGCAGAGATTTCTGAAGAACATATTCCGTGAGTTTCCATCGAAAAAATAAAGGTCGCCGACTTTTAGACTGTGTTCAAATGACGTGAAAGAATTAGTGAGTGTAGCATCACTCACCAGGAAAATGGGCTCGTTTTTGAATGGAATCGGATGGCATCAGCATATGTTTTGGGTGTAGGAAGACAGCGATATGAAAACAAATTCACATACAGGGTGGTCTGTTTGAAAAAACCGCCATCTTTACGACAATATGAAGACTACCAAAAATCAAAATTGTCAAAAATGTCTTGCTACAAAAAGAATCACTTCTGGTTAAGCCAAATATTAGGTGTCTCAACCCCAGCAAACAATTTTGGTCGGCCTTATGCTAGAACATAATATGCTGGCCAGAATTGGCCAGAACGGCAATATTCCTGTGAATATTGACGGGCCAGAACCAATAGGAGACTCTGGCCGTCATCAGGTCCAGTACATGTCTGCCGATACATTTAATTAAAAAAAGACGACCACCACGGGATTCGAACCCTGGTCCTCCGCTAACACTTGGTTACAAATCGAACTTCCAGCATATTCCAACTGAGCTACTACACCTTATTGAAATTGAATGTGTGTACAGAATGTATTTGCGGTTAACTTTCGAATAGGAGATATGTAGGAACGAGGAACAAGGAACGAATTTCTGCCATACCTATTTTATGAGTCAGACGACTTGCCAATGTTTTATGGCCGAATTTGATGACTTTTATGATGATGAATAGCGCAGTGGTTAAGCGCTCGACTCTAGCAATTAGAGCGCCGAAAGGTTGCTAGGTTCGAATCCTGGCATAGCAGAGAATTTATATTTATAAAACTAGTTATAAATTCTAATTTTCATCGCCTCGGTCTGAAATAATTCCGCACGATTCGCTGTTGCGTTCCAATTAACAGTGGGGGGATTCAAACCTAGCAACCTCATTTATTTGGAATATTCCAGAATATTTTCGAACTCCCTACGGCTTTCTAGAACATTCTCGAATATTCTGGAATATGCTATTACCTACATCCTGGAAGTTTCTAGAACACCATATGGAAAGTTGTTGAACATTCGAGAGCATTCTAGAACAATCTGGAATATTCCAGATAATTTTAGAACCACTCTGGGCTATACTAGAACATCCTCAAGTGTTCTGGAAGTATCTATAGTATATTATGGAAGATTATTGATAATTCTGAAAGAGTATAGAACATTATAGAAAATACTACAATGTTCTAGAGTATCCCAGGATATCATTCTGGAACATTATCAAAGCTTCGCATCCATTTTCTCGTATCTATAGACCAGCGTTTTGAAAGAATTTGATACTCGCTGCACCTCATAGGTGCCTGATCCAGCTGGAATAACAGTTTGAGGATTCGGAATCGGCCTGGCTGGAGAAGGTTCAGGACCTTCTGGGATATTTTAGAACAATCTCGAACATTCTGATTGATAAAAGAACATTCTAGAAGTTTCCTGAATATTTTTGAACCTTCTGAGCAATTCTATAAAGTATCCACAAACGTTCTGGAAGTTAATTATTGAAGATACTAGAACATTATGGATGGTTCGAGAATGTTCTATAGTATTCCAGAAAATTCTTGAACATTCTCGAAGCTTCTGGAAGAATCTATGACTTGCTATAACAATATCTTGATCCTTTCATAGGAAAGAAGCCCTCGAAAGGTTTCATTGACGCATATACTTGTTCGTATCTAGACCAGCATTCTTGGGACAATGCACCGCCCTCGTACCGGTTAGGCAATAAACTATTCGTCCGGTACTCGCTGATGCGCCTCAGGTGCCTGATCCAGCTGAAGAAGCAGTTCGAGGGCTCAGGATCGGCCCGGCTGGAGAAGGTTCAGTACCTTCTGGGACATTCTCGAACAATCTCGAACATTCTGATGGATGCTAGACCATTCTCTAGAAGTTTCCAGAATATCTTTGAACCTTATTGGCAATTCTAGAGTGTCCTCAAACGTTCTGGAAGTATCATTAGTAAATTATGGAAGATTCGAGAACATTATGAAAAGTTCGAGAATGTTCGATAGATAGATAGATAGATAGATAGATAGATAGCTTTATTCAAAGAATTGTACTTATACATTGAACAATACACAAGTACAAATTAGGTGAACCGGCGTCAAAAGTAGTGATGTTTGGTTTCCATACAAAAAACATCTAAATATATATATAATGCAGAACAATCAAGATAAGTATTTAAACAAGAAGACAGATATGTTAAAAATGTAAAGTATAGATAAAATATATAAAGATTTGTTGAAATAGAATCAATAAAAACACAAAAACGTACATGTTGAAATTGTCCAGTGTATTAGATAAAATATATAAAATTGGGTGATAATTGAATCACAATAACTTGGAATCAAAAAATTCATTTAAACTATATGGTTCGATCTTGATTAATAATTCTTGTACAAGATGTTTGAATTTTTTAAGACAGGGTTCGATTTTAACACTCGTCGGTAGTCTGTTATAAAACTTGATACAGGAATACGTAGGGGTTTTTTCTGTCAGAGTTAGTCTGTGTGCTGGCGTATTCAAATCCATAGATCTTGTACTATAACTATGCTGTGATTTAAACATATCGAATTTTTTCCTATTTTTGAACAGAAATACTAGACACTCATATACAGGGTGTCCCTAGACCAGTGGGACAGTTAAATATCTTCTGAACCAATAGGAATTTTCGAAATATTATATTTCCACATCATATCGCATTATGAGTGCTAACTTCAGGAATGACTATATTTTATACGAGTGGCGCAAGAAAGGCTCACAAAATCGAACATCAATTTTTTCAAATGGAACACCCTGTATTTCATTGCATTTTCATATTCTCCTTGAAGAGCTGAATTCAACGACCTAGCACACTTCGGGTCTAGCGGGAATGATTTCCGAGATATAGGGTGTGGAAAATCGAGATTTTTCATTTTTGGGAATTTTTTGTGTCAAAACTATTCATTATTGGTCAAAACGGCTTACTAGTCCATGCCTTAACTTTTGATTTACTGTTCACTCGTATTTAATTGAAACGAATACAGGGTGGTGTAGAATTCTGACTGAAACTGAGAATTCTACACCACCCGGTATTTGTTTCAATTAAATACGAGTAAATAGTAAATCAAAAGTTGAGATATGGACATGTGAGCCGTTTTGACCAATAATGAATAGTTTTGACACAAAAAATTCCCTAAAATGAAAAATCTAGATTTTCCACACCCTATATCCCGGAAATCATTCCCGCTAGACCCCAAGTGTGCTAGGTCGTTGAATTCAGCTCTTCAAGGAGAATATGAAAATGCAATGAAATACAGGGTGTTCCATTTGAAAAAATTGATGTTCGATTTTGTGAGCCTTTCTTGCGCCCCCCGTAGAAAATATAGTCATTCCTGAAGTTAGCACTCATAATGCGATATGATGTGAAATTATAATATTTTGAAAATTCCTATTGGTTCAGGAGATATTCAACTGTCCCACTGGTCTAGGGACACCCTGTATATAGATGCTTGGAACAGTTAATATATTCATTTCTCTGAATTTTCCTCTGCATGACTGCCTTTTACTGTTACCCAAAAAAATTCGTAGGCATCTCTTCTGTACAATAAAAACACTCTGCGCTTCCCAGCATCCTCCCCAGAGAATGATACCAAAGCGCAGTAGAGAATGGAAGTTTGAAAAATACACAGTCCTCAAAGCTTCACTGTCTAAGTATTTGCCTGTAATTCTGAAAGAATAACACACTGAATTTAATTTGTTACAGAGTTCATTTATATGGATCTCCCAATCCAGATTTTGGTCAATGTGAATTCCCAAGAACTTTGTGTTTTTTACTAGGGTCACATTTTCTGTCTGAAGCTGAATGTCTTGAGGTATTTTGTTCCCAACACTTTTAGTAGTTGTGAAACAGATACAGGTTGTCTTTTCTTTGTTTAGAGTCAATCGGTTATTAATGAGCCAGTCTTGAGCTTTTTTTAGGCTGTCGTTTGCTATACCTAACATTTCTTGGAATGAAGATCCTAACACTAGGATATTTGTGTCGTCGGCATAATTTACAAGATTTGTTTTATCATTTATGATTTCTGATGCTAAGTCATTGACATAGAATATGAATAACAGAGGACCCATCACACTTCCCTGGGGCACACCAACTTCCAGCTGACCATCCTCAGAGAAGTACTTCTTTCCGTTTCTTTCTATAGATACTTTTTGAACACGTTCACACAGGTATGATCTTAGCCAGCCAAGTGCAGGGCCTCTGATACCATACCGCTCTAATTTATTCAATAAAATGTCATGATTAATACTATCAAAAGCTTTTGACAAGTCCAAAAATATTCCCATTGATAGATCTTTGTTTTCATATCCCAAAACAATTTTGTCTATAAAATCATAAACGGCAGTTTCTATGGATTTACCCTTCAGATATCCATGCTGCGAGTGACTTATCAATTTTTCGGTGTAAAAAAAGCTCAATAGTCTGGTACACATAGATAATTCAAATATTTTTGAAAAGGATGGTATTAAACTTATGGGACGATGGTTTTCTAACAGAGTGGGATCCCCTTTTTTATATAGTACCTACTCCAGAAAATTCTTGAACCTTTTCGAAGCTCCTGGAAAAATCTATGACTTGCTATAGCAATATGGAACATTTTATAATCAAAAAGCTCTGGAAAATTCATTGTTCGTATCTAGACCAGTTTTCTTGGAAGAATTCATCGCCCTTGAAAAGGAGCTCGAGCAGCAACTCTACGTGCAGTACTCGCTGTGCCTCAGGTGCCACGACTTTCAGTGACATTCTGTTACATTCTCGAACAATCTAGTAGATACAAAAACATTTTTGGAAGTTTCCAGAATATTTTGCGTACCTTCGCTGGGCAATTCTAAATCATCGTCAAGCGTTTTGAAAGCATCAAGGACATTATGGAAGATTCTATAGTACATTCTGAAGGATTTTACAACATTATAGAAAGTTTTAGAATGTTCGAAAGTATTCTCGAATATTCTGGAACATTTCCGAAGTTTCTGAAAGAATTTATGACATGCTATAACAGTTTTGTAAAAAGATTTTTCCAACGCTTCCATTTTTTCTCATCTAGACCAGCGTTCTTGGAAGAATTCACCGCCCTCGAGAAGGAGCTCGAGCAACTCTTCGTTCAGTACTCGCTGCGCCTCAGGTGTCTGGTCCAGCTCGAGAAGCAGTTCGAAGACTCGGAATCGGCCCGGCTGGAGAAGCAGCTGCAGCTGGCCGCGCTGCCGCCCGTCCAGACGATCCCTCTGGACCAGACGGACCATCACGACGACGTGTTCATGGAGAAAGTGGGAGGGGATCGGCCTGGGGCAACCAACAGGCACCATGACAGGCAACGTGTCCCCACTGGAGGTTAGTGATACCTACCTATCTAGAGTTCCTTAATGTACTTGACACTGGTGTTTTGACGTTTTTGTATATTGAGAGTATGGACACTATGACAAGCAGTGACAATCAAACATATGTTTTGCCAGACAAGGACAAGAATATGTTTTTTCTGTGGCGGGAAAAAAGTTTGGCATTTCATCTCTGTTGGTAGGTTATAAAATGTCACTTTTCATAAATTACTTTTTTCCCGTGGGAAAAAAGTGAGTACTTTTTTCCCGGATATATATCACATACAGTATGATGCAAATGTATGGAATAAATTCATTTCAAAACAAGACGACTTCCGAAAAAAAAACCAAAAACTAGAGTTTAGAACTTTTTTTTCGACGTATTTTTTTAACTAGACGACCCTTCGATGTTCAATTCTCAGTAGCAGACCTATGCAAGATTCAATTAATCACATGATAATCCTTTTTAATTTCAATCTTCTTATGCAACATTTTGACTGTTGAATAGAGACGATCGGTAGACCTTTCAATCAAGGTGTCACATGACCCCTATTTGTATTTGAAAAAATCGTCCATTACGTCTTTACTCCAACACCGGTGACGTAACATCTCTCATATAAATATCATGAGATGAGGCTTCAGAAATTAAAACTCACGTGTTTTTGGAATTTTTTCAAATGTCGCCCATTTCTGAAATAATGAATTTATTCCATACATTTGCATCATACTGTATATATACACTGTTGATGGCTTTTGTTGTGCTATAGTTCCGAAAAATGAGTCAATAATACCGTCTCCGAGAAAGAGAAGTCCTTTTATCTTCCATTCGACTTCGCGGTCACGTATATTACTAAACTACCACTAAATTCGCTATTTTTTAAAATCAAATCACAGAATGATAGAGATACCTACAACGCAGGTGTCCCTACTGTTAAAAACTTAAAATTTCACGTCGATAATTTTCAGATTTCAAAATGATGTAATATTTTCTCAATATTGATTCGTCCTTTCTTCTGTCACAGAAAAAAATAGTGTATTATACACGGGAAAAATATTAGATTTTAGCTCGCTAAAATCTACTACTTTTTTCCCTTGTATAATAAACTAAACTATTTTTGCTTAGATAAAGGATCCTCGCATCTTCCTTCCTCCACGAGTCCTGGGAAGAGTACAGTGTGTCCAGTTTTCGATGCTTTTGCGTGATATCACAGTTATCTCTCGAGATAGAACCTTGCGGTTTTCTCTGTCCTGTGCCCCTTTTTTGTGAAACTCAAGATGGCCCAATCAGATTTTGCATAACTGTTTCCGTTTATGAGATACAGGGCGATTTTGAAAATCTATATGTAATATTTTAGAATTTTTTTCAATTTACGATGTGCGATTCCTATCAGATGAAAGGGAATGAAAAAAGTAATTCTTTTCTACTGAAATCAGAAACTTATGACCATTCGAAAAAGTCAACATCGGCACTATCGGCAGTTCATTACAATAAACCACCCTGTATATAAGATAACTCTCAATTATGACTCCATTGAAGCGATCGATGAAGTATGATCGATGTTCGTGCATAATTTTGGATGGGACATTTGAAAACGAAGATCAGTAGACATATTGGAATCAACATCTGTAAATTGCAATTTTCAGAAATAATTCTAATTAACTTTGCAACGCCACTGATGAATTTCAAAATTATTACATGGTTGGGTAAACAAGATAAAAACAAATCAAAATTTGTCAAAAAATGCAGCGGTGTTCCTTTTGAAAAAATCATAATTTATGTATAGCTCCGCGCCGAATCAAAAATAAAGAAGGCGGATCACAACTCGAATTGCAATTCTCACATATATCTTCATTTAATCATCATATCCATACAAGTACAGTCCACTATCTATCAAGCACCGAACATATTGGTCCTTCGAGCCGGATTCATTCAAATAAAGGTTGTTCACAAAGAATACAGAGCAGCACTCAAGACTACCGGGAGTAACAGTGAATACCAAAGCAGCTGGAGCTTCCACAGGAGTTCAACCGAACAACCTTGTTGCTCATAGACTCCGCCACCTACTGATAAGAATTCTCAGCTTCATTGCTCTCCTAAGGATGATTCATCTTCTTAGTTGAAATATTCAAGGATACAACATTTTTTCCAGGTCGAAGCAAAATCGAGAAAGCCCCCGCGAAAGCGTACGGCGGCATGCAGCCTCCCCTCCTGGGCAGCCAATCGTCGTTGGACCTGAGCACGGACTCGGAGTCAGACGACTCCTTTCTCGACAAAGACGAGCCCGAACTGATGCACTCCGACGAGTCTCTGGGGCCCGAGGTGTCGGCCGACAGGAGGGCCCCTTCTGCCAGGGTGGCTGCCAGCAAGATGCAGGATAACAGCGACGATGATTTTTAGTTTGTTTGAATGATCTCCGAGTAGCTTGAAATAGTTTCTGTTCTTTTGTTCTTGTTTCGTTCAGTGTCGGTCTATTTCTGCTAAACAGGGGTTCTCAGAGAGGTAGGGCTCTAATAAGTCCAATATCTTAACGTTCCTTCCGAAGGACGGCATATCTTTACCATATCTTCGTTAACAGCTAGAGGTTTTGTATATTTGTTTATTAATTTATTATACATCCGGCAGGCCCTAGAGCCCAATTACAGGTGTACATAATTACAAACTAAGTGATTAGAACAGAAAAAATATAAAAAATATCAGTAAGGAACTGAGGTAACAATAACACGTTTGAACTGTGCAAATGATTAAAAGAAAATATCGACAGTAGAGATATTGTTTACACTTCTAGACATTGTTGTTATAGGCGAGTGGTAATTGTGTATTGTGTTAGGTACAGAGGTAAGTAAAATGTATTACAAGTACGTGAAGAAGCTCGAGGAAAATTGAACGTCATTTATGATAGGATAGTAGAGGAATCTATTTGATTGTGTATAATTTTGTGAATGAAGCATCTCTTATTTCACGATGTTTTTTAAGTGATATCAATAAATTGAACTCAATAAGGAGTAGGTCATAGTTATAGCCTCTTGCAGCATAATTACCATGCATTTTATAAAATGCAAATTTCAAACATTTTCTCTGAACATTCTCAATAGCTGAAATATATAAGACGGATTCCAAACAACACTACAATTATCGAGCTTACTTCTGACCAACGTTAGATATATGCTTTTCAGAGAATCAAATGATTTGAAGTCTTTACAGTTTCGTATCAGAAAACCTAAATTTTTTCATTGAAGCTGAAATTATATGACCAATATGATTGGAAAACGCAAGTTTTTGGGTCAAATATGACCGCTAAGTCTTTCGATTCAGTGACTGGCACTAGAATATTGTCATCAAGCTTATAGTTGAATGTGACTGGAACAACTTTTTGAGTTAATGTCATAACTTTACATTAAACTATCCACAAGCTTTTCATAAAATGACTGCCCTGCGGGTATGAAGTACTCATGAAATTTTGCCTCATACATGTGATGTCGATAAACAAAACAGTGATTGTTTTATAATTATCATTCTAAATATGACAACAGAATCCTGCGATTGGTAAATGAGGCCACGTGTTGGAGAGAGAAATTGAGTGGGGGGTGAACTGAAGTACTTAGTCACCTACTCTCCACACCATTCTGACCAAACATATCCATGGTTATTATTTTCTACAAATACATGAGAATGTGGATTGCACAAGTGCAAGATATATTGTGAGTGTGAATTTGATGATGAATAAAAACCAATAATTATTATAAATCATTTTTAATCACTGAACGGGGGCCAAATGAGCAGTCTAAAAAAATTTCAAAATTATAAAAGAGATTGCATGTCGGAAATGTCGACCCTGAAAAAGTAAGGGACCAGTAGTTGATATCAATGTGCCAAAATTCCCTAAAATTCTATTCAAGTACGATTTTTCAAAAATGCATCATGTAGATGATAGTTAATTCTTCACTACCAACAATTCAACACAAAGATACCAACACAGTTAAGTTGATATAACAGCATAATTTCAATGAAATATACTCACGAAAAACACAGTACATACATTTAAACAACTTTTAGCATAAGTTAAACGAAAGGTGCCTGAGTAAATTTACAAATACCAAAAAGAATGGCAACAGGATACGTTTTTTTTTCAAAATTCAACAGTGACATTCTTGTCAACCAAAATCCACCCTAAAAAAAATGAATATTGAAGTAAACTGCAGAAAAACTGAGACATAGTGCCTCAGCAAAGTAGTTTTCAAGATTCAATTTTTTATTAGGATGGAGATAGAATGTCGCAATATTTGTACAATGTAGAATGTTTCTTTACAAAAAGGTACTTTGAATTGTGAAATATATTTGTACTATCCTTCAAAGAATTTACATGATGTCCCCTTTTTATTGCTCACTACAGAGATCTTGAAAACTGCAAGAAATATAGAATTGTTTGATTACAAAAAAATTGCACTAGCTCAATTATTATGCTTGTTGTGATCAAAAAACGACAATTACAACTGAAATCATCAAATCATATATCTCATCTTGCTGTACTCAGATATATATGAAGCTTTCATTGGACACAAGACATAATCCATTCTAAAACAACCTCAATTATGATTTTCAGAGTATCTGGATCCCATCAAATTTTCAGAATATCCTGTAGATTATATCAGAAAATGTACGCATATTCTAAACCAGATCCAAAGCAGTAATTTTGCCCAAAATTATAACCTTAATAAAGTTTAAAATTCGAAGTTTGTGCTGTTTTTACTTTTATCTCCCGGATACTTCCTGTACATTGGAAGAAATAAGTCAATTAAGTAAATTTCAAAATTATTTACCCACTCTCTTTGGAAACAAACAAAACGTTATCGATCATATTTTGAAACTGTTAAATGGACATTAAACAATGAAATAATCAACATGATTACTGGAAAATTGCTGCTATGTAATATTTATAATATCAAATATTTATATAAAATGTTTCAGCAACCTTAATGCAATATTGCAGTAAGGTGGCATTTGTTAGATTGAATATGTACATCACAAGCAATGTTACAATAAACTTGCTAGAATGAATCATTTGATAGCTACATCACACATTACAGGGAAATACTGTTGCAATAATGTTGAAATATTACTTTTAATGATATTTGGTATATTTATTTGGTATGTCAATTTGTGGAATGACTTGCATATGTTTTGTGTCCTTATTTGCGAAAAAATACAGATCATAATACTGGAATTTTCTTTTAGCTAAATCAGTTTTGTTTCTGAAATTATCCAACAGCCTTGGTAATGAGCAATGAATAGAGGAGACCATGTAGACTAATCTCTTGTTACTTGTTTGAAAATCTAAAACCCCAAATCCTCTCTTTTGATAAATTATGTATTCCAGTTTTTAGTTGAAACACCACAATCCCACCAAGAAATGAAATAAATAATTTATGTATTTTTTTAATAATTCACAACAGAAAGTACCCGTTAATGATGTGCTGCGCACAATATTCTCAAAGAAAAAAAAAGTCTTCATAAGTAATAAGCATTGATGGAGTATATACTAGGTTCATGCATAAAATACCTACAGTTAAACATTATTTTGAATCTCTTGGTCGCATCAGGCAAACCTACTGATCAGTAATAGACAGAAAAACGAACCAGACTGGTGAGAAACCATTGTTTGAGTTTCATATCGGAACCAATGACGCCTTCAGATCAGAAAATGGTAACATTGCAAAAAGCTAAACCAGAGAAAATATATTGAATTCGGTGATAAAAACATTTTCCGCGTTATGTGTTTGGTCACTGTTGTTTTTTTCTCACGTTAGTTTTTACGTCTTTCCACTGCTTTTGCGACAAATCTTTCGCCGTAAGTATATGATAAAACTGTACACTCCCAATGTGAACAATTCAACCTTGAAGCGCTTGCAACCCGGATGCTGGTTCATCTCATTTTCACATCAAACGTCACGTTTCGAAATAAATACCCAAAAAAATGGTTCCACTCCAACATACTGCGCCATTTCTGTAGACTATACTTATTAACAAATACAATTTTCATGTTATATCTAAGCTTGTTTTTTTTTTGTATGATATTGCGGGCTGGCAAACATATATTCATTATATAAAGGATGTTTACAAGAAATAATCGGGAGTCCGACGGGTGACGTGTGGCTCTCCGCGTCTTGGTGCTGGGTCAAACTGTAAGCTAAAAAACAACAAAAAATATCAGCTTCCGTCGTTATTACTTAATGGGGCGTCACTGATTAATGATTTTCTTCACCCTATTATCTGTTTTTCGATTGTTGGCTAGTGGACTGATTTTTTTTTTATTTTTCATTCTTGATCTTCATACTGACGTTTCCAATTTTATCATTTTTCGAAAATTTTGTGAACGGTTTTAAGGTCTCAAAATCACAAATGAGGTCACAGTCTCATTCAAATGGTGTAAATTTGCCTATATTTTGAAATAACAGAAATGTCCTGGCTATAAACATCCATAAATCATGATTTCTTGTTCTGCAACTAAACAGCTAAAACTTGTTACCCCCAAATCTCCGATGTCGTTAAAAAAATTTAAAATCGCTCGGACAGGTCGATTTCAATTAGGCAGGGGACACATTTTTCTGCAATCATCATATTCCAAAGTTGAAATCTTGAAGAAAAACGGGCATCAACTCTCGATTTCATTGCATTTTTTGATTCTCCCAGAAGAGCTGCTTTCATCAATGTATCATAGGGTGTTCAAAATCGAGATTTTTCGACTTTAGGATTTTTATGTGTTGAAACTATTCATTATTGGTCAGAACACCTAACATAATGATGTGATATTATGTAAAAATAGGTGAGATCGAATTTATTAGTGGAATTACACACATTTATAGAAATCCCGATCGATATCAATTCTTTTGGCAATGATATAGAGTTCTCCCCACCGTTCGCGATCTCATTCAATTATCCGTGTTTGGCGTCTAAGATTGTTGTCATATACATTCTAATGATTCATGAATGAGTCTCTATTATAGTATTTTTCAATCTATTCTGGCTTATGACATAATAGGCTGGGGAGGTCTATATAAACAAGCACTGAAACCACTTATATTAATTCAAAAATATACCTTGAAAATTATCTTCAAATAACCTTTTGATTATTCTTTCAAAATCCTCTTTGAACATTATAACATTTCTGTTGATCAATTGTTTTATAAAACATCAACAATATACATAAGAAAACATTGATTGAGAATTCAGAAATTTTGGAAATTTGATTATATGATGAAATTCTTAGGCAACATTTCATGTTTTAACAAGGGGAAGCTTTCGTGACTGTTCTATAATAATATTCTTGGGAATATTAGTGGGATGCAGTCTGGACCAATGAATTAATTAGATTTCTTCGTTATTTGACATTAGATTTCTTCGTTATTTGTCAAATAACGAAGAAATCTAATTAATTCATTGGTCCAGACTGCATCCCACTAATATTCCCAAGAATATTTTCATGTTTTATATAGTTATTTTTAGATAATATAAAAATTTATTTAATATATTAATTGTACTCAATGAGAAAATGTATTATAAAAAAATATTTTATTATAAATATATGTTTGTTGAGGGATTTTCTTGAATCCTGTTATGTTTTTGATTTGCAGCTTCTTCTTGGGGTTTGGATTCAGTTTCATGAGTAAATTCAAGAGATTAGGTAGAAAAACGTTTTGCCCATGGCCATGGGCTTTGTCAATTCATTAATATTTGATGAATCTGTAAATAATGGTTTTCATTGTGAATTGTTTACATTGTGGAATGATAGTGACGAGAACTAAACCAAAAGGGAACATACCTCAACCAATTCAGTGCCGGATTTATACTCCATTATGCCGGAGGCTATCTTTTACGATGCCGCCGCGCCGCCAAATATTAAATTTCAATTGTCAGTTTCGAAATTCAAATAATCCTTTCACTGCTTTTTTACAGCATATAACAATAACATGAAATCATTATGTACAACGGATCAAATTATATTTACTTGACACGTTAAACATAACAACAAACGACGAATATTTTTTTCAGATGAGAACTAAAATACTTTTCTTTATTTTTTTGATGCAAAGTCGTCGACGAAGGCATCATCAAAATTCAGATTTAATAACATGTCACTGTTAATCCTTAAAATTGATGAGCTATTCAATGTATCCTCTACCATGGAATTCCTGAGGTAATTTTTTCATTCTTTTTAAAGTTGAGAATAAACTTTCACCACTGGCATTACTAATCATCAGGGATAGAAAAAATTCTTAGAGCTACTTCCACGTTGCAAAAAGTATCTGTGATCTTGTATTTCTGCAACAGCACCATCAACGATCTTGCATTGAATGTTTCATCACTTTTGTTTACGGCAATAGAATTCAGGAAATATTTGCGGAGATACAATTGAGAACAAATGCGAATGTAGAAGAGAGATCTTTGTAGGCTTCAGCATGAATATTTACTTCACCCACCAAATGGTCGACTGCTTTGAGGAATACATGGGTTCGCATTCATGGTCTGTGGTGTCAATAAATCTTCAGTGTCATCTTCTTCAAGAGCCAGTTTCCTCTTACGGGTTCTAACCTCCTTATGGTTAAGTTCTTTCGAGAGTAATTGTGCCTCTTTTTCGTAAAAATTGAACTTTTTCCGCAAACATTCATAATAATTCCTCAATGAAATATATAAACTGAGACACGCGTCCAGGCCTATGCACGAGTTTTGCAGGGACTTGCTGACTTGATCTGCTCTCTCTAATATATCATACCAGAAAACAACCAGATTTTTTTAAATTCCAGTTTCAATATTTATTCATTATTAGTACCATTACCAACAATACCAACGACAACCTATTAAATACTGAACCCTGATTTTGTTTTTTGTTATTGAGTTAGACGAATCACGAAATTATCCTTACTCTACTGAGTAGAATGTGGTAGAATGCTGGTTTTTTTATCATCAAATGAAAGTATGTACCGCCGCCGCTTTTGTATTGTAGCGTCCAAGACACAGCTGCATGTTATGATTTTCACAAAAACAGTATCTATCTCAATCAAGTCCTTCCGATGCGGAGCCAGCGGTAGCTAATTGCGCGTTTGCTTCAAAAGGCGACTGAAGAGGCGGCATATAAAAAGCAAGAAGCAATATAATATATTTGTCGCCTCGTCGGCGACGACCGTATTGCTGTTTGCTTTTTCTCGTTTTCTCTACCGCCTCTTGAAATTCACCGCCGGGGGCTGATAGTCCCATAGCCCCCCCCCCTAAATCCGGCACTGAACCAATTCATAATTCCTATGAGTTCTTTAATTTGATAACTCATAGGAATTATGAATTGGTTGAGGTACATATCTCCCTTTTGGTTTAGTACTCGTCACTATCATTCCACAATGAAAACCATTATTTACAGATTCATTAAATATTAATAAATTGACAAAGCCCAACGTTTTTCTACCAAATCTTTTGAAATTACTCATGAAACTGAATCCAAACCCCAAAAAGAAGTTGCAAATCAAAAATTATAAATATAGTACTCTGATAAGTATGTTATTTCCAAAATGAATAAGATAAAATGAATTATCAATTAGTCTGAGATTCACACTTACAAGGAGTACTTGAGCGCGTCGTCTAGCTCCATAATCGCCGCCTGGTTGCCGCACCGATAACAGTAATTCGGCGCGCTGAATATGGTGACCACGTTCCTGTCGTGGCACCAGTTGTACCCCTCCATGACCAGCTGGTGCGCGCGCGACACCAGCGTCAGCCCGTTGCTGTGGTTGAACGTCTCGCTGATGTCCTGGCCGAAGGTGTAGCCGGCGCCTCGCGGCGAGATGCCCCAGCCGCCGCGGTCGTCCGGATCGGACCACAGCAGATCGCACATCGGGCCTTCGTGGGGCACCTGGGAAAGAGGGGAGAATCCATATAAACTGCTGATCAATCGAACCGCATCAAGCACATTTTTGCTCTAAATTCAACATTGAATATTTTCGCAAAAATTCCACTTATTCGGATGCGGTTTTCTTCAATCTGAAGATTGATTCATTGGGTACATGACAGATAGACCGCTGATGGAGGTACATGGTAACCTCTGCCTGTACAGGGTGACAAACAAACCTCTGCAAAATATTGAAAAATTCTCTATACTTCCAATTTGATGGAAAAATTTTGAGATTTTTCTCAAGCATATTTTCATAATTCTCGAGCATATTCCTCGAAATGGTTTCGCAAATTTTATCGTATCTTTCCAGATTTTCGAGAAAAAGATTTTTTTTCGAAAAATATGATAATTTGTACTACTGACCAGAAATATTCTCATTTGTAGCTCAAATACCACAGATTTTCTCTTGAATGAGCTATTGTGACCTTGATTGTATGAAATCTCATATTGTTTATATACAGAGTGTTTGGTAACATTATTTGATAGATATTATTACAGGAAAACCGAGCAAAACACATTGATTAACTTGTATAGTGTTCGAGATTGAATGACAGCAACTTTCCTTGAAGTTACAGAAAAAAAAAACGAGAGAAAGAATATACAGGGTGATTGATGGACGTTTCATATAATGAAACTTTGAGAGTTTAAAAATATATGTAATATATCAATGAATTCTTACTCATCTCTCTCACTCTTACTCATCATTGGAATGTTGCTCAGTGTAGAATATACGAGGTGATTCCCATTCCTCTTCAATGGTTATCAGTTGATTGATATTTCCGATTAGATTCGATCTCGATCGTATTTGTATAACTTCAAACGTGACCACACATGTTCAATCGGATTATAATCGTTTGACTTGGGTGGCCATTCCATACGATTTATGTTGAGTCTTTGCAATAACTGATGGTTGATGATTCGTGCTCGATGTGGTCTCGCATTGTCATCAACAAGGACAAAATCATCACCAAAGTTTTCGGCAAATGGCACTATGACAGGCAGAATGCATCTGTCTCTGTACACTTCTGCTGTAACCGTGCCATTTATGATCACTACCTCGGTTCGTCCTGTAAGAAGTTCTTCCCCCCCCCCTCCCCGTCATATCGTATCTCCTCCGCCACCAAATGCTTCTTGGGGGCTCAAAATTTCTATCCAGAGGAATAAACAGGTTATTGTGAATCACCTCGTATATTCTACACTGAGCCACATTCCAATGATGAGTAAGAGTAAGAGAGATGAGTGAGAATTCATTGATTTACCACATACATTTTTGAACTCTCAAAGTTTCATTCAATCTTGGTATATCACCCTGTATATTCTTTCTCCCGTTTTTTTTTTCTGCAACCTCAAGGAAAGTTGCGGTCATTCAATCTCGAACACTATACAAGTTGATCAATGTGTTGTGCTCGGTCTTCCTGTAATAATATCTATCAAATATTGTTGCAAAACACTCTGTACATGAAGAATAAAATATTTCATACAATCAAGGTCACAATAGCTCATCCAAGAGACAATCTGTGATATTTGTGCCACAAATAAGAATATTTCTGGTCAGTAGTACAAATTATCACATTTTTCGAAAAAAAAACTTTCTCGAAAATCTGGATAGATACGAGAAAAATTGCGAAACCATTTCGAGGAATATGCTCGAGAATTATGAAAATATGCTTGAAAAAAATTTCAAAAATTTTCCATCAAATTGGGAGTATGGAGAATTTTTCAATATTTTGCAGAGGTTTGTTTGTCACCCTGTATAGCCAGAGGTTACCATGTATCTCCATCAGCAGTCCATCTGTCATATACCCAATGGATCAATCTTCAGAATAAAGAGAACCGCATCCGAATAAGTGGAATTTTCGCGAAAATATTCAATGTTGAATTTAGAGCAAAAATTTGCTTGATGCGGTTCGATTGATCAGCAGTTTATTTACTATTTCTATATATGGCACATCGCCTATACGATATCTCAACAAAAATGGGACCAAAATGAGAGGTACTTTTTGAATCTATAAGGACGGAAAGTGAAGGATGGAAACAGCCATATTGGTTTAACAAGTTTCGTATCATTTTTCCCTACGTCGGCATCAACGCCTATTGGTCGATTTCGTTCCCTATAGAAACAGAAGTTGGTCCCGCTTTGAGGACAGCTATGATTCATATATGAGTAGTAGATATATGGGAAAATCCATACAAATGGGCATCAGCAAAGTCGAACAAAATCCAATACAATTTTTTCTCTAATAAATATAAATATTGTAATGATATTCCCCTTAGAGGGGCTCTAGAAACATCATCAGGAAGACAGGAGTACAACGATCATCCTGTAACACGCATCCCAGATTGTTCTCCAACCTCCCAATGATTTCTACATGCACCAGCATATTTCCGAACACTCAATATATGCCGCGGTGACAAATAACGTGACAGAAGATTCTGGAATGTTCTGGAAACAATCGATGGAACAATTAGAGAGAGAGGTATTGTTCTAAGGAGCTTCTATGAAGAACAAAAGGAAGGTTACGGAAGATCATTCGAGAACGTTCGAGAAGCAAAGCCTACCAAGGGATCTCATATATAAGGAGGGCCAGACAGTTAAAGTTGAAATAAATCAGTTCGAAAATAAATAGTGTCGTCTTCGCTTCTGCACCCGAATGACGTAACAATATTTTCATAATTCCGGAATTCTGCTGACTATCTGACTACTCAAGTAGTCAGATAGTGCCGTCTGTCAGCAGAGTGGTTTACTAGTAGTACCATTTCGCAACGTTGTAGTCATAGTGTTGACTAGAGATGGCAGCGTCATTGTGCACGACTGCAAGTTCCTACCTTATAGCTAACTCCACTAAATGGCGATAGCATGACTAGATTATCATCGAGTTTGACTAGTAAGAGGAAACATGCGCATCAGCAACGTCAAACAAAATCCAACACAATTTTTTCCTATAATAAATATAAATATTTTGATAATTCCGGATAATGCATGATTTATATCCATTTTATTTATTTATTCACTGGATGAACCCCATTACAGTTTGAATTTGAGAAAATATATATAGAAATAACACATTTAAATGTGCCAGACACATAAGTAAGTATATGAAATGTATATCTACCCAACAATGGCTATGTAAATATGGAATAGATCAGACTAGAAACCCTATGAAACTAACAATAACAAATTCGATGACTAATCAAATGCCACTCACTTCTACTTACAAGCTATTCAATGATTTTTTGAACATATTGTAAGACAATCCAAATATATAGATGTTCATGTCGTTCAATAACTTCAGAGTTCTTTCCAAGGGTGCATGCTTACCATAATTTGTAAAATGGAATGGTAAGTGAAATATCAATGTATGTCTAAGATTTCTGTTTGGAACGTTGAAGTTAATTGATTCGAGTAATTCCGGACACGATAAAAGTCCATTGAGGAGTTTGAATACAAAACAAAGATCTGCGTAAGTTCTTGTTTCCAACGATTTAAGGTTCAGTTCACGTAAAATATCTGAATAGTCGTGGTTTTGTATGTGGATACTTAATCTGTATGCACAAAATCTCATAAATTCATTTTGTAGTTTTGTACCCTACCCTTTCTATGAAAGTAGAGCGAATCTGATACATGGGAGACCAAATAATAGATGATGATCTAGTCATGCTATCGCCATCTAGTGGCGTTAGTTCTAAGGTAGAACCTTGCAGGGGCGCTGCCTTCTATTTTAATTTGGTTCTACTAGCTCAAGGGTTAAGCTAGCAAAACCCATGATTTAAAAAAAAAAAAGTGCGAGAAAAAACGGCAATAGGCTAAGACAAGAGCCTTCAATTAGCCTTAAATTATGACAATGCGTTTCATTGATTTGCTCGAGGATTTGCTATTGCCTTGGCATGTTCATGTTGGATTTGGGAATATTTTTGCAGAAAATGATCAACAAATAAATCGATAGTAGGTTCAATGAAGAGCCTTAAATTAGCCTTAAATTATGGTGTAGTCAATATTCTTATATTACTTCTATTTGAGATTTGGGACTGCTAGCTTAATGGTTGAGCTAGCAAAACCCATGATTTTTTAAACAATGTGAGAAAAAATCGGCAATAGGCTAGGACTGGACTAGAGCCTTAAATAAACCCTAAATTATGGTATAATTAGTTTTGTGATTGAACTTTCCTTGATTTGTCATGTTCAAGTTGGATTTGGGGAAAGAACATTTTCCAAAAAATGATGAACAAAAAAATCGATGATAGGCTCAACAAAGAGCCTCAAAATAGCCTTAAATTATTATGTACTCAATATCCTTATATTCCTTCTATTTTAGATATGGTTCTGTTAGCTCAATGGTTAAGCTAGCAAAACCCATGATTTTTTCAAAAAAACAATGTGCAAAAAATACGGTAATGGGCTAGGATAAGAGCCTTCAATTAGCCTAAATTAAGAAAATGTGTTTCATTGATTTGCTATTGCTTTGGCATGTCCATGTTAGATTTGGGAAATTTTTTGCAGAAAATGATCAACAAATAAATCAATAGTAGGTTCAATCATAGATCTTGATACACACCAAGAGTCTTAAATGCTATGTTTTATTAAACACTATATTATGCAAGCAACAAAAGTAATTGCTCCAAGAAAAGAACATTGTTTTGTGAAGAAAAAAATATGACCTCAATGATTTAGTAGTCATCAATCTTATCTGATAAGTAAGCAATGACTAATTTCTTATCTATGAGAAATCATCTGAGTTTAGATCAAAATGTAGATAATTAAGTTGAAATACAAAACCATATTTTTTCACAAATTGGTGTTGTTTTTTGTTTATTTATTCATTAAAGGAAATATACACTTTTGTCTCTGAAAAATATTCCATTCATACATCTTACATTCTATCCTACATATCTGAATTTTATTTAGTGAACTGTGTATGATTGAGATGACATTTTCAAACATGTAAATTGTTTCAATGATTTTGACAATGTGATTGTATATACTAGGTGAATGTATGCCACACAACCTATATTATATTGATATTTCCATGTATAAACAGAATTTAATGCAATCTTTGTTATTAAATTCATCACAAATACTTCTTTTCAAAATCAGCACCAATAGTGACATATTTGTCAACAACCAATCAGAGCAAGAATTTATTTCTACCTTATGGATGTACTGAGATAATGTTTGATTCTTTCAATGAAATTCACTAACAGTTCATTCATCATCTAACATTCATCACTATGATATACTTCCTTCAAATATTGGTTCTGGACAAGTAACATACATATACAACCACCATCCAATCCACTTATTCCATTTGGGACAAATCAAATTAGAAAGAGTATGATCAAGATAATAACTGATTCTATATCAGAAATATACATAATAGCAAAATTGCAAAGTACTGCATTTTGGAAAGGTGCATCTAGCTGTCTATATATATGTACTAACTGAAAAGTTGGTTAATATAAATATTAACACATTTTGATAATCAAATAAACAAATATTCAGTGAATGTGAAATATCTTTAGAGAAGAATTGATGAATTTTGTTTTTCCAGGTTTATAGTTTGTCTCAAAATTCAGATTATTTGGAATACTGCAACTATTGCATTGATCAATGATTAGAAACTTCTACCACACAGAAATATAATTCCCTAAAATTTATAACTGAAAAAGAAGCAATTCAATTTTGTGTTTGATACTAATGAATTCACAAAAGATTTGGTTTTTACATACCCTACATTCTGAATATTATAGAAAACCCAAATTTGAAAAGCTTGTGAAACAAAAATTGTCAAAACATTGGATAATTACATTTAGGTCAAGACAGGGTCAAGCATTAGGTATATCAATATCAATGTTTTTCAATATTATTACTGCTGAAATTCCATATCATCTAGCTAAAAAATAAATTACAAAACACAATTCCAACAATAAACTTGATTTAAATATTATATAGGTATTAGAATAAAAAGAAACATTCTTGTAGTTTGCATCATCAAAACCAATAGGAATATACATTTTTAGTAATATTCCTACAGTGCCAACTCAAGCACCACAAACTTTATACTACATTAAAAAATAAATACAAACTTACCTCTTGAAGACGGTCCAAAGCTCTAATATGATCCAATGTATCAATGCTAGGACTCAAACCACCATGTAAGCAGAAAATTTGGCTATCAACAAGGGCAGTCAAAGGCAGATAATCAAACAAATCAGTAAAGAACTTCCACACATTAGCGTTTCCATATTTCCTTAGACACTCATCATAAAAACCATAAACTTGTGTGATTTGCCTGGACTCATGATTTCCTCTCAGAATTGTGATTCTTTCTTTGTACCTCACTTTCAGAGCCACCAACAGAGTTACAGTTTCAACAGAGTAGTACCCTCGGTCCACATAATCACCCATAAACAAGTAGTTTGTATCAGGACTACGGCCACCTATCCTAAACAATTCCATCAAGTCATGGAATTGTCCATGGACGTCTCCACATACTGTTACAGGACATTTGACTTCTTGTACATTGGATTCTTTTGATAGAATTTCCTTAGCCTGAAATATTTTCAATAATTATCTATTTGTCACTCACACAGTGATGAGTAATCAACATGAAAACAAAGCTAAGAGAATAGTATGGAAAACGAAGACACTTTGTGAAAACAAATTCTCACCTTATCACATAGGGTTTTAACTTGATTTTCTGATAGTTGCTTGCAGTCATTTAACTGTTCAATCCACTGATCCAGTTCCTTACATGACGCCTTATCATCCATTACTGACGGTTTCAGCTATAATATAAATCAACAGAATTACCTAGGATCGAAATGCTCGCCTGTACGAGTGTTTTGGGTATTTATATACTGCTTTGGATTATCATTGAAATAGATATTCTTCAATCACAAATACAACACATCAAAATGGCGATATCTTGATATCTTGAACTAGGAAGGAAGATCCATGATTTTTTGGAGCGGTCTGTAGATAGATGCGCGTGCGCATCGCGGGAAAGATTGAAGCCTACCAAAAGCAAATTTATAAATGTAGTTTTATTTTATTTTACATAATTACCTTTGCTTTATCCAGTTTTTCCACGCTGTCGTTGAGATTTGATGAATCTTGAACATTCATTTTCATTGGTTTCATGATATTCGTTTTCATTTTATTTGATTTCAAAATGATATTTCTTATGAAATGTTTAAATTTTAAATGGAATTTTGACAGATGATGTTCAGAGGTGATTTTTCACGACTACAACTACTCGAACCTTAGATCATTCTGATCATACCACACTTGACCATAACAAGAGTTCCAGCTCCAACCAAGTTTCACTCACGTTGGTGTTACTTTACTAGAGCGTAAGGTCAAGTCATGACTTTAACGTCAATTTCCATCAAGGGACCCTACAGGAACCAACCAACATTATTGCATTTCATCACGGTACGGAAAACTACTAATCAAAATAACCAAGTTGATTCACGAAACATACCTCCAGCAAAAAATGAGATCCATCATTTCAGATCAAGGTTACAGCCAAGGTTAGTAGAAGCAGCAGCAGAAACAGTAAACACCTAGAGACAAGACGCACAAATAATCCGAGATCCCGGGTTCAAGTCCCTATTAAACCTACCCTTTTTTATATTTTTACAAATTCAATTTCCCTTCCTTCCTGAAAAATGTACTGTGGATGCATTATTTACTGTTGAGGCCGATAGTGATTCGCTATTTCAACGATGTTTTCTCAGGTTCATATTCAATATTCATTGTTCGGAAGTCTCAAACTCTCAAAGCAAAGTGGAATCCGTGTCGCTAGCCGTCTGTCTGCTTGTGTCGACAACTAGAGTCTAGCCATAGCTCCATGGCGAGGTAATATTGCGCCTCGCTCGCTGTGGGCGCGAGAAACTGAAAATTTCCGGCCGATCCTGAGAAGAAACATGATTGAAATAGCGAATTACTATTGGCCTAAACCTAACCATAGTATTTCTTCTATTAATTACTTAAAAAAAAAAAAAGATCACCTGGAGTAGGGATCGAACCCCGGTCTTTTCGTTCGGAGGAAGGAACACTACTCTAAATGACAACCATACTTCTGGCAAAACATACTTACCACCGTGGCAATATTTCCCGTATACATACAATTTTCAAGCATCCGGATGGCACAGTGTGGTGGTGAATCCATGCGGCACGCCGGCGACTCGAATCCGATCCTATGCAAGGGTCGACTTTCATTTTATTTTGTTCTCATGTGATTTTTCGAAAAATACACTTTTTAGGAAAAATGTTCATTCAGGCAGAGTTATGTTTGATTGCTTGAAAAAAGTAGTCTCATTTTTTATGTAGTAACGACATTTTCTTTCCTCAAGAAAAACGTTCATTTAGGCGAAGATATCTTAGATTCTTTAGAAAAAGTTGTCATTCCAATTTTTTGTGCAGGAAGGATATTTCCATATTCTCCTTTCCTATATTAGACTCGATAATCTGTACATAATCACAATGGCTAAAAGTGAGCAACTGGAAAGGAAACACTAGTCGCTTCTACCACTAGCGTCTGCGGACGGCCGCAAGTAATAACTCCGTGGTAGGGGAACGTTAGTTAACTTGTGTCGAGTCTAATATAAGGAAGGAATTTTTTTTTAACAATCAATCGACCTAGATGAACCTTTTTTTCTTGAAGAAGGAGAATTTTTCTTGAGGAAGGAAAATATTGTTTCTGCATAAAAAATGAGAAAACCTAACCTATTTATTTTATGAGTATATCTGTACTTGTTTCGTTGACCTGTGTAAAACTTAATGTTTATCAACACCAAATAAAATATTCTATTCTATTCTAACCTAACCTAACCGAACCTCACCTCTGGCCTAAACATAGAAAACCCCTAAATGAACCTATTTCCCATAGAGAATATTTTTTAGAAATCACTTGAGAACAAGAAAAAAATAAAAAAAAGATGAGCCTCGCACGGATTCGAACCCCGGCCCGCCGGCTTGGCATGCCGATGCTTACTGAGCCAACCATTTGCTTACGAGACGAAATATGATGAAGTCATTCAGTCGGCGCCGCATAACGCCAGTCGCATCTACTGCCCACTATAACGTTCTCCCACCACGGAGCCAACCATCGTGTGACATCAACATCTGTGTGATGTAACAACCTTGCATAAATGCAATATCTCGTTAACACATCTTATCGACGCGTAGATTCGATATCAACGTCGCAAGGTGACATCGCAACCAGGAAACTATGTAATGTGGCAGCAACTTCTTCAAACTACATCCCTTCGACGTTAACTAAATAATTCACATTGATATCCTCATGATTGGCGTTTATTGTCTATTCACGGTTGGATGAACATATATTTAGTATATAAGTAGCCCACTAGGATCGATAGAGCATTTAGTCCTTCTCCTGAAGAAGCTAACATAGTTATCGAAACACGTGTCGCGAGGCCCAAAAAATCGGTTTGGTTAGTGGTAAAACAGCGTGTAGTATATCTATCTTGTGCCTGAAAAACGAAGGAAAACGTATGACACATAGGTATATGTTCATATAAGTATAAAATTCATTTCCAAATGTATTCAAGACGAATATTTTTCATTGAAATAAATTGTATACTAACGTACACATACAGATAATATTTCAGTAATATTTTATTTCAAATAGGTACATACAAACTATCAATTATTTAACATCTTATAGTAGGTAGGTATTTATAGGATCCATAGGAATTCAGTCTGATTCCCTGCAATAATAGCCAAGTTCTTTACATTTTTGACAAAGGTGACGAGGATGTGGTTTTCTATTCACATCAACATCCTCATTCTTCTTCTTGGGCTTCAGTGGCATCTACAAAATTAATCAAATGATTGAAAGCAAATTGAAAATATCTTTTTTCTACTCCCATATTATACGCGAATTAAATATCTGCTACCGTTGAAAACATCGGTGGTAACGATAATGGAACATTACACGTAGGTATCTGGAGACAGATCATTTCGAAAATCTGTCTAAAATATTTTCGACAATGCATTGTTACCACTTCTATAAGAAATTAGTAGCAACTTTGTTATTTCGATGGAACACCCTGTATTTCATTGAATATTAAGATTCTCTCTGAGAAACTGACTTCATCAAAGTATACCACTTGGGGTCTAGCGGAAATGATTACGAAGATAATATATAATATATTATATATAGACTGTTCAAAATCGAGATTTTTCAACTTTAGGTTTGCTATACCTACTGGAATATAGAAATACAACCAATCTGTATCTGTATTCCATAATATGTGAAAAAGTAGGAGGGATTCGTAAATACGGATTTTTTTCATGTTTCACGAATTACAAAAATAATGGGTGAGTTTATCATAGCTAGAAGCATAACATAGTCAGAATAGAATTTCAAAATCAATCAAAATATACAGTGTGTCCCACTGCATGCTCACCATGGGTATCTTTTAAACGGTGAGAGATACGAGGTCGGTTAAATGACACCAAATGTGGAGTTTGTCAAGGCCAACTATAATGTGAAATAATATATATTTTGATAAAATCTATTCGTTTTTGTTTTGTACGCAAAAACAGATTTTGATCATTTTCATGTCTCCTCCGTAACTTCTTTATTAATGAAAATATTCAAATAGGAATTTCACATTCTCATGGCAGTTTTTCAAAGTGATTTCGAAAAAAATATGAAATTTATACCAACTCTTCTAGAATTTGAGATATCATCAGCACCAACTTCAGTTTTTCAAATGTAGGTCATAGCTCACTATGACTTAGTTACAAATAACTTTTTTTCTCTTACAGATGATATGTCGCAGTAATAGTTTTCTGTTGATAACAAAGGAGTTATCGTCATTTACACAAAAACAAAAAATCATTTGGAAGCCGCCATCTTGAATTTATAAATTTTATCAAAAAAATCATGATCTCCGACCTCAAAAACACCCACTTACCAATTTTGAATGGAATCGGACCAAATCTTGTCCGCCATCTTGGAGCAGCCATTTTTTTAAATTTCAACAAAAATTCCATAATGTATTGTCACCGAAATTATGAACACCTGCCAAATTTCAAGTAAATCGGAGTTATGGAATTTTTGTTGAAATTAAAAAAAATGGCTGCTCCAAGATGGCGGACAAGATTTGGCCCGATTCCATTCAAAATTGGTAGGTGGGGGTTTTTGAGGTCGGAGATCATGATTTTTTTGTTAAAATTCATGATGAAAGAACAATAATTATTGTTTTTTGCAAATCAATTGCAAATCCAGTCAGTTCCGCACGGTGTGCGGAAAAGTGTATCTTTGTACACGCAAATGTTTGCAGAGGAGCACTATTTTGCGCACGCTCGTAGGAAAATAATTTTTCCCCCTATGTTACGGACATCATGGATGACACTGTTTATGTCTTGAATTTACTCGGATTGCTATTATATTTTACTGGCACTTTCTCAGATCACCTTGTACATATTGAAGTTATCATCTCACACTTACCATATTGTATGGTAAAATATTTTTAAGGCATTTCTTGCACTGTTGGCCCTTATTTGGCCATGAGTTTCCACTCGACCAATGTCTATTACATTTTGGGCATTTATATTCTCCGAAACATCTATTTTCTTTCTGTGGTTTCTCATTCTCCACCTATAATTCAGATTATGTACACGACGAATATTGAAAAATACTGACACTCATACAGGGTTAGTAGGTAGTCCCGGAGTATAGCCCAGCCCCTCCCATCCACGTTTCTCCCAACCACGTGACCCGACTAGCCAATCAGAGGCCATCATTTGTTTGGAACACCACGGACATGTCACGGAGACGTCACGGAACACCACGGACATGTCACGGAGACGTCACGGAACACCACAGAAATGTCACGGAACACCACGGAAATGTCATGAAACATGTGTGATGTTTTCGTAACATTTCCGTGACGTTTTTGTGGTTTTCCCTGGTGTTTAGTGACGTTTTCGTGACATTTTCGTGGTGTTCCAACCAAATGCTGGCTTCTGATTGTCTAGTCGGGTCAGGTGGTTTGAAGAAAGGTGGAGGGGAGGGACCTACTATAGGGTGTTTCCTTAGCATAGGTAAAAAATCAGCGGGGGTCCCTGGATTGTGATAAATCACCTTGAACTGCATATTTTTTATCTCACACTTACCACATTGTATGGTAAAATAATAATATGGCATTTCTTGCACTGCTGACCCTTATTCGGCCATGTGTTTCCACTGCACCAATGTCTATTACATTTTCGACATTTATATTCTCCAAAACATCTGTTTTCTTCTTCTTCTTGTTGTGGTTCTGGTAACTTCTTCGCCTATATTATATAATTCAGATTATGTACAAGGATATTGAAAAATACTAAACCCATACATGCGGTGTTTCCGTTTCCTAAACATTGGTATAAAAATCGTTTGATGGTCCCTGGATTATTTCTATGAAAAAAGTCCATTTACAGGGTGATTCATTAAGAATGGGAAATATGAAGATGAGGAAATAGTTATTTGTTTAACTAGGCAGAAAAGTACAAGATTCAATGCCGCGGCTGGCGTTCCATAGCCAAGAGGCGTTCCCGAGGCTAAAGGAAACAAGCAAAGGCAATACATCTTTTTTTTGTCATGGAAACATATAATTTTTTCTCCAAATTTGTTTCAATTTCACGCAAAGTCCGAATAATCCATCAATTTGTGTTCACACCAAGTCATTATCAATTTTGATTACCAATTTGATTCAAATTACTTGGAACGTTGCATAGTAACAAACTTTTTCTGCCTAGGCAGTGAGTGCACCTTGTTTGCCTGTGGAGTGTTACTGAAAAGCCACTTTTAAAGTCATTTAGAGAAAAATAGTTATTTATTTTACTGGGCAGAAAAGTAGTAGATTGACTGCCGCGGCTGACATCAGTTCATAGCCGAGCGTAGCGAGGCTAGGAATTCAGAAAAGGCAGTCAATCTACATTTGCTGCCGTGTGGAACATTGAATTTTTTCTCCAAATGATATAGAACCAATTTTGTGTAATTGTTTTATTGAAAATTCCATCATTTTGTGTCCACCCAATGTCAGTATCAATTTTGATTAGTAATTTAATTCATTTAAATTTCTCGGAACGTTGCATATAGCAACAACATTTTTCTGCCTAGGCAGTAAGAGTACACCTTTTCTGCCTGTTAAGCGGCAGGAAAGAGCCACTATCATTGTCGTTTGAAGAAAAAATATTTTGAAATATTCTCCATAATTTTGATCGAACATTTACTTCGAAATTCTGTTTGTTGATGGTGTTGTTATAGTGGTTGTCATTATTTTTTATCTATATACTGTATTTTCTTCTACTGTCACTTCGCTAACATCATAATTTAAAATAATAAAAATGTTATTAGTGGAACGAAAATCTCTTCAAGAGCGAATAACGCAAAAACCGTTAAAGCTAGACAATTTAAAATAGGTATACGTACATACCCACTAAGCAAATTTGGAAGCTATGTTGATGCAAAGTTGTAGCAATTACTGAAACGGATGTTTCAGCATTATTGCAAATGTATATTTGTAAATGTAACGTTCCAGCAATGTCGAAGCAACATGTAATATTGCTGCAACGCTATACATTATCAAACTCCACCTTTGCAATATTGCTGAACATAGCTATCAACTTTGCTAAGTGGATTTTATATAAAATTGAAGGGGCTTTCTGATTTCTGACTTATTTTTAACAGTATCTAATGGACAAAAAAATAATGATATAATTTACAGAAGTAATACAGAGTGCCACTAGCGCCCTCTATGAGCAATTGCAAAATAAGTTACAAATTCGTTTTTCTCATGTCAGGAAACCTGAAACTACAAAATAAAATCTTCTCCTTGAACACCCTGTATCTCCTCTAAACCAGCAACATTTTTATAAGGCATGTCAGGCTCAATCGTCATATTTTGGTGTTTACTATCTGTAGCTGAGAGATTCCCATTCCTCATGAATCACCACCCCGTATTCGAATATATATAATAAGAAATATGTACTTTTTTGGCGTGTTTACAGGGTTTTCAGCCCCCCTTAACTCATTCATTCATTTTTCAATTTTGTTTGGAAAAAATAGTCTCCTGTAGATTTAATGCAGGGTGAGTCAATAGTGTGTTCCCCTTCGATATTACCCGAACCGTCAGATATACATATCTCGAAAAATAACACTTCTACCACGCGGTTACTTTGCCCCCTAATAACATAGGCCATCCAATGGATGTCCATTTCAGGTCCGAAAAAAGGTTCGGATGTCGAATGTACATCAATTGGATGAACCAAAATGCCTATATCCAATGGAATGACACGGACACTATTCCAATGGATATCCAAAATAGTTCCGGATATTGATGGACATTAAATTGTACATCCATTGGATGAACCTGAATGATGCCCATCCAATCGATAACTATAGTGACACCTTTACAATGGATATCCATAATGTACCCAGTGGAATCTTTGTTTCGTGTTCTCTATTGTCTGTTCGTCTGTATTTCAGCGCTTTAGTCGTTCGTGTTCGCAGAAGTTTGTATAGTTTGAGGCAGATTCATTCAACCATTTACATTTTCATTATGTTATACAATTTTTTAACGTAGGTACCCTGTTAAATATTACTTGGATGTACTGTATTTTCGTTGAACCGTTTAACTACTTTCTTTATTTATTATTATTCCTTTTTTATATCATTTGTCTTCATACAGGATGACGGTAACAAAAAAAAATATCTGCAACATCCTCCTTCCCGTAAAAATGGTTAGTTTTCACCATCTGCTAAAAATTGACATATTTTCGTGACAGATGTACAGTCGTATTCAATAAAATAGCGTACAAGTATTAAAAAGAGAGGATTTCGGGATCCTAGTTCTAGTTGTGTTAAATTGGCTCAGCCAACGCTTTGTGTTTTTGAGGACCTATGACAACTTTACTGTCAACATTTGGTCAACAATCATTCCTGATTCTGCAGAATAGGGTGACTTTAATTTCTCTCTCTAATATACTTGTACGCTTTTTTTTAATGCGACTGTACCATCTCTTGTTTTTATTTCGCCCACTCGTACTCTGCCATCCTTCCCTGGAAAAACTCCTTGAATAATTCCTAGGGGCCAGGAATTTCTGGGTGAATTCGGATCAATCATAATAACAACTTTTGTTGTTGTTTTACTGGTTGGCAATCATCCGTCCACTTGGCTCTCCTTGTCAATGTCGGTAAATATTCTTTTACTCATCTCCACAACATTAATCATCGAGAGATTATATAGGGGAATATGTTTCGGACAGCCATGTGTCCATCATCATCCTTACGAAAAAATGGGTTTTGCCATTAAATCGTGATTATGTACGTCCTCATAGGGGCACAGGGCTCCTTTACAATTAAGCTTACCTTCAACCGGTGCTTATTTGAACAATAATTCTTATTCTAAAATTTTTTCAAAATATGTTTTTTTTTTCATCCTCACGGCCTTTCGTTTGTAAGGATTAAGACTGATGATGGATGGACACATGACTGTCCTAAACATGTTCCCCTGAATAATCTTTCGATTATTAAACGTTGTGGAAATGATTTTATATGTTTTCTAACCCTCTCAAATATTCTTTTATCCATCGAGACCAAAATATATATGATAGTTTTGGGCATTTCTGCACTGTTTTCTAGCATAATGATCTTCGAACTTTCCGGGCTATATCTCCCAATAAGGAAGTGATTAGGTGCTAGACTTTCCAGATCACTTGGATCAGATAAAACATGTGTTAAAGCTCTATTATTAACTATCATTTCAGTTTCAGCAAATAAGGTGAGTAGAATTTCATCTTTAGGTGCTTCTTCGGTTAAGATATAATACTTAAAACTCTCTTCACTGAACCGATTAGCCGTTCCCAGCAACCACCCATATGTGGGGCTCCTGGAGTAAAAAAGTTCCATTTTCATTCTGCACCTTTTTTGCCATCCCGTTTAGAATTTTTTTTCATCAAATTCTCTGATGCATTTTCTTATTTCTTCATTTGCTCCTTTCAAATCAGTTTCATTATCAGAATTAAATAATACCTTTTGATTGCCTGCTCTTCTGCAGGAGAATCTTATGGCCATGATGGCTGAATCAGTAGTCAGGTCAAGATGGATTGCTCTCGTTGTCAGGCATTTAAATAGGACTCCATACCGTTTTCCTTTGTGTTTTCCTACTGTAGATTAGATTTAACTGGGGAGCTGGCCTTTTGGCCTAATCCACTGCGACCTTTTCAGATCTATTGTGGAGGCTCCGATTGCTTATAGCACTTCATCTAGCTTCGTCCATTTCATCAGACTGAGCAAATTTGATAATGGCCTCTCAAGATAGCTTTCCGCTCTTGGTTTTTCATCTCCAAGTTGTAGAAACCGCACCCTTGCTAGTCCTTCGCACTGGCACATTACATGTATTGCGGTTTCCTCCTCTTCCTGGCAGAACCTGCAGATTGCTTCTTCCGCCAGACCTATGATATTCATATGTCTGTTAAGCCTACAGTGGCCTGTCAGCAGACCTACTATTTGTCTGACGATCCTCCTTTTATAACTGAGGAGGTCCGTCGTGAATTTTGGCGAGCGTCTTTTGATGAACTCCTTGGCCTGTCTCAATCCTGGTCGGGTTTCCCACCACTCTTGAGATTTGTTTTGTACCCACTGTTTCCTACTGTAACAAGCATGGGTCCGAAATAATCAACACCAGCATATGTGAATGGTGGCTCTCCAGGTGTTAAACGAATTTCTGGCAAATATCCCATCAATGGAACCTCTGGCTTACTTTTTCGTTTCCGATAGAATGTACAATTAGGATGGGACAACATTAAATATAGCTCAAAATATTTTATGTGCATATTTTTCGCCAATTTTATCTCGGATTATGAAAATCCACACCTCTTCACACAAAGAAGGTACTCTAGTTCCGTAACGATCAGATTATATTCGGATTTATAGTACATTATACACCTAGGGAATAGAGTGGTATTTTAAATTTCTAGACAAATGATTTATAATTTGTCGAGGGATTTAAAAACACTTTAGTTCCGAGGTGTATATAGTATTTTATGCACTGCAGGATAGGTAAAACGATAAAGAAAGAATAACGGAAAAATATTTGAATGCTACTAAGCGGTAGTTACTCTATTTCTAAAACATCATCCAAGGGGCTGATTGATACCATATCATCAACGATCTCAGTAACTATGGTGATTCAGATCATGATTGTCATCGGCAACTATGAAAATCTTGGTGTGTTATGACAAGTAGGTAACTAAGTAAAACATAAATAAATGAATATTATTCAAATGCCACACCGATTGAAAGACGTTGATCGCGATGGAACAAATCGAAAAGGCAGCTCAAGAAGCTGAAGGCCAATGATTACCATGAAAATCTGGAGAACAAAATAAAAAACAGTTATCTGAGTTTGTCAAATGGTGCAAAGAACGGAACGTACAAAAATGTACCGAAGAAAAGGTATAGGTACTGCTAGAAAATTTCTTGGAAAAGTCAAAAAAAGCTTGAAGCATAGTCATTATTGTGGGGCGTATATATTCAATGATAAAAGCCACAGACATTTTGAAAAATCTTTTCGAAATTCAGCTTTTATTGCAAAGAAATTAACTTTAAATCCCTAGGAATTTAAAGTCATTTTAAATCCCTAGGAATTTAAAGTAATTTCAAATCCCTAGGAATTTAAAGTACAACTTTTTGCCTCGAAAATAGTGAATAAAGGTACCCTTCAAATCCCTGAAGTGCATAACAAATATTGTAACATCTCAAATATTATGTATTACTTTGCAAGGAAAAAAAATCACAAGAATTTATGTCGTTTTTTCATCATCATTCTCCTATTTTTCGCGTTTTTATTAGATTGTTTGGTGAAAAGAAAGTACCTAATTAGTTGATTTTTTTGTAGTCACTATATATGATTTGAAAATTGGCAACGTTATGCATAAGATCTCAGTGTACCTATCAATATTTCAAAATTAATTTCACTCAAAAATGAAACAACTGATGGATGCGGAACAAGAGCACCTCTTTTGTGAAACATTGTGGATTTCCATAATCCTAGATTGAATTGTAGAAAAATGTGTAATGATGAATACGTACCTTCTGGATTAGATAGTGTCATTCCTGCGAATCACGCATCAGAAGATCAGAACAGCTAGTGAATTCGGGTTCATGATAACAGAGGTGGGAGGAATAGTTATTCAATTATGTTCTCGATAGAATATTATTATTTCAACTGTCGATACAGAACAAACTGTACCTACTGTACACAAAACCTGTTAATACTTTTTGTAGTTTATTTATATCGCTACTTCTTTTAGGTATTTTGGTGATATTTTCTTCACTCTGGAAATAAAAGTCTCACACGCAGTCTCGTATGTTCGATTGCGCTTTCACCTATTCAAATTAGCAAATATAAATCAGAGGTGCATAAAACAAACGGCACAGGAGTGTTCAAGTTGTTGCCGTCAGGTAGAGCAACGTGGTATTTTCTATTGATTTTCTATTACAGTTTTCTATCGCCATATCGCGACTTCAGCTCCACACGGTACTCACGGTAGTCGCGGTCGTGTTTGTGTTACTTGTCTCCCGAATCCCGACATGCTCCCGACAGGCCCGCCCCAAGGCCCGCCCGACCGTTACCACCGATATACAACTCGACACGACGCAAAGCGGACGGAGAAAGAAAAAATCCTGTTGTAAATAACTTATTAGGCATCTTAAACTTATTATAGCGATAGCGACAAAATTAGACTTGCGTTGCTATAAGGTTTGTAACCTGTCAACACAGATAATGAAGCTTGTTAAAATGTCAAACTTTTTTCCCGTCACAGAAAAAACACTTCACACCATAGTTGCTTCACACCTTGAAAAGAAGTAAAAATAATCATAGGCTCTATAGCTAGTGGTGGACAAAAATATATCATATACTATATACACATCTATACCTATATATTCAGTACTTTCTATGACAATGTTCATGGAAAAGAATGTAGGTATAATCAGAGAGGGACTGTATTACTTATATGAATATAATTTCTAGAAATTAGCGAGAGAATTAGTATCAAAATTTTGATATTACCTTTGTGCGTGAGCGTTTTTCCTTATTATTGCCCATTTTGAATTTTCGAAACGAATGATGTTGCAAACTGATGTGAAAACGATCTGTTTTTTCTTCTCGAGTCTCTTATCCGATCGATTCTTATCCTTAGATCATATAGACCATAGATTGGTTTGTCTATGATATAGACATACTTCAAATAACTACTAGCACAGAATGAATGGGTATTCTGTGTCACTAGTCAGTGAGGGTGACAAAAGCGCACGAATTCAATACGACCTGAGTTGAAGCATCTCGAGACAGTACGCAAAAAAGACAGGGCGCAACAAATAATCCATGCGGAAGCACACGGAAAATGCCTTTCAGCTGAATTCTATGAACATTTAATATTCATTTTACTTGACTATTAGGGATTTTCTCTCCTCGTTATTATGAAATAAAATAAAAATATGAGTATTATTTCAATAGATGATTTGCCTCATAATGTCACTGCGTTCAATGGGACCCTACGATTAATTTTTTTCTCTTTTTTTTTTAGAAAAATTTGTTAAACGCAGTGACATTTTGGGGTAAATCATCTGATTTGTCCTAATACACATACCGGGTGGCTACGGCCCAGATAACACAGGATATCCTATGGATATCCTTGTCAAGTCCATTTCAGGTCGGGATATCCTGGGACATGAAATGGATATCCATAGGATATCCGTCAGAGGATATCAAATGGATATTCTGATGCGGATCACCTATGGACGTCCATAAGATGTTCGTTTAGCGAACAAACATTGTTAATTGAGAATGGTTCAAAACAATACGAATCATCACAAATATCACATGCAAATCACATGTTTATTAGAAATTCAAAGGTAGTTTTCCATCATATAACTATTGTTATGTAGGTATAATATGTTTATAGCCACAATTATTAAGATATGCGATGCAAATATGAATTCATATAAATAACAACACCACAGTTTGGAATTTTTCTCTGTTGTTCAATGTTTTCGTACAAAAATATACAATCACTCGAAAATAGCTCTCATATATTTACTTTTTTGTGGTCTTCAGATGGACATCCATGAGATATTCATCCATGGATTTATAGCGGATATCCATCAGAAGATATCTTACCCAGATAGCACAAGACGTCTTTAAGATGTCTGAATTATATCCTATCTTATTAGTCTGTACGTCTTACTCCCTGAATAAGACGTCTACAAGATGTCATCATTCAGACGTTTTAAAGATATCTGATTCTCCACGTCCTGAATACGTCTTAAAGACATCGTAATAATACAAATAAGCAATAATGATATTTGGTATATTATAATAAGTATTAATCATAATGACTTTTAGTGTGTCATATCTGAACGTTCTCCACTCTCAGAATTCCTTAATTCCACACCTAGTTATGGTTCTATTCTCATAATATGCGTTAAACTTTTAATAAGAAACATAGGTATGATCATATTGATTCAGGCTAATAGAATATTTTCAATTTCATAATTTTTATAACTTCACCGTAATACATAGAGGTTATATAGATTTTTCAGAGTAAGTTATTTTATAAATCGGGTGGGATGATTTGAAAATACCGCCATGTCAAACGAAAGAGAGATCGTAGCGCCAGAGCCAGAACGGCGAAAGCCATTACTATTTGATTGTTTATATTTTACATTGTTTGGTTTTGGTGATGGTGTTTATTGAGAGGTGTGTTTATGTTAATTTCGTTTTGAGTTCTTAATCATTCTCAGCTTTGATATTTGTGTATTTTTTAAATCCGTGTTTTCCAGTGGTTCATTGTGTTTTGATTGAGGACAATAATATCTCTGATGTTTAACAGTAGAACACCTACCTACCTCTAGTTGGAATGTTGAACCTAAACCCTATACCAACATAAGCTGTAAGTTTTTATCATTATTGAACAAGAATTCTTATGATTTGGCCATTTAGCCTGTGCATTTCAATCTGTCTATCCTTTTTCAGTGATTCAGTGTCTCCAAAATGAAGCTGAGCTCATAAATGCGGGCCACCTGGTTTTGGTGGTCAAATGGATGCAAATGATTGCATTGAAGTATAATAAGTATTATGCCTCATTATGTTTACAGTCCACTGTGTGTGTCAGGTAAGAAGAACTCTCCCTAATAATGATATTGGTAAACTCCTGAAACTCAACTCTATATCATTGTTTTCAGGAAGAATGTGGGATCTTCCAGAGATATATAAATATGCTTGGTTGACACAAAAAGCAATCAACAGAGGGACTAATACAATCAGTATTCCTATAGATGATATGCCCTGTTTTAAGAAAAAAATGAAGAGACCAGTTATATGAAACATAATGAATATTCTCAATTTTCCTATCACAAACAGGGTGGACGAGCAACTTCTTTTCTGGAAATGTCAAACCTGTCCTTGGTAGTTGTACTTTTCAAATAAATGTCACAAAGATCAACTATTTATTTGCTACATGTTGGCTTCATAACTGGCACTTTAACCAAGGATGGCATTTTCAAACGGGACAGCCTGTATTTTATTCCATAATCCCTTAAGGATTATCATAACGAATTCAACGATACTGTGTTTGATAGGATTTCTACAAACGATTAGGAAGATATTCACATTTCCATATCCTCAATGAGCATATGAAAACTTCGAATGCAAATATCTTCGTAATCGTTTGAAATAACCCTATCCAATCCGGTACTGTTGAATTCGTTATAATAGTTCCTAATTCATTATGGAATAATATACATGGTGTTCTATATTGTTGAGGATATTTAGTAAATATCCCTGAAAAATATCTCATGGATATTTGTGAACAATATCTTATGGATATCCCTGAAAAATGTCTTATAGATATTTGTGAACAATATCTTATGGATATCCCTGAAAAATGTCTTATGGATGTCCCTGAAGGATATCCTATAGAAGTCCAACTCCTTCCACTCGGCACGTCCATTGGACGTCCATAAGATATACATCGGATATCACTGGATATTCTCTGGATATCCCAAATATCCTAAATGGACGTCCAATGGATGTCCATCGAATGTCCGTGTGTTGACTGGGGGAAGTATTGCCTACGGAATATCTCAGTTATTGTATGAAGTATAGGTTTGTGAAATTTGGAGCGTCGATATAATGACATAAGAGCTAGAATTTGAGCATATTGACATGTCGAAGTTAACTTCCGGTCTGACCGGAAGTAACATCAACTTTCTTATTTTGAATGGAAACCCAATTTTTTTTCTTTTCGCTTTATTCAGCATTCAATTCCCTTTCTAATGACATATCACAAGTTGTATGTTCCTATTTAAGTTATGGACCTACAGAGTATTGTTTTTTTCCCAATTTTTCCAATATTTTTTTGGCGGCTCTTCATAACGCCGACGAATGAAACTAAAATATCACAGTAGTAGCAACTATTATCAAGTGACGTATGGTTTCCATAGCCAACTTTTCAATTTTTGGCATTCATTTTGCTTCCACGGCCTACTCGGTGAATTTCAATAATAATTTTTTTCTGATCTAGTTTCTGGTTAGATACCAACTTGTGATATGATGTCATTAAAAAGGGAATTGAATGCTGAATGAAGCGAAAAGAAAAAAAAATAGGGTTTCCATTTGAAATAAGAAAGTTGATGTTACTTCCGGTCAGACCGGAAGTTAACTTCGACATGTCAATATGCTCAAATACTAGCTCTTATGTCATTATATCGACGCTCCAAATTTCACAAACCTACTCCATACAATAACTGAGATATTCCGTAGGCAATACTTCCGTAGCCACCCGGTATATTGAATCCATACTCGTAATTTTATTTTATCTACAACTATGGAGTCATTCATGCATTGCTTACTCGATTTTCGACATTTAATGACATACATTATTGTGATGAATCGAGTAATAAGACTAATAATGACAGTATATAGGGTGGCGTAATAATCTGACATCCCATCGTCTTGTCAAATTCAACTAGGTAGGTATTCGTTCAAATAGTTCGCAAATTCAAAAGACTGACCTTACATGGTTCTCATAGTTTTAATCACCTAAATTCTACAAATACACGGAAAATGAGAATTCACTGTGTTCCATCCTGAACAGTGACTACCATCGTGAGTAACCATACTCATAAAATAGGACTTGACACTTGACACTTGCACATTTGCTTACATGGCTACAGGCTATTCGAATAGATTAGTACAGACCAATCAGAACCATGGAATTTCGTTGTTGATAATTAGCTTCTAGAGACAGGGTACTACAATTAATCATCGCGGTGGGGGAACACTACAGCGAAAGCAGGTTAATGAATAATCTGCAATAGTATGATTCATTTTATAACTGAAAAGTGAAATGGCATATAATACCTGGTATAAGATTGACTGATATGTGATTGCACGACTTTCTTCCTGTTAATAAAAGTTATATCCAACATTGTTTAGAATTATTGAAATATATTATAAGCTGTTCGTTGAGTGAAATTTTTGTCAATAAGTTTTCGATGGAATTATTAAGTATTTCAAATCAGATTCAGTGATTTTGCAATATGATAACCTTCATTCTTTCCTAAGATATATTTCTGAACTCTCAGGGTTGCTTTGATATTTGAATAGTTGTAGATAAAGTATAGTATTCTACTTGCGCATAATGACTATTACCCACTCAGATGATTACAGCACTCGCCTTCGGCTCGTACTGCAACTTTCATCTTCGTGGGTAATAGCCATCATTATGCGCTCGTTGAATAATATACTATTATAGAAGCGAGGAGAGAAAATCAAGTAAAATGAATGTACCACCTCCTCGATTACACTACAGACAGTATTTAAAATTTGACATGTTTCAGGTTTCAGATATTGGCATCCTTTCCATATAATCTAAATTACAGATCGATCCTATGACCAGTTTTCGAGCTACATGCGGTGTCAAACATTTGATTTTGGCTGTTTAGAGTATTTTGCAACTAAACTACTTACCAGATGAAGTGGGACAGCCAACAAATTGACTAATTTTGATAAGCTATAACTCGAACATTTCTTGGCCGATGTTGGATTTCCAACCAAAGGTAGAAAGCGGCATCTTTGGGCTATGCGTCATTGGCGTCGGGTTTTTATTGCGATTCGTTCTCTTTGAACAGAGTGTAAATTAAGAGCCGGAAAAATTTCACATTTTCGACCAA